TTCGAGCAAATGTTATGATTCAAATCCAACATTACAATGTTACATTACAATTAATATTTCCTCTTGTCTAATCAAAACAGCCTAATTTATACCGTGTTTATGATGAATAATATAGTTGTGCACGGAAACTAAATGAAGAAGCTTCACCGTATGTTACAACGGAAATAATTGATTGATATGAATTTACCAGTGTAAATTGGTCAAAACAATGTTTAATAAACAAACTGTTACGTCGTGTATTGATTTCAAATTGACCCAGAAATCGATACGCACAGAACTAAGTAGTTACGTCAGTAAATTACCACACAGGATCAATGAACAAGCAACAAATTATATATTGAAATACACAGGATAAGGCTATGATTCATAAAAGGCAATACAACGGGTCAAATATGTGACAGCCGTGATAAACATTACAAAAGTGGGGCGGTCGGGTAGCCTAGTGGTTAAAGCGTTCGCTCGTCACGCCGAAGACCCGGGTTCGATTCCCGACATGGGCACAATGTGTGAAGCCCATTTCTGGTGTCCCCTGCCGTGATATTTCTGGAATATTGCTAAAAGCGGCGTAAAACCATACTCACTCACTCACTATTACAAAAGTGCCCTCGCGAATGTTCAATATTTGTCCTTTTTAGATGTCTTGAATGAGGCATGAGCTCCTTTATTGAATCCAGGAATCAGAAAGGTCGGTGTTTTCCCATAGGTGTCCCTCCCGCACTGGCCAAGTACTGACCACTTGGTACCGTCAGCTTTCCTGCAGCTCCAGCCATTGGCGTCTACATTTCACAAGATTTGAAATACAATCGAGCATGCTCTTACTGCCTGCTCAGAAGTATTTTCATAAAAAATACAACATTTCAGATCTCAGTAAAGCTTTAAACAGTTTTATAGTAAACATGTGACGGACATGTCCAAATTTGACGTACCAGTGACAAAAATTATGTCCGATGCAATTCCCCATTTTGACTTGTACCACATGTTCCCGTGCTTTTTTCAGGTGAACAGTTGACTTGCCTTTGCATGTGTTTGTGACGGGTGCCACCGATGGGACAGGAAACGCTAACCTTTTCGCGAACACCCTTTTGTTTGTTGTGTTTGTTTGGTGTTTAAAGCCGCATTCAGCAATATGACGGCGGTCTGTTAATAATCGAGTCTGGGCCAGACAATCCAGTGATTGATATGATGAGCATCGATCCACGCAATTGGGATACGATGACATGCATCAACTAAGTTAGCGAGCCTTACCACCCGATCCCGTTAGTCGCCTCTTGCGACAAGCATAGTCACCTGATACAGCAAGCATGGGTTGCTGAAGACCTATTCTTACAGGTGCACGATTTCCAAAACATTGGTATGCTTGTCATTGTTGGCGATTTTAACGCACGATGTGGTTTAGAGTCTGATAATATTGAAGGCGTGGATAAAGTTCCACGTAGAGAGATAATTGACGAGACTACTAATGACAAGGTAGACACAAAATCTGGATAACAACTTCTTTCATAATGCAAAGGCGACGTTTCGGTATAGATCCTTATACCGTTGTCAAGCAAGGCTGAATGAGGAACGTTGTTGTTCGCGTTGCATTAATAGTTTGAGAGGTCGCCTTCTGCATAAGTAATTTCGGCTGACCTGTCCCTCTTTGGGACTCCTGTGTGTGAGTAGGGTTTTTGGGACTCCTGTGTGTGAGTAGGGTTCACATATCTATTGTGAATTTGGTATTCACATAATTTCTGTTTTTGTATTGATATGATTTCTATTTCCGTACAATGATATAATTTCATTTTTATCCTTGGCTGCTCTGTTTATATACGTTCGTGAAGCTGCCCAACTCTCAGAAATAGAGTCAGTTTGGCCTTCTGTATTGCATCTCTTGGCTTTAGGAGATCTATGACAGATAGCGGATCTAACTGCTGTTCTTGTTTTAACCGAGCCCGGGCTGGGGCGTGATCTTGACATTCTAGTAACACGTGAGCAATGGATTCAGCCTGATTGCAAGATGAACAAACCTTGTCATAGTGCTTATTGTGGCCGAGCCTGAGGCGTGAGATGGCAATTTCAATTTTCCTTTCATTTGAGTATGAGTTTGGCTTTTGTTGGATCTTGGGTTGAATTTTGTATAGCCATCTGCCGATCTTACTTGCGTCCCATTGGGCTTGCCATCTTTGGGCTATAGAGGCTTTGATTTTGCTTTTTATCTCTAGTTTACTAAATGGAATAGGTTGTATCTCCGCTTTGTCTAGAGTTTGCTTCGCCCGTGTGTCTGCTTTTTCATTTCCATGAGTAATTATGTGAGAGGGGATCCAATACAGCTCCACCTGTTGCCCTTGGTCCGATAGTTTTGTATATTCGTATAGAATATTGTTGACTGTGTTTGGCCTGGAGTTTGAGTTTCTGCCGCTGATGGCTTGAAGTGCACTCAGCGAGTCTAATTGGACGACTGCCTTTGCTTCCGGAAGTTCCGGTACGAGTTTGAGTGCATGATAAATTGCCTCCAATTCAGCCGTGAATACTGACTGACCATCAGGCAGGCGAACTGAATGTGCTTGGGGTTTTGAGCTGTGGATATGGATCCCGTAACCAGCACTGTTGTTGATAGGATTCTTGGATCCATCAGTGTATATGTGGGCCTGGCTGTCCCAGGTAGTTTTAATTTTTGGTGATAGCTACTGATTGTAGTAGGGTTGGGTTTTCTTTTTTAGTGACTTCTGATGTTAAAGCAGTGTCAACTTTGGGAGTTTCTAAAGCCCAGAAAGGGTGTAACCCTTTGTAGTGACTTTCTGGAGGCTGAATGTCATCACAAGTGTGACTTCGGATGAGTTCATGTACTTAAATCCCAGATGGCTTTAGTGAGGGATTTCCGAGCTAGGGCTTCATCTCGAGTATTTTTGTCTTGCCATATCTTCATGATGGACATAGCTTTGCTGCAGATACCGGTATCGGGGTGGACCTGTTTCAACACCTTGCAGATGTAGATGCTGTAACTTTCCTTCATGCTCCTCTTCTTCTTCTTGTCGCCGACACGTGCGGCCTTTGCCTTACCGGCCTTCTTGGGCACCCATCTTGCAGAAACCTTTGTCATTCCAAACTCGTTGGTGATAATGTGTTAAACCCTCTCATGAGAGATGCCCACAACACTGGCAATATGTCGAGTAGTCAATCGTCGATCAGCCATCACCATGTCATGCACCCGGGTAATGTTTTCCGGAATGGTTGCTGTTGAAGGCATTCCTTGACGCGGGTCATCGTCAAGGCTCTCTCTGCCACGCTTGAATTCCGCAGGCCACTTCTTTACACTGGAAAAGGAAGGGGCATCATCCCCTAAAGTGGAGACCATGTCAGCACGTATCTGTGTTGGAGTTAGCCCTTTCAGTTGCAGGTCTTGCCATATCTTTAAATGAGGAACATGGTACAGAATATATATAGTTAACAGTAACAACAATTACATGCATGAGTGGGAAAACCTGTGTAGGTAGTGACAACAGAGTGATAATGCTGTCACAACATGATGGACAGAGAACACACCCATGTGGTGCTGGTATTGCTGGTGGTCCAACTCTATCCCCTGCATTGTACAGCTGTAACAATGGAACGACTGAGTCAATGATGCGTCTTCTTGTCTTTTCTCCTGATGGATTGTGGGTTCGCCCCGATTATGTTTCTTGGTTTGTCAGCACCATACCCGTGCTTGTGGGTTTCACCGAAGAGGTAAACGTCGGAGACCTGCATCACTTCGGGCTTTCCTCCCACATTAAGCTGACACGCCGTGATATAACTGGAATACTGTTAAAAGCGGCGTTAAACCCAACTCATTCACTCACTGTTTGTATGTTAGATTTCATTTTTGAGCAGATTACAAGAAACGTTCATTGGTCTATATTTAGGCAGGACTAATTTCTAAACAAAACTTTACCTTCTCTTACAGTGTAACAATATTCATATAACAAAATAACAAATGATAACTGGACAGCAGTAGTAACTTACCTTATATAGACCTTGGTTCATTGATGAAATTTCATATGTAGCTGTGCATGACAAGACAGAAGAGACATCTGTTAACCAGAGCTGAGACCTGATCTTATGCTGACTGTGCTAAAAGGAAGCTTGAGCATCACGTGCGTTAGGGGACCGGCGCAACGTGATTAGTCGTTAACATTTGTACAAGACGGAGCGAAAAGCATCGTTTTCCAGTCTATTTTCCACTTGAAAACTCGAGTTTTTCCGTACACTTTCTGGACGTTCACCAATTAATCAATTTAAATGAATTTTTAGTCGTTCTCCCGGCAATTGCCCATATACGAATAAGATCGTTTTTTGCAGTGTTGGATAACCAGCTGTGGCCGGAAATGACTTTACGATCGTTCATTTCTGGTGGAGATAGTTTTCCAGGTATAAATTGCATTATTAAAACACTCATAAACATATCCATATCATGCCAAGCGCATATAATATTTCACTTACAACTGTTTTGAATATAACCTTGAAGCATGAGTTGCTTTATTAGGGGATGTTATATATAGCCTATTACCTCATCTTTTCCCAGACTAAATCATCAGAATATCACTATGGAGGCCCACGGGCAACTTATGAAATAATGTTTAGTTGCTGTTCCTAAATTGTGACTCCTTTAATGTTATGCGTTCCGGGCTGAATGCACTGTCATCAGTGTTTCTCTTTCAATCGAATGTAGGAGAGTACATAAGCAATCTCATTAAAACCAGATCTTAGTTCTCGCTATAAGGTCTGATTTCAATGAGATTGGTATATAAGAAATGGGATACCAGACTAATAGTTCTGTTTTCACTTTCTGTCCGGAAAAACAGCGCAGCATAAACGACAAAAAACAATTAAAACATTAAAACGTCAAAAATAAACATAATAAGCTAGCAATCGGGCATATGGTTGAAGATAGCCGAACATGAGAACACGCTGTGGTGGAGCTTGGGTCATACATTTTTTTCTGAACTCTTTAGAGTTATCTCCCTTCCTAGAGCAGACGACGATTCTATATACAAGGGTAGGCCTAGCAGAGGGTACGCAAATCTCCCTACTATTCTGTTAAGGCCGTTAGGGTGACTTCAGACAGGTATCCGTTACACATTTTGTTTATTTTATATAGCCAGTTGTTAGCTCAAGTCATATTGGATTTTGGATTTCCAACAGAGACAAGGGATTCCGCTTAGGCCCCTAAAGGTGAGCTCGAGGTGAAGCCTAGCAGAGGTAATCTTTGTGTGAAGTCTTCAAAAGCTGCAGGCTCATGCTAGCTTAATCAGTTACTGTTCGGTTGACAGTCTGTTAAAGTCATTGAAAACACTGACTATCTGGGGCTTAATCTGTATAGTTGCACCATAATATGGGAACAATTATCTTTGAAACATGTCAAGATGAAATTGTATGTCTGTGGACAGTAATATGTATGCCATATATATACCTGGATACACAATAATTTTGAGTTGCTCTTTACCCTATTGGAAATAGAGCAATTTCTAAGAACAATATTATTGTAAAATTCTTGTTAGAAAAACTTGTATTTGTAAATTGTATCTGCATAATCAATATTTCATTAGATCTACAAAATATTCTCCTAACAGAATTATGACAATGTTTTTTTTAAACTTTCAGTGTCATACCACAGAAAATGCATAGCAAAACATTTACTGAACCAGTGGTTCTGTTTGCAAGCCCCCCTCCTCTTGAAGAGCTGTGTGCCATCACAGTGACTCTATCTAGTGGGATAACCTTCTCACAGATAGCTTCTACCTGGCAACCACAGATAATGAAATGCAGGTGCGGGGGAAACCAGATTGCCAAATAAATAATATAAAGGAAAATGAGTTATCAGTGACATAATACCAGTCAGTTTTTAATCTTCATGTGCACTTAAACATGGATATAAATGAAGACATTCACTACTGTAAGAAATGTTATTTTTCAGAAACAAAATGAATTATTCATTATATCTAATTGTAATTGTAGTCCTTTGTAGACTCTAAGAATCACAAATAGCTCCTTAATATCTTAATGGAAGTCACTCCTTTTACTGTTGGTTTAATTAGATTTTGTAGTTTATGAACAAAATTGTTACCAGAGGTTGCAATGTATATTGTGTATAATAGCTCTGTTTATGATCTTTATCCTTATTATTAAGGATCCTTATTGATTTCTGCTACAGTTTATATGTGTCTGACTCTAAACAGGAGTATACACCATTGGTCATATCCAACTAGTCCAAAGCTCACTTCCAACCAGTAGTTTATGTAACATAACAAGATTTTGGCACAAAACAACTCGTTCCTCAGCGGTAGAAACTAACAGTTTTCGTCCACTAGTCCTTATAAAGATAACATATAGCAAAACCTTTAAAAAGGGCCAATTTCTACTAGTCCTTGTGATACCTTAACTATTGGGCAGTTTGGCAAGGACTATAGGACAAGTGCCAATTTCTAAGGCTGGTTCCTGTAGAGTTTTACTAGTCATGGACCAGTAACCATGTCTGACCTTGCTAGAGATTGCATAAATCTATTTTCTTTAATAGAAAGGTTATGATAGCACCCCTTGACATTCCTCTTTAATATCTGACACTGATACTAACATATAACTTAAATGTAAATGTTCCTATTTTCAGAGAAATTATTTTTACAGAGCCAGATATTCTTGCTACTCCTGCATTTGATGTAGAAAATTGTTTCAGTGTTGTACTGCAGGTACGTAGATGTTTTCAAGACCTAAAAGCTGTTACAATTTATGTTTTACCTGTATGAATTTTAATTTAAGGTTCTCAAAATTGTATCATTTTTTTTTTCTTACAAGCTCATTTGCATGACATAAACTAACTTACTTGCCTAAACTGCACTTGCCAAGTCTTAAAGGCCATATAATCTCTCTCACACACACACATACTTGCTCTTGGTTATAACATAATACTTTCTTTAATTGGCCTAAAAACATCTTAAAAAATAGATTTAGTGCTCCAAATTGTGGTACAAAAATTATTTGATATATTCCAGTGTCATATTTAACCGTTTTCATGATAAATCTGAATGTGTTCAGCTACTTGCGTGCTTATTCCATATGACTTTATCTTTTCAGCAGTCCTTGTTTAAGACAGGAAGATTACAAAACAGATTTCAGAAGATTGGATTAGAGGTGATTTAGATGTATCAATAGTTGTATAAACCTATTTGTATTCAGGTCCAGGTGAGGTATTGTGTAATAAACTGGTACTGATATCAAATTTCTATTACCCAACCAACACATTATTTTATACTGCAGAACTGTTTCTTATATCATTCAGTGTTGCACAACCCATTTGAAGACTTTAAGTTTGTTAGCCAGCCAAATTGGTCTGTTTTATTGTCCAAGTCAAAAAATAAATTACCCATTACCAACTCTGACCAGTTAAGTTTCTGATGATATGGATAGGATTCATTCCAATTATTCTTAAACATTCACTCATTTGAAGAAAGACCGGGTTTGATAACTAGCTAAATAAGTCAATATTAAGGTTAAAGGTGATGTTGGAAAACTAGCTTCCCATCGACAATGTTAGCCAGTAATTAGTCAAAAGTAATGAGTCTGAGATCATATAATGTATTGCTGGCCTTGGATTGACTCCTGGATGATAACTTCAGCAAACACTGATGGAATCAGAACAAATTCAAGTTTTGGAAGTTAATGTGAACACAAAGAATCTGTGAGAGGTGAGCAGGGGGACATCTACACGTCAACTTACAGTATAAATTGTATGGTGAATATCTGGAGCAAGCCTTTCATAGCTATTTTCTACATGAACAAATTCATCATAAAATTATTCATGGTTTGATTCTGAAAAACAAAGTGAATCACATCATACAAGTAATTAGCCTTCTTAAAGTGCAGATGTCTATGAACTATGATCTTACAACTGCACTCAACATGATGCATTATTATTGTAATTGACAAGAACCTCTGTTCCTCAATTATAGACAAGCAAGCCCTTCCGTGTGACCCCTGCCCTTTACCAGTCTTGTCTGAGGTATACAGTCACGGCCAAAATAGCCCCCACTTGGAACAAAGCAGGAGAGTGGATGGTGCAGGGTAAGAAATTATATCTAACTTATCTATATCACTGTTAAAGAATAACCTTAGAAATCAAAGGGTCGTTGTCATGAAGGACTTTAAGTTCCAGTGGTTTTGTTAGGGGACAAATGGGATTAGGACATGTTCATGTTTTCAGTCAACTTTTGATAGGATATTCTTCTATAACATTACCAATTTTTAGAAGAAATTCTGGACATTTAGGATGACAATGAGTTAATATCCTAGAATATTAACCGATCTGAAACCTTTACGTTCCCTACACCATGTCACCAGACAATTAAGGTTTTCTTTCAGCCTTATCAGAACTGAAATCGAGACCGCAACATAATTCTGACACACTTTTAAACAATATGTATTTTATTTTGTTGTTGCATATATATAAAGCATTTATATTGCTGATTACAGCAGAGGATCACTCACTCACTCACTCACTCAATTGGTTTATCACAGGGATAAGAATCGAAAGAATGAAGATTAATATCATTTTAACACCTTTGCTGTCACAAAAACACTCTGACATTTTGTCGTGTATCTAAAGCATAAATATTGCTGATTTCAAGGATAAGAATCTAAGAAGCAATGAGAATAAATATTATGTGTTTCTGTTATGGCCATATTATCTCACCATTACAGGCCGTGACTTTCTCACCCACACTGGTTATGCAAATGCAGTGAGTAAGTATACTTCCTTTTTCCTTTATGTTCATCTGTCACAAACAACAATAGCATGAACTTTAAAGGACTTTCCTGTAGCCAGCAGATGCTACTTCAAGCTTAGGGACTGGTCATTTATTATGGAGGTGGGTAGGGGACATTGCATGAAAAAATGACACACAATTGGGTGGGGGCATTAGTATTCAGTTTTACAAAGAAAACAAAGAACTTTTACATAACTGATCTTTAAAAGTATTAAAACACAGGGTTAGAAACTAACAGTTTTCGTCCACTAGTCCTTATAATGATAACATATAGCAAAACCCTTAAAAAGGACCAATTTCTATTAGTCCTTATGATACCTTTACCATAGGGCACTTTGGCAAGGACTATAGGACCAGTGCCAATTTCTAACGCTGAAACAATAAATATCCAACATGATTTTTCCAGTTAACAAACTTTTCAGGTGAGGTGAAGACTCTTATGAGCTTGTTTCATCTTATTTATATCCAATATTGATTTTTCCAGAAATGAATTTGACAGTAAACAGTGATGAGCTGTTTGTATCTCTGTTGGCCACATCTGTCAAGTTTCCACCATTACAGGTAAACACTGTGTTATTGTGTTATGGCTATTGTTCTCACAGCTGTTCCTTTTTATCCCGCTAAAATAGTCACGAGTCCTTTATTTATCTTTTAGCACTGGCAAATACTTGAGTTCTGCATATCCATGAATAAAGCAAACAGATCACGCAAACAACACTTTTTGCTTTCTGTTCAAACACACAGTCCAGACATTGGTGTAAATCTTGAGGTACATGAAGCTCAAGTAGCACTGTTTTGTATATTTGTAGGTCTATATAAGGAGTGAATTATTGAGTTAAATTGTATGCCATGTGAATTAAATAACGAATACTCACTGGATCTGAGCCACTACTCTGTTCTTTATGACAGAGAAGCTGAAGTGAGCTGTTTGGTCTTTTTTTTAATAGGTGATTGATCTTGATGTTGACCAGAACTTCCTGAATTTATTGAGGATAAATCAACCTGACACAATAAAAGATATGTCTCTTTACAACTGTTGGTGTCATGTGTTGCCAAGGTAGGTAATAAATATTTTTTGTGAAGGTATATTGTTAATTGGTTACTCTTTGATTCTCTCCACCTGCCCGACTCTCTGGCAGATAATTTCAAGAATACTTACGTAGTCAGTTTCTTTATAACCCCTTGTAGATCCTCAAGTAATTGTTTGTATTATTTCAACTGAATCAAGATGCAATAGATGCGATTTGTCTCTTATTTTTGCTGTTGCGATTTTTCAATGTTTATAATGTCTGAATACAGGCAGGTAACTTTGAAGATGGGCAGGCAACACTTATGGGTCACCTGCCCGTCTGTCTTAAAATTATTTGAAACACTGTTTCTCACTCACTACTTTGTCTCTTAAAAATTCCTGTAAATACAATTTCCATTGTAGCATGAAGAGAGGGCGTGTCTGTAGTGTGAGTCGAAATGTGCCAGCTGATGGGCCTTTTAAATCCTATAGAGATCTGAAGAGACATTGGAAGAATACTGTAGGTATAAATAATAGATGTACATAGTTGACAGAAAGCTGCATGTATTTAAGATTAAGAATGTGTTTAATTCGATTTAAAACATATTGGTTATTAGAACAACAGAGACAGATTTTTATCCTAAAAACTGATAGTAGGGAAAAGATATAAAACTAAAACTTTCTTTTATAAAAAAACCCACCAACAACACTTTCAAAATAACTGTATTGTTACTATTACCATATTTTCTTTGTGTACAGTACACACCACCATTTTGTAGGTTCAGGGTTTATTTATTTTGAAAAATAAATGGTATCCATTTGCTTCTGGTGAAGTTTTTGCTGGAGATATAAAAAAACTGGCATAATATCAATGAACTGGCATAACAAGACAAGATAACGAGACACAACTATTTCTCTATTGCAGTTTTTTGTTGTTTTATATGACCAAAAGTGACTGGTAGATCTGTAAAGCAAGTAATAATAAGTGGTCTGGCCTATGCTAACATTAAATAATTTTCTTTCTTGACATGAGGATTCTTAGGTATAATAGGCCCCTGTTAGCCAATGCATGTCATACCAGTAATGCTGGAAGTTGTGTAACTTGGATTAATTATGAATACATGACACTTTTTATGGACAGTAGCTTCTTTTATTCTTTGTCACAACGTTTCAGAGCTACTTTTTGCTCCTTCATCAGGTGAGTGCATAGAGTTGATATATATCATGATATGTTTACACAACACAAGATGGGATGAATGTACAAGGAAAACAATAATATGCCAAAGCCTATGAGATAAGATTAATGTACAAAATTAACAATATAATGATGAGGCCAATCAGATTAACAGGAGATTAAGGAGCAAGAAGTAGCTCTGAAATGTCTTGACAAAGATTAAAAGAAGTTGCTATCCATAAAAAGCATCATGTATTCATGTTATACCAACCTATAAATGATTCTCTTGATTAATTACTTAACATGCCTACAAACTACAGGCTGCCAAGGATTCAAGGATTCATGAGGCTGCCAATACTTAGCTATAATTATGCTATGACATAACATAAGACTTACTCCATCTCTCTACTGTCTTTGAATGTTTTCAGCCACAAAACATATGTTATACCAGATATGATCAATTAATGTTTGGCATCTCTGTGGTTCAAGCTATAGCATCAATTAATTCATAGGGGGGCATGGGTAGTTGCGTCCTTTGGGCATGCCAGAAGCCTATGATTGTGGGTTCGAATCCCGGTTCGCACCGATTATGTTTCTAGGTTTGTCAGGACCATACCCGAGCTTGTGGGTTTCACCGAAGTGGTAAACGTCTGAGACCTGCATCACTTCGGGCTTTCCTCCAACATTAAGCTGACACGCCGTGATATAACTGGAATACTGTTAAAAGCGGCGTTGAACCCAACTCTCTCTCTCTCAATTAATTCATACAGATATGTGCAGATCTTAGTGAGGTACTCCAAAATAAATAAAATATTTGATATGTATGTAAGCTGCAAGAATCATGTTGCATTTAGGTGTTATTAAATGCAGATTATTAGGTTTATGTAATTTAATCCTGCATTTTGATAATTTGAAATGGATTTGCAAAGATTAGGATAGTCATTACTTGCATTCTGTTTCTAGTATGGCTACCGGCTACCGGACACAGAAGATGACATGATGTTCTACCAGATTTCATTTCGACAGAATGGAGGAAAACTTTTCACATATCCTTCTTCATATGAGTTAGATAAGGTTTTACATGATAAGTTTAATTGTTAATTAACGCTACACAAACAATACATATGTATCAGTCCTCATTGTCTTCTTTTAGAAATATTGGTGCTACAACATATTTTAAGAGATGGTGAAATTAGCGTCAGAAAAAGAGCCTGTCTACCAACCATAGAAAGTTTCATTAGCCATCCTCTCCTTAAACATATTTAGTTTTCTGAAACTTAATTTTAAAACAGAATATGTAAATGTTCACCTCAGTACTTGAACAGAGCCTTTAATCAATCTCAAACATAAGTCAAACCTGCTGAAAATACCCTTAACATTGATCACCTACCCCAGTGTATGTCTGAGAGCAGCAGATATGCAGAGAATCCCTCGAATTGACCCGAAGCCAATTCTCATTGCCTTCATTCAAGACCTGCACAGCAAACTACCATCCATCTGTGGCCATCCTCTGAAGTTCCTACCTAAAGTCAGATATGCCATTCCAGAGCTCTATGATAGTGGCCAGGTATTATTCAACAACACTGAAACTGCTTATATTCTTTAAGGACTTCCTTAGGGGGATCAGTTGTCCTGTAGGTTCTGTGACTTTGCTGATGTGATTAATCTTACCCAGATGGAGTGGGTCGTGGCTCATACTCTGTCACTAACTTACTCGGTCCTGATCAGCTAATAACAGGCGGCTATGGAATATTGCTGACTGCAGCCTTAAACAACAAAAACATCATCCACGATGATCAGATCTGTTCAGTTTGACCACAGAAGTCTTACTCTTATGTGTCTATCTGTACAGGAATTATTTAAAGATGCTGGTATGCTTTCGAAACTATATGCAACTGAAACATTCATGTAGAGTGTGTCTGTGTGTGAAAACATCTATTGTGTCAATTTATTACCGAAAATGAATAAATGCAGCTGAAAATCAGAGACTAAACATCTCATCGTCAAACATACTTTGTGTTTCAAGCAAAAAGTGATCAATGGACAAATGACACAACAGTATAACCCATCATTCTTGCCATTCCAAGTTGATTTATTTTTGCCTATTCAGTTTGCCTTGATTGGCAGCCAAATGAATTAAATCCAACTAATTGAGAACTCATGTTAGGCTGGTGGTTTATTGAACACAACGTGATTTGTGGAGAAAACATGTAGTCCTTCCAGATTTTCCCTGATCATAGATCTGGAATACTAGTGGCTATATCTGGACACTCCAAATGAACTTGGTACATTGTTCTTCCTTCTTCCTTGTACACATTCAATCTGTGCCAAATAGTTTTGAGACAACTAGCCTGATTATGGCTATTAGTATAATTTTCTATAGAATTTAGTGTTATTGGATGGACTATCATTAGCTGAGGTCACTAGACCAAACAGAATGTTACTCGACTCAGGCTTTGGACTTGTGGTGAAAGTTGCAGACAGCACATTACCCACCAGGCCTCCTTTCCACATCGAGATCTTTGTCCTACGACTTTCGTAACTCCAATACTCTAACAAAAACATCCAATAGTTGTAGATCTAAGATTGCGAAACAAGGCCCTGAAGTACAACCTACAAACACTGACTGTAAAATACATGATGAATATTTCTGTATGTGACATCTTGTTTCAGGCCAAAAATGGTGCTCATCCAAACCTGTCAAACAAGAACCCTCATCCCTCATCTGTCCCTCTCCGTAACAGTAAGGATCTATCACACATGTATGTTCACAAACCTTACGCCCCCATCACTGCACAAGCAAACAACCAGCTTTCCCCAGCCGAGGGAACTCCATGTCCCACTGCTTTCTCCCAGGCCGCACCAAGAGATGACTCACAACCTTCATCTGTGTCAAGCCAAAGATCAACATACGATGCCAGCAGGCCTGGTAGCTCAATGGCTTCAATGCTAGCAAGTCATGTAGCCACCTCTCAGTGCTTATATGACTCTGTAGGACATCCACAACAGCCAAGAGTAATTCCTGATCAGGCTCCAACAGTGAACACATTAAATGGTGATTCCTACATTGCATCACAGAATTCCTCAAGCAGTTCCATTAAAATTGTTCCAGTTTTCAGACCCAAGGCATTCAAATGTTCATCAGTGTCCAAGGTAGCTGCTACACCCCGAACAGTGCCCAGGTTCAAACCAAAACCAAGGCCAGCTTCCTCAGACTGCCAAACATCACGCAGTGATACCAAACAGGCAGTTGTTGATAAACCAGGGTCATATGATGTCTGTTCTAAACACAGTACCTCACAGCCCATTAGAGGCACCATTGCAAGGAAAACAATTCCATCAGTTTATCAGGCAACTGAATGCTCTCACATCAAACCAAATTCAACCCCACAAAGACCTGACCCAAAGACCCCTATTGCTCCGGTACCCAGGCTAAGTGTATCATCAGGAAGTCCAGCCTATACTCTGCAGTCCACAAGTGTGTTCAACTCGACAGACTTGGTGCAGGTTGTCACCAGCCATGACAGCAGTCAGAATGCTGAATATTTGAAGAGGAAAGCAAGTAGTGTAAGTTTACCATTACTCAGATCAGATACCATTTGTACACTGTTCATAAACAACCAATTGCTTACAAGCTTTGGAACAGAAAGCAGGTACAATAATAGATATACAGGTAAAAATGTTAAGGTTTAAAGTAACCACTAGAATTGCTTGTTTTATATTGAAGTGAAAATGCTCCAAAGGAGAAAATAGGGTGCATTCATTCTGTAGTATGTACATAAGGATATTTATTATGCCTCAAAGTGAGATTGACTAATCAGAGAGCAGAACCACTGACCCCACATGAGCCTGTATACCGTCAGTAAAATCCAAGATGGTTGATACTGACCTAATATGAGACCATATACCATCAGTAACAGCCATCTTGGATTTTCCAACATCCCACCTCACATATTTCACATGAATTTCTGGTACCGAAAGTTGTTATTTGACACTGTTTTGTGTTTTACTATCATCAGTTGTGATGTGCAAGGACATTAATCTGTTTTTTAGATCACATTCGTGACTTTATTGTTAAAGATTATAGTGAAAATTGTCAACAAGGTTTGGCCTCTATGATTTGAAGAGTAGTCTCCCTACAGTTGTCAGTGTCAAGTTTGTATTTTGACATGACACATGCGATATGGATACCAGAGAGTGTAAACCTTTTGGCATAATAAATTCGTTATGGTGTCTTTAGTTGCCGTATACAGTGTCATATTAGGTGAGCAGAAAAATATTGACGCCTCGCCCAATATTTTTCTGCTAACCTAATATGACACTGTATACGGCAACTAAAGACAACATGACTAAAAATATCAGTGCCAAAAACATTTGAGTCTATCAGACTGAACTTGGCACTCTGCACCAAGCACCGTTTTCACTGGATTGTAGTGTAATTATATGGACTATTGTCAGCAGAGGTAACTAGACCAGACAGAATCTTACTAGACTTATAAAGGCTTTGGAAGAGTGACTAAAGTCGCAGATTGGCATATTGTCTGACGTTAGTATCTTTTTAGTATTTTATAAAAAGACAATAAGGAAGATGAAACTCAAGTTTGATTTGTTATGTTCAACATTTATTTATAAATTTGAATCATTGAGTTGGATATAAAACAGGATGAGGTTGAGAGTTCTATGAAGAAACCACGAGCCAAGGCCCAGGTTCAGGATGTAGATGTGGAGATGATGGCCAGAGCTAACCAGGTACTGTAGGTCAAGACTTGAATCTTTGGGACACTCTTGCACTACCTGCAGGTGACCTCTAACAAGAATGTTAGAAGCGTTTGTTTCATATTTATTTTTTTCGCTCAAGATACATCCATATACCCAGTACATGCATCTTTGTTAATTTGCAGATAAAATAACATATCAGCAACAGCAAGAAATCCCTCAGCAATTACAAAAGTATTTTGATGTCTCCCACTTTGATATTGCTTGAATATTGCTTTTCCATATTCACTGATAAGGGGATTTCCTACAAGAAGCAATACTATTATTAATAAGGTAATGTTAATTTGTATTTATTCATTTACTGAAATGAACTTATGTATGATGTTATGTTTTAGCTGAACAAAGTGAATAGTGTCACTCTGTTGGCCTGGCTCAAAATGAAAGGTGTGCCATGCAAGACAAAAGACAAGAAATCAGACCTCGTCGACCATGTGAATCATATCATTCAACTTAACAAGACAGAAGAATAGAAATTAGAAGAGAAGGTATATTGAGATATAGTGCTTGTTCATAGATTTATCAGAATGAGTTAAGAAAGGATGGTCATCTGTTATAACATTATGCATATAGTGTACAACAGGGATTTATCTGCACATGCTCGGAGGGCAATAGTCAAGCCAAATCTGCAGCAAATGTCAGTAACAATTCCCAATGCCATCATTCTCAATTCCTAATAACACAAGATCATTATTTTTAAAAAATCCAATTTTGAAAAAACAAACGATGTTACATATTTTTCCCAATTTACCTGCCAAAGGCACTTTGTGAGGAATCCTTGGTAGAATACTTGATGAAAGACACATCACATACAAAGTCTTACCAGACATCCATGCATCATGTGATTAATAGTTAATGCCCACAGATTACTTTAGTTTATTGTTTAGAAAAATTAAAGTATAAAAAATAAAATCCTGCCTCAGTTTTGAAAAAAAATGGATGAAAATCTAATGACAAATATATTGTGGCCTTAACTGTGAAATTTTATGTTAAATATGTTGTTTATCAGAGCCTAAAAGCAAACTGTTTCGTTATACTTATTGAGATATCCAAGCAAGTTGTGTCATATGTACTTAACATGGAATGCTAACCACTCATTGAGGTATTCATGTACTTGGAAATCTTCACCTGTAATTATTAGGAACACAACAGAATCAGATTAAGAATAGTATTTATTTTATTGCATTAACAAACAATCATAACACTTTCTGTACCAAACACCAACATGAAAGCCAAGTCTTGTCCAAATCTCAGTAAAGTAGATTTCCAATTTGGATTGTAAATTGTGAAGTGGAAAACCTACTAGTGGTGTAAAAAAACCATGTCATTTGAAACTACTTCTGGCTTGATGGCATGGCATACTAGCCCATAGTGTTTCCATCAAATTAAAGAGTTTACAGTCACAGACCGCAGTTCACTGGGTCAGCATCTTGTTTTATTTCATAAATCACACATAGATACAATACCAGTTGTGGGACAACAAACACAACCCATGGGTAAGCCCTCATTACAAAATGAGCACTCAATTAATACTTGCATAAGACTTTTAACATTATCTAACAGTTCTTTAGATGCACCAATAAATGCCCAATTTCATGAAATCATGTATGTGCAATGTACATTTATGGTTTGGTATGTTTTGTGAATAAATAGAGAATACAATATACAAATCTTTAACTAATTTTCTGTGTCATTATTTGTAGCAGCAAGCAATAAAGAATTTCATTTCTGTGTTATAAAGTTAGGTGGTCCAAGGGGTTCCTCTATAGAATGATAAATCTAGGAACGTCGTAAGTCTTTCTTTCTTAACAAGAGGGTTATGGCAAGGCCCCTTTGACTCTCAGTCTTAACTTCAAACACCATATCATGATAGGTACACATGAACTGTATTGTCATACAGCACTGTAAAGATATCAATATCTGGACTGGGACAATATACCAACTGTGATCCGATATGTATCACGATACCATGCTCATGATCTGATACGTATCACGATACTAGCATGTGCTCTTATCTGTGGTACGAAAGGCATCTTTTTCACAGACAAAATGGCCACATACCTGTCACACTGAAGATTTTAAGTTGGCAGTGTCAAGTATGGCTCATTGGATGAAAATATTTACATTTTCACCACTAATTCACTTACTGTGTGCCTCTGATCGATAATTGTATCAAGAAGTAAAAAATCACGATCCACTGATGCATCGTCCCCATACTAATCAATATACAAACGTTAATGATTCAACTATGGTATATCAAAATATGGTTGCATCATGAGCATCAGGATTACAGATCGTACAGTGCAATAATAAATATAGTTTGTCTATACAGTAACAAACATAAAATGTCTATTTACACAACAACACAAGTTAACAATGTACAGTTTCCACACTAGGTCTCATTGTGTACACTACAGAGGAGTATTCATTTTGTCTTGTTCGAGATAATTGTACACATAAAGGTAAGTTCTCAACATTAGCACCTTCTTTGTAATGAACTGCGGTTGATAAGATCTGAGCAAAAGTCTACAATTGCATCATGGAAGCCCCCTCTTACAGTATAATGACATGGTTAAAAAACATATTCAGTCAAAAATTTCAAGCACTATTAAAGTTCCTTCTCATTTATTTCATGTCTTCTTTTTGTTAAACACCCGGTATAACACTACCAGTCATACAATCTGATCTGGCATAATCATGTCAGACCCCAAAATTCAAGTTGTGAACTTTGCACAACCATTGGTTAGTTGAATCATGGTACAATGAAAACTACTCTCCCTCTAAACTCGTTTCCAGTAACACAATCTTTAGTGTTTCCATCTTGCTGGAACTGAGTCAATTATACAAAATCAATTGTGCAAAAATACAGCCATAAATACTTTAAAAGTTTATCTTGTACAAGGAACTTGTTAATTAAGCAAAACAATCTGTGCAATCCTCAAATATTCAAACATTACTTCTATTATAACAAATCAATATTGCAACCAGTCACCAGTCCATAAATGGGTATATCCCCATTCTTGTAACACTGGTAATAATGAATGAAGAAAAACATCAGTACACTAAGCACTTCTAGAACATGCCTCTCATTTGTTAGTGGACTATGAATTGAATATACTGTTGCTACAGTAATGAGTAGCAGGTGCTTTCATTCACAGTCCCACATATGTATGAATTTACTCTCATTACATAAACATTTCCTGCTCTCACAACAGTGTTCAACAAGCAACTACAATGACTAGGGTCCTTTCAGGTGTGTGATATGAAAATGGAAAGATTAAACTATCTTAACTTACATTCTGTAATTGTTAGTCACAAAGTAACAAGTGTATATACAAGGTTGAATCTTATTAATTTAAGATCTTTTACTCTCATTTTGATACCTCTCTCCATCAAGATTTAACAAACCCTGCACAGGTCACTTCCAAGTTTCAAACAGCTAATAGCATGGAGCCTGCTTAATTAATCTTCACAGATAAACGTATGTGTAAGAGAAGATAGTCTACATGTGATATTAGACACAAACCTTATTCATTTCATTACCTTTTCTACTTGACCCCAAGTCATAAATAAAATGTAGGATCTATTAAGTCTTGAATGATGTTCATAAATAGCTGATGGTTATAAATAGGAATGTTGAAAATGAAAGACATGAGTGGATGCTGGGGAGACCTTAGTCGCAAAACATACAGACACCTTTTCTTGGTAGTGGGACAACAGGTCCACCACCTTAGGTGTTGTACAAGCTCAAAAGAACTGTGTTTCAGTAGCCTATGAGAGGACTTTGGTCTGTGCAGCTAGTTGTTGTGACATCAGTAATCATACAATAAGCTCATGGCTTCTGCTGCCTTGCATCTCACTTGAGGGGAAATATCCTTCAGCAGCAGTACAAGAGCTGAAACCATAGCAAAGTTATAGTGAGTGAGTGAGTTGGGTTTAACACAGCTTTTAACATTATTCCAGTTATATCCCGGCGTGTCAGCTTAATATGGGAGGAAAGCCCAAAGTGATGCAGGTCTCAGACGTTTACCACTTCGGTGAAACCCACGAGCACGGGTATGGTGCTGACAAACCTAGAAACATAATTGGGGCAAACCGGGATTCAAACCCACAATCATAGGTTTCTGGCGTGTCCAAGGGACGCATGTCTGCACAGTGAATCGCGGCGCTTTAGATAACTGGGCCACCCGTGCCCCAAGCAAAGTTAGAAGGTGAATGTTACCTCATTCAGGACAGACACACAATCTCCAATTTTCTCCTACTCTTAGTGTTCATTATCAGCATGCACATGCAAAACTCAAACAGAGATTCATCCATGAAGGGATAAACACCACTTTGAACAGTTTTAAAAAAAATATCACAGCATGACAGCTTGGTGTGCTAGGAAAGCCCATTCAAACCCATGATAAGTGAATTCTGGCCTGCCTTAGGGATACAACATTGTACGATCAGTTGCAGGGGTTGAACCAGAGGCCCTACTTTTCTTGTGGGGGCTCTTATAATTATGAGTGAGTTGTGTTTAACACTGCTTTTAACAGTATTCCAGTCATATCACGGCGTGTCAGCTGAATGTGGGAGGAAAGGTGGAAGTGATGAAGGTCTCAGACGTTTACCACTTCGGTGAAACCCACGAGCACGGGTATGGTGCTGACAAACCTAGAAACATAATCGGGGCGAACCGGGATTCGAACCCACAATCATAGATTTCTGGTGTGCCGAAGGGACGCAACTCTGCACAGCGAATTGCGGCGCCTTAGACTGGGCAACCCGTGCCCCCCCTTATAATTATGACAAATCTTGTTTTAAACCAAACATAAGTGAATTCTGGCCTGTCCTAGGGATACAACATTGTCCTGTGAGTTACACTTGGCCACACTTTTCTTGTGGGCGCTGTTCCACAAAGCCATTTTTGCGATTAGAAGATAACTCCCAAGCTTTAACACAGACTTACAACAATCATAGGGCTGTGATCACTTTGTAGAACAGGGCCCAGATGTGATACAGCAAAGTCTAATACTTCACTGAAATGTTCATAGGAAATTTAGAAGGGTGCAAGAGAAATGTGATAAGTTTTTTCCCATTTGATATAAAGCACCTGTCAAGAAAGTTATAGCAGGTAATGTGCAGGTCTTTAACCCTGCTGGACTGATGTTATCTACTTTGACAGTTATCAACAGTGTGTTTTTTCTGTCTGTTGTTTAACATCGCACTCTGTAAATAATTGAATCTGGACCAGACAATCCAGTGATTGATATCATGAGCATCTATCCATGCATCAACCAAGTCAGCAGGCCTGTCCACCCAATCCCATTAGTCGCCTTTTATGACAAGCATGGGTTGCTAGAGACCAATTCTAGCCTGAATCTTCATGGGTCTTATGACTGTATGAGGGACAATACCTGAGCACACATGTTCCTTTGTAATGTTTCCTTGCTTCTCTTTTGATAGATTACCCAGCAGGAACCCTGGTGAGGAAATGACAACCATTATAAACAACACATCAATCAATGGGTGAGTTGGGTTTAGGACAACGTGACACAGGGCATGGACGATTACAGCTGAACCTGGTAACAGTGCTCTCAGACCAGAGATCATAACCGGGATGCATCTAGTGAGTGAGTGAGTTGGGTTTAACACCGCTTTTAACAGTATTCCAGTTATATCACGGTGTGTCAGCTTAATGTGGCAGGAAAGCCCAAAGTGATGCAGGTCTCCGACGTTTACCACTTTGGTGAAACCAACAAGCACAGGTATGATGCTGACAAACCTAGAAACATAATTGAGGAGAACTGGGATTCGAACCCACAATCATAGGTTTCTGGCGTGCTAGGATTTGTACTCATGACCAGTGGATCCTGGAAGCATAGAGAGTCATATCCATGGCACATTGTGATTTAGTCCACCGGGACACATTTTCAGTCTCTTTATTTACAGAGTGACAGTAATGCCTGTGGCATAACTACTGTTCACTGAAATGACAAATGAGAAGAATTACACACAGAGCAAAATAGACATCCACACCTATAAATGAGTGAGAGAATGTTTTTTACAATGCAATCAGCAATATTGTAGTCATATCACTGCTGCCCGTAAATAATAAAATTAGGGCCAGGCAAATTAATGGTTGATGGCACAAGCAGAAATTGACACCATTTGTGTGAGTTTTAACTCATGATCATTCCTAACCCGCCTTTACAAGAAGCAATGGGCTTGTTGTAGTTTAACACCACACTCATCACTATTCCAGTTATATGACAACGGTCTGTAAATAATTCAGTCTGGACCAGACAATCCAATGATTGACATCATGAGCATTGATCTCTGCAATTGGGATACGATGTCATGCATCAACCAAGTCAGCGAGTCTGGCCACCTGATCCCATTAGCAAGCATGGGTTGCTGAAGACCTATTCCCTACCCTCATCTTCACGGGTAAGAAGCAATGGGTACTAGGAACCCCTATTCTGCCTGGAGTCCAAAACTACGTAGCAGAAGCCTCTCATATAATATAATGTCAGTCTGTCTTTTAATGTGTATACCTGCAAACATTGCAGCATTGCTCTTGATTTCATCCCAGTGGCTTTTGAAGAATGAGACACAGCCCATCACATAGAAGTTGATCTTTTCCGGAAAATCTTGAATCTAGAAAACAGAAACAACAAATCATAGCTAAAAACAATGCCTTAATCAACATCATAAAAATACTTATGCATGTACATTTATGCATACACAACATAAAGAGTCCTATACCTTCCCATTTTGACATGTACACAATTATCAGAGAACAAAATATTTAAGAAAGGTTTTGACAGGACATTTGAAAGACAACAATAATTGTTAAAAATCAAGGATCCTCCAGGTGAACAATTATTGTTCGCATTTGTTTTTTGATGTTTGATGTTGACCGATAACGTCCAGTCACCCTTGCAAGTAGTTTACACACTAATTAACAACAAAAACACATGTCAGTCTGATTGCAGCTCTTTATTTTGTATCCTTTGTAATGATATACGGTCTCGGGTTGTAATGTCCAGCTAATACTTTTTTCGAAAATGTCTGTTAGCAAATTTTAAAATGTCCGGTTGGCACTATTTCAAATCAGACATTTTGCAGTCACAGTCGGACAAGTCCGGCGCACAGACCGGTTTCCGGACCCCTGTATGCTACTCTTTTTTTATGATATTGTTTTGCTTGTAAAACTGAAAGAAGGTAATAGAAGCAACAAACTTTGAAAACCTTTAAATGGTGCTACTTACAATAAGTTTGGATAAGTCGTTCATGAATTCCCCATAGAAAAGGTTTGCCTCCTCCAGAAGATGTTTCTGAAACTTGTCGTTGACAGACTCTGATCCTATCAGTGGCCCCAGCATCCGCAGGGCATACTTACAAGCCTGGAACACAGGGAAGCACAAACAATTTACAAGGGATATCGTAATATGTTGCCGCAATACATATTGTCCAAACCATTACATATGAATACGATAAGAGAAGGTGAAAGGGTAGCCTTGCGGTTAAAGTGTTTTTTTGGTGTTCCCCTACTGTGATGGAACTGGAATATTGTTAAAAGCAGCTCCAAACCTCACACACTCACTTGTGGGTTTTTTGTAATAGCTTCTCAAGGCAATAATGTGATTGGCGTTTTGACTGATACAACATAATCAAACTACTCGCAGCGCCTGAAGCCCTGATACCCATTCATGATGACTTTTACAACAAGCATAGAGTACTGGGACTCTTTCCTCACCGGGATCCGGGGCAGGGGTGGCCCAATCGTTTAACATGCTGCAATAGGCTGTGAAGAGTTGCATCCCTTGGGCACACTTAAAAAACCAATGATTGTGGGTTCCAATCCCGGTTCTCACTGATTATATTTCTAGGTTTGTGAGCACCATATCCCTGCTTGTGGGTTTCACCAAAGTGGGAAATGTCTGAAACCTGCATCTATTCCAGCTCCCTCCCTCACTAACTCACTCATTCACCCTGAGTCTCACCTTCTTCACATCCGGTTCTGGATCATTCAGATGTAGGAGAAGACTGATGAAGTTACTGTGTATTTGTTCAAGAAAGGGTGCTCGTGACGGACCATCGCCGAACCGGGACAGATTGCCAAACAAGATGAATGCCTGTGCACGTACTGCAGGCTTCTCCTAAACCAGAAGCATGAGTCACAAAACTTATTTTCCAAATAGAACAAATGTTGTAATTATGATCCAAAGCAGTTTGAGATTCCTTATATAACTGATATTATCCTTTCAATTCCTAAAGTGAAAGTCTAAACAAAAGTTTTACCCCTTCTCGGAGATTGTGTCAACTGACAATATACATTTCTCATTATATATGTACACAACCAACATGTTCAACAGAAATGAAGAAATACTGGTATTGCATGTGTCAGATCAGACACCAAGGCATTTGAATATCACTTTAATCCAAGTTCCAGTTCAAAACTAATACATTTTTTAGAATCATCTGAAAATTGCCTCAACTTGAATAAAGCCCCCAAACATTTTAAATGCAAAACAGCATACCTTTTCAAAGCAAGGCCTAATTTTGAGTGCAACATTGATGAGAATGGCTCGGATGTGACTCTCGTCAATCTCAGACATGATGCGAGACAAACCACTCATTGCTTCGATTGTGATGTCATCATTTGGGTCTTCCTTATCATCCATCCCAGCCATCATGGCAGACAGGATTGTTGTTGAGTATTTCTGAACCTGGTGAAAAAAGAACAAAGGGAAAAAGCAGATTTAAGTGTCAGCAGAATTTCTGTTGTATCATATGGCATAAGCTTAATGCAGAAGGAAAGGACAAAGACAGGCTGCTAGTAGATGTTTAAAACTAGGTCCTAATAATTCTGCATCAAAGATTATAATCAATTATCATTGGTTCCTGGTCACGCTAAGGGACACAACTCTGCACAGCACATTAGGACATCTTAGACCATTGAGCTTCATGTGTTTCCAAATTAGGTGCTACATTGTTATCAGGAACATCTTGACGTAAACTTGGCAATAGCATTTTCTATGGGGGGATAAAAATCTAGTGACCACTAACGTGAGCATGTTTATGTTTTCTTACCGGGTATGTTAGTTCACTGTCAAAAGCAAATGAAGCTAGGTACATGAAGACTGGAAGCAGTCACTGTTTCCTACATGATTTGTTTTAAAAACAACAACAAAGGTATATTTTCATCCCCTTCTCTAATGTGTTACAAATGCACAAAAAGCTGAGGCGGCCATTGTACAAAACAACCTTAGCGCTACTCTGTCGTAAGTCTGAGTTAAGGTATGGGAGTTCCGATCACCTTAGATCTAAGATCACTCAACGGTACCCAGGACACATTTTATAACATTGGAACAATGTTTCAATGTGAGGTGGGTGGGGGGTGTTGTATTTTGTTTGTTTGGTTGTTCATGGTTATTTGATACTTTACTGACATGTTATTGTCATAAAATGGAGACTGCTCCAGTTTCGGTACCATTGTGATGGCAAAGTGAGTGATTGAGTTAATTTCAACGCCGCTTTTAACAGTATTCCAGTTATATCCCGGCGTGTCAGCTTAATGTGGGAGGAAAGCCCGAAGTGATGCAGGTCTCAGACGTTTACCACTTCGGTGAAACCCACGATCACAGGTTTGGTGCTGACAACCTAGAAACATAATTGGGGCAAACTGGGATTCGAACCCACAATCATAGGTTTCTGGCATGCCCAAGGGACGCAACTCTGCACAGCGAATCGCAGCGCCTTAGACAACTGGGCCACCCGTGCCCCCTTTATCCTTCAGAAGTTTACATGATATTACTGACTTAACTTTGCGTGAGCTAAGGAAGGTAATGAGACATGGTCTAACCTGGTCCTTGCCCACACTGGCCACATTGCTGAGTCCTCGTATACACAGCATTCTGACGACGTGCGAGGAGTCGACGAGGCGGCCCAGCAGGCTGTTCATGATCAGCTCCACCATTGTGTCGTCTCCAGCACACTTCTGGTTGATCAACTGAAACACGGAGACAGAGAAAGGTAGAAACTAAATAAAAAGACTTGACGATTGTCTTTCAGCTGACTGTTTCTTAACCAAGGAATGAGTAAGAGATAAACTTTTAGCAATTTTGAGGATGAACCCACAGCTGTTTAGAAACTGATAGCTCCTGAACAATTTCAGAGTCCTTAATCGAAACCACAAGTGACACATTGACAAATACATATACAAGAATGACAATCTGCTTAAACGAGTGTCAAATCATTGCCTACCAACACTGAACACAATGTCCTATAAGTTGAAATGTTATTTCCACGGTAAGCCAACTGCACAAATTCTGACCACCTTCGTTGGCTTAGGGTCCCAAAGTTTGTAGCCAAAGGGAAAAGGTTTGAATATCAATGTACATGTTGTCTGTAGATTTAATACATGTTATATAAACATGCTACAAAAGCATAACTCATTCTAAAACTCAGAAAGGAACTTGTTATTGCTCAGGCCCAGATCCTCAGCATGTGTCTCCATGGACATAAAGCAATACACAAATTATTTATTAATTAGACCGTTCACTACGTTAACAGATCGTTATTATAACAGAAACAAACGTATGTTTTCCATGTAAATCTAAAATGATATTATTTGTTATTAATTGTCCAGTGAATTAAACAATTTAAATTGAAACAATTCATAATTCATCATATTATGAATACGTAAACTTGTAATGTGTGTGAAAAGTCGTACTAAAATACGCTATTTGAAGGGGGCGTGGCCTAAATGCAAATGTCCGATTGGGATTTTAAATTTTCCGGACCCCTGCACAAATATGTACTGGTTACCTCCTAAAGACTATCTTACCTCGGCAAAGAAAGCAGCTACTACGACCCTCTGTGGATCGAAAAGACTGGATAGGACTGACGTGAGATTGGCCACAATCTTGGATGTGTAGGCACATTCTGCTGTGCTGGTTACCAAAATTCTGACAACACAATTACATGAATCAATGAATGAATTGCAAGTGATTCCGTGGCATTTCATTGGTTCACCAAGCAATTTGTTTTTGCGTTAATGTTTCCATAAAACACCCCACCCCTAACAAAATAGGCCACACTCAAAAACGGAATACTGTTTCTTGATTGGTTGAAAATAGAAAGGGCGGGGCTTGTGTTGTATTATTGTGCTGAACGATGTCACTGACTTCGTATTGTTGTCTACAGGTTTTTGTGTGTTGATGCTTCAGTCAGCAGTCTGCGAAGATATTATTGTTGAAGTATATATTTAAAAGAATAGACTAAGCTGATTTAACACAGAATGCATACCGGTTTCTATGTTAATAATTTCAAAAATGAAAAAAATATTAAAGTCAATTCTTAAGTGGAAGTGCAGACTTCGTGTAACAAGACCTCTGCGAATGTTTACTGCAACTGGGCTTCTAGTATCATCATTTTTCTTTTGAGAAAAGGTCGTGAATTCTTATCAATGTGTCACTCATAACAGACGTAAGTCAAAAGGATCAATTATAATTCTATACCCTTGCTCATTATCATATCCTGGATCTCCCCTGAAGGACAATGATCTCACTACCTGGCTAGAGTGGTGACAGCCCCTAGAGTCCCCTATTCAGCCCTGGATCTCCCCTGAAGGACAATGATCTCACTACCTGGCTAGAGCGGTGACAGACCCTAGAGTCTCCTATTCAGCCCTGGCTCTTCCCTGAAGAACAATGATCTCAGTACCTGGCTAGAGTGGTGACAGCCCCTAGAGTCCCCTATTCAGCCCTGGCTCTTCCCTGAAGGACACTGATCTCAGTACCTGGCTAGAGCGGTGACAGCCCCTAGAGTCTCCTATTCAGCCCTGGCTCTTCCCTGAAGGACAATGATCTCAGTACCTGGCTAGAATGATGATGGTCACTAGTCCCCTATTCAGCCCTGGATCTCCCCTGAAGGACAATGATCTCAGTACCTGGCTAGAACGGTGACAGCCCCTAGAGTCCCCTATTCAGCCCTGGATCTCCCCTGAAGGACAATGATCTCAGTACCTGGCTAGAATGATGATGGTCACTAGTCCCCTATTCAGCCCTGGATCTCCCCTGAAGGACAATGATCTCAGTACCTGGCTAGAGTGGTGACAGCCACTAGAGTCCCCTATTCAGCCCTGGCTCTTCCCTGAAGAACAATGATCTCAGTACCTGGCTAGAGTGGTGATGGTCACTAGTCCCCTATTCAGCTCTGGATCTCCCTGAAGGACAATCATCTCACTACCTGGCTAGAGTGGTGACAGCCACTAGAGTCCCCTATTCAGCCCTGGCTCTTCCCTGAAGGACAATGATCTCACTGCCTGGCTAGAATGATGATGGTCACTAGTCCCCTATTCAGCCCTGGATCTCCCCTAAAGGACAATGATCTCAGTACCTGGCTAGAGTGGTGACAGCCACTAGAGTCCCCTATTCAGCCCTGGCTCTTCCCTGAAGGACAATGATCTCACTACCTGGCTAGAATGATGATGGTCACTAGTCCCCTATTCAGCTCTGGATCTCCCTGAAGGACAATCATCTCACTACCTGGCTAGAGTGGTGACAGCCACTAGAGTCCCCTATTCAGCCCTGGCTCTTCCCTGAAGGACAATGATCTCACTGCCTGGCTAGAATGATGATGGTCACTAGTCCCCTATTCAGCCCTGGATCTCCCCTGAAGGACAATGATCTCAGTACCTGGCTAGAACGGTGACAGCCCCTAGAGTCCCCTATTCAGCCCTGGATCTCCCCTGAAGGACAATGATCTCAGTACCTGGCTAGAATGATGATGGTCACTAGTCCCCTATTCAGCCCTGGATCTCCCCTGAAGGACAATGATCTCAGTACCTGGCTAGAGTGGTGACAGCCACTAGAGTCCCCTATTCAGCCCTGGCTCTTCCCTGAAGAACAATGATCTCAGTACCTGGCTAGAGTGGTGATGGTCACTAGTCCCCTATTCAGCTCTGGATCTCCCTGAAGGACAATCATCTCACTACCTGGCTAGAGTGGTGACAGCCACTAGAGTCCCCTATTCAGCCCTGGCTCTTCCCTGAAGGACAATGATCTCACTGCCTGGCTAGAATGATGATGGTCACTAGTCCCCTATTCAGCCCTGGATCTCCCCTAAAGGACAATGATCTCAGTACCTGGCTAGAGTGGTGACAGCCACTAGAGTCCCCTATTCAGCCCTGGCTCTTCCCTGAAGGACAATGATCTCACTACCTGGCTAGAATGATGATGGTCACTAGTCCCCTATTCAGCTCTGGATCTCCCTGAAGGACAATCATCTCACTACCTGGCTAGAGTGGTGACAGCCACTAGAGTCCCCTATTCAGCCCTGGCTCTTCCCTGAAGGACAATGATCTCACTGCCTGGCTAGAATGATGATGGTCACTAGTCCCCTATTCAGCTCTGGATCTCCCCTGAAGGACACTGATCTCACTACCTGGCTAGAGCGGTGATGGCCTCTGGGTACAGCATCTCATCCTCCATGTTGATCCATACCATTTCTTTCTCTAGGGTCTCACACATGTCGAAGCTCTTTGCTCTCTGGAGGAACTTCTGGAAGGCCTCTATCACTGCTCTAAAGAGTAACAAGGTCATTTTAATTACTAGATTCATGAAGGTTACAGATGTGGAACAAAATACCAATAAAATGAAAGAGTCTTTTCTTTTCCCACCTCCTCGGCATTTGTTACTGTTTCATTAATGACATATAGTATGGTGCTTACAAAACATAATCAATCTTGGATTTGAACCAGGTTTGATTATAGGTCTCTGGTATGCCTAAGGGACGCAGTTCTTCACATCATCCGAGAACCCGTACATTCTATCATACATTTTCTGAAAGAAGAAAAATTGAACTGTTTCCTTACTGACTTGGGTTGATGAGTTTCTGTTCAACCTTTGGAGCTTTTTTCTTGTCCTTTGTTTTTGGCTCCTCTCTTTCAACCTGTTACAGAAAGATGAAAAAAATTCCATAATCGGAGTATTATGTTTATTTTATATACTTATCCTGCATTACATATTGCACATTGCTCTTACTTCCGAAGTCCTAACTGGAAATGAATGACGATCTGTAAGCGTCTTCAGTAGTTCTTTCGCCCAACATGACCTCCATAACCCTCATGACATCTGGTGTCGGAAGAAACGCCCCCTATATGTCATTGTTGTCTTTGAACGTCCCTCAGGGCTGATGGTACAGTGGGGAGGAAGACATCAGTCACAAGAGGGACCTTGAGTAATGTAGGATAAGTATATAAAGTATACATTCTTGGCCCTGGCATACTCCAATTTGGCTATAAAATCCCAGCAGAGGCCAAGATGGACAAACCCTCTGGAAAGTTTTTCCTACTGGACTCGAGTACATGGAGCTCCCTAACCCGTAGCTAGAGGTAATAGGAAGACACTCTTCTGCTGAAAAGAGTCCCTGTTGAGTGGTTCATTGGGGTGTTGTCGGAGGTGCTGGAGGACTAGGTTTAAATCGGAACTTCTGGTTCTCCAACCATAGCTTCCGGTATTGAGTGTCAGCACATATAGTATCTATCATGGACAGGTAAGTAACTGTAGTACCACCCTTTAGGTGTTTCTTCGTTCTCAGATAGAGTAAATAATCTGCCATGGATTTTGCTGTTGCATCTGTAAGACACATCTGGGAGTAACGCCTTGTTGCCGACATAAAATCTTAAAGGATGCTCATTTATCATCATACAGTAGCCTGTTGGATGGTCTATGAGCCTGGGCTACGGCTTGGGCTGCTCTCCTTGAGTAACTCTTGGAGGTGAGCGCCTTCTGCATGTGACCCAGGCTTGAAGTGAGCAAACCTGCACTGGGGACAGATGGAGGCAGTGGATGTGAATGTCCTGCAGTAGATTGGACCACTCTGGGAGTTTTAGAGCCGGTTGCCCGGCAACGTGTAATAGGTCGGGGAAACAGGTTCTTGCCGGCCAATGCAGCGCCAAAAGGTTCAAGGACAGGATGGTTGTTGAGTTGATCATTTGGATCACCCAGGGCAGAAGCACTGGTGGGGGAAATGCATGGTGCTGAGGCTTTCCTGTTCTTAGGCTAGGGCATCGACGGTCCAGGCCTGTGTGTCTGTCAAAGGAGACATAAATGTCGGCAACTGTGTGTTGTGTCTTCAGGTAAACAGCTCAGTGTTTGGCTGCCCTAACTGCTGGCACAGTTTCCAGTCTGTGGGGGATGGGCAGTCCGGCCTTCATAGTGCATTAGCGAGGCCATTTCTCCATCAGGGGATGTGTCTCGCCCAATGGAATCCAGTCTATGAGATAGTAAAAGAGGAACGACTGGTTCAAAAGAGAGCTTGTGTGGGTTGATCACTGCTTGTTGATGAACCAGACAACCGTTGTGTTGTCCGTGGGTATCAGCAGCTTGGTGTCGGTCAGTTGATGAGCCCAATACTGTACTGCCAGGGTGACGGTCTCCAGTTCCAAGTTGTTGATGTGTCACTGCTTTGTTCTGGTCCAAGTAGTGGGCCCACCATCCCTGGAGTGAGGCGTCGACAAACACGTGATGGGATGCTTTGAAATTTTGATGCTGTCTGAAGCGTTCAATGGGATGAGCCAACAGTCAAGGTATTGGCAAAGTGATCAAGGTCCAATCCTGCTGGCTCCGTAGGTAAGGCGCCAGACATATAGGGGGCGTGTCTTCCGAAACCAGATGTCACTAGGGTCATTGAGGTCATGTTGGGCAAAAGAGTTACTTAAGACGATGATAGATCGTCATTCATTTCCAGTTAGGACTTCAGCAATGCGCAATATGTAATGCAGGATAAGTTAAAAATACAAGAACTAGAACACAATCAAATTCAAGAAGACTGCAGTCAAAAAGAAGCAATTAAATCACAAAACACTTCACAATACTTTCCTTAAATCTTCATATCCAAATATGAAAATGTGGCAAACATCAACTTGTACAACTTGTACAACCTATGAAACCCTATTGTAGTCATATGACAAGCTTACAGCCCAGGGCACCTGTCTCGGTATACCCAGAAAACATTCAGGGAGTGCACAATGACATAACAATTGTCCCTGGTCACAAATGGTACTCCTCCCAGGAAGTAAAAAGTCAGCACCTGTCAATGGTCATGGGTTTCATAAAACTGGTAAGCACCTAAAACTTGCACCACTCTGGGCTTTCCTCCCTCTTTAAGCTGAGTGAGTGAGTGAGTTTGATTTTACGCCGCTTTTAGCATTATTCCAGCAATATCACGGCGGGGGACACCAGAAATGGGCTTCACACATTGTACTCATGTCGGGAATCGAACCCGGGTCTTCGGCGTGATGAGCGAACGCTTTAACCACTAGGCTACCCGACCGCCCCCTCTTTAAGCTGAAATACTGTTCAAAGAGGCAGTAAACCCAACTCACTCTCACTGTCCAAGTCCTACCATGCCAGAGCACTCACTCACTCACTCACTCCCTCACTCCACTCACCTGAGCTTTGGGTGGTCCGACTCCGACAGCAGAGCCAACTCTCACCATGAGCGCTGCAAACAGTCTATGGAAGTTCTTCAACACTTGTTCTTCAGACTCCTCCACCACGAATATCTCCTTCAGTGCATATGTAACCTGCAACAAACCCATGACGACATTGGGTTATATATCCACTTTAGCCCTGACCAATTTATTTCCTTCTATTATACAAAACATGTGTTTGATTGAATGTTGTTTTGTAACAACCCAAAATCAGCCCTGACAACACATACCTAATTTTACTTCCTGCCTTTAAGGAATGGATCAAGAAATGGTGTAAAACAAGAAAACATCAGTCTCGCCTTGGAAGATGGAATATATTTTAAACCAGGGTATGAAACTCCCAAAAATTTCAGCCAGACCACAGGACTGGCTAGCTGAAATACTTGCCAGCCCTGACCAAAACCTGCCTGCCCACTATAATCATATGTTTCTCAGGATAAGCTAACGGGGTTTCTTTTTGGTTACATTTTATCATTCATCTTTACATGTGAATTAATGCTTATCATCGGGAAATATTTTGAATATTTTCACATATGAAATATAACCCGACCGTCGGGCAGGGGGATTTGAAAATCTGGCAGCCTGAGTTGAAATCAACCCGTCTCAGACGGTCGGGCAGGCAGGTATTTCGAACACTGTTTAAACATTAATGGCCAACCCTTGCCGATCAGTGTTTACTCTTTTTGTTTAACCTGAACCGACACACAATGATTAAAGAAAGATGGGAGGTACTGACAGGTGAAGGTTAATACTTGAATCATCGGGATCATTCATTAATTCAGAATCAGAACTAAAATATTTAAATATCTTTGAATCGAAAGACAATAACATTTAGTAATTACTTCAATTCAAACAACCGTTCTACACTTTCTAATTGTAAATATATGTCTGACTATACTGACAGCAAGGGGGGTAACTGTTGCAGTCTTGAGCAGATGGCTCTTGTCCCGCGGGTCGGGTTTCTCCTCGTAAGGAAGACTCTTCTGCAGCAGCTCCAGGAAGTGGTCAATCATGCTGGCCGTCAACTGCGACTCCTGGGCAATGATGTGCCACACCTCAACTATGTGTCTGCAAGTCGAAACAGCGCAGTAGTCGAGTTAAAATATGGTAGACATACTCATCATAAAGTTGAGAGAATTGCACAAACATACCAGCATGCAGGCTGCTTAAAGTCCTCAGCAGTGTGCAGTCCCCCCTTAACTCATCCTTACACAATGAGTATCCCCCCCCAAAATACAGCTCAACTTGCTTATCGTCATCTTCCCGAGGCAAGAGAGTTAACTGGCTATAAAAGTCCAGTTTCCACCCTTTCCAAACTAGGCTGGCATTATGGAGTTACATTTTGGCTGGACTAACGAGTCTATGCATAGTCCAATCAAAATTCGCCCAACAAAATTGAAAACTGGTTCATAAACTGTCGTGCAGATTTCGGTCGATTGCAGGATGTCCAAAGCACGTGCACTGCCAACGCGTTGTCAAAAGATATTTTCCAAACCTTTTCATGTTTTTAATCAAGGTGCTCGTGTGATTTGATGCACTTCGCGATGCAAGACCTGTTTTATCACAATATAGATCGATCTTGATTATCGATCAGATCGTCATGACCGGGCGCCGCCATATTGTTTGAAACAAATGCAAATGATGGAAGCTGATTGGTCCACAAAACTCAACTTACTCATCATAAGGCAGTGGCTATCTCCCTACACAAAACTCAACTTACTCATCGTAAAGTAGTGGGTATCTCCCCACACAGAACTCAACCTACTCATCGTAAGGTAGTGGGTATCTCCCTACACAGAATTCAACTTACTTATCGTAAGGCAGTGTGGATCTCCCTACACAGAACTCAACTTACTTATCGTAAGGCAGTGTGGATCTCCCAACACAGAACTCAACTTACTCATCATAAGGTAGTGGGTATCTCCCCACACAGAACTCAACTTACTCATCATAAGGCAATGGGTATCTCCCCAAACAAAACTCAACTTACTCATCATAAGGCAGTGGCTATCTCCCTACACAGAACTCAACTTACTCATCGTAAGGCAGTGGCTATCTCCCCACACAGAATTCAACTTACTCATCATAAGGCAGCGGGTATCTCCCCACACAGAACTCAACTTACTCATCGTAAGGCAGTGTAGATCTCCCCTCAAAATACAGCTACACTTGCTCATCATAAGGCAATGAGTATTTCCCTATATTGAACCCAACTTACTCATCATAAGGCAGTGGCTATCTCCCTACACAGAATTCAACTTACTTATCGTAAGGCAGTGTGGATCTCCCAACACAGAACTCAACCTACTCATTGTAAGGTAGTGGGTATCTCCCTACACAGAATTCAACTTACTTATCGTAAGGCAGTGTGGATCTCCCTACACAGAACTCAACTTACTCATCGTAAGGCAGTGGATTTCTCCCTACACAAAACTCAACTTACTCATCATAAGGCAATGGCTATCTCCCTACACAAAACTCAACTTACTCATCGTAAGGCAGTGTGGATCTCCCTACACAGAACTCAACTTACTCATCGTAAGGCAGTGGCTATCTCCCTACACAAAACTCAACTTACTCATCATAAGGCAATGGCTATGTCCCCACACAAAACTCAACTTACTCATCGTAAGGCAGTGGCTATCTCCCCACACAAAACTCAACTTACTCATCATAAGGCAATGGCTATGTCCCTACACAAAACTCAACTTACTCATCGTAAGGCAGTGGCTATCTCCCCACACAGAATTCAACTTACTCATCATAAGGCAGTGGGTATCTCCCCACACAGAACTCAACTTACTCATCATAAGGCAGTGTGGATCTCCCTACACAGAACTCAACTTACTCATCGTAAGGTAGTGGGTATCTCCCTACACAGAACTCAACTTACTCATCATAAGGCAGTGGCTATCTCCATACACAGAATTCAACTTACTTATCGTAAGGCAAGTGTGGATCTCCCAACACAGAACTCAACTTACTCATTATCAGGTAGTGGGTATCTCCCAAAACAAAACTCAACTTACTCATCGTAAGGCAGTGTGGATATCCCTACACAGTACTCAACTTACTCATCGTAAGGCAGTGGCTATCTCCCCACACAAAACTCAACTTACTTATCGTAAGGCAGTGTGGATCTCCCAACACAGAACTCAACTTACTCATCATAAGGCAATGGGTATCTCCCCAAAAAAACTCAACTTACTCATCATAAGGCAGTGGCTATCTCCCTACACAAAACTCAACTTACTTATCGTAAGGCAGTGTGGATCTCCCTACACAGTACTCAACTTACTCATCATAAGGCAATGGGTATCTCCCCAAAAAAACTCAACTTACTCATCATAAGGCAGTGGCTATCTCCCTACACAAAACTCAACTTACTCATCATAAGGCAGTGGGTATCTCCCTACACAGAACTCAACTTACTCATCATAAGGCAGTGGGTATCCCAGGAGGGTTGTGACGACTGGGATGAGGTGGTGAGCGGCCATTGTTCGGATTGTTCGGAGTGTGCCTGTTCGAGTTTGTGGACACTGAATGAGCCGCAGCTTGTCGTACAGATTGTCGAGGATCTTGCCCACCTGGAAAAAAGACTCACTGTATTGAATCATCTAGGCACTGTGCACCTAAATCTCACACATATTATAGATGGAGAAAACTTATTGAATCAACATGTTATATGGTTTTGTACATAAACAATCTCATGTTTCTTAGTGTCTCAGACACATGGCCCTTGATCAATTGTTGGCACAGCTGGAAGATTAAGTTTTGAAATCTTACATAAACAAATTCTATAGATAGTGTTAAGATTTCTTTTTCATTCAGTTTTGCTTAACCATAATACCTTCACAGGATATAATGAATCTTGGAAAATCATGTACACCTCCAATTCTTCATCAAAATATCCAAGGATCGATCCTAGTATAGACTGACCGATCCAGCGTGGCAATCCTTGTTTGTTTTGCTCCCGAAGAGCTGTGAGACTACCCCTCCTCTACACCCTCACCTCTTTATGCAGATCCCCTCCCCGAGTCTTCATCAGACCATTGAGGACCACGCACACCCCGGACGAGCTGTGAGACTACAGCACCCCTCCTCTACACCCTCACCTCTTTATGCAGCTCTCCTCCCCGGGTCTTCATCAGACCATTGAGGACCACGCACGCCCTGGACGAGCTGTGAGACTACAGCACCCTCCTCTACACCCTCACCTCTTTATGCAGCTCTCCTCCCCGGGTCTTCATCAGACCATTGAGGACGACGCACGCCCCGGACGAGCTGTGAGACTGGGGATCCAGGAGACCCTCCTGGAGGACTTCCATGAATGGCTGGAGGTGGTCAGCATGGAGCTTCTTGGACACCACCTGGAAAATATAAATTGGTTCGCAAACAATTCAAACAAGGTCTCATGGATACCCTCTGATAACAATGTCTGAATGATCGGTGAATGTCAGCAACAATTCAGCAATTTCAACAGCCTGGACCTGATGCAATTCCTACTGCACAAACAGTAATCCATGCCGTCATGGTATGATGTCACATTTACACAAGGCCATGTTCCACAACGAAATCTCGGCTGTATGACTGTCATGTCATAACCTAGACTTGAGGTCGTAGTTGCACTTTTCTGAACAAGCTCCTGTCACCACCCACCATACAAGTGCCTCTGTTGACAAGAAGTGGGTGTGTTGAATTTAATGCCACTTTGAACAATATTGAATTTCAGCTTAACAAGGTGAGGTGAAATGGGGTTTGACATTGCATTCAATATTGCGCTGAATTAGCAATGTGCGTGCACATGTGGGTGTGGCTGCTTGTACTAGTCAAGACTGATGCCGATTTATAATGCTAGCCCACTGAGATACGATTCCTCAGTTTGTCGGCCAAGTGGCCAAGTTATTCCCAAAGTATGTCTCTTCCTGCTCACCTTTGACAGGTCGTTGATGACACTGAAGAGGATGTTGGGGTCTCCCTTCTTCAGCCTCTCCTTCAGAGTGCCAAGAGCTTCCACCATCTGGTCCTTGTGATCTGCATGGTTACCTTGGCAACAATATGATAATCTGAATACTTCTGAACACATGAATTATCCTTCATATGATCCCAAAGACCATGATGTCATAAATGGCACGATCACAGTGGCCAGTCGTGGCATGTCAAAACAAATACAGTAAACTACGTTTATAACAACGAACACAGTCATAACAAACTGACAGATATAACAAACAGTTTTTTGGTCCCGTCCATTTGCTGTTTGTATGCTGCAAATGTGCTTATAACAAACTACAGTTATAACAAACTAATTTTAGTGGTCCCTTGGGGTTCATTACAACCATAGTTTACTGTACAAGTTAACTGGCCAGTCAGCACGGACATCATGAAAGTCATAATGCTTGATGTGCCATCACATGCTTGTCACATGACATGTGACCCTCTTCACTCTTTGCGTTATCATATTGAAGGTCGGATTTAAATGTCACACAAATGTATTTCACCAATGGACTCGAGAACAGTGATATATTTGTAAAACGTGTCGTGACCCTAAAGATCCAGGGTAGAATAGATCTTCAGCAACCCATGCTTGCCATAAAAGGCAACTATGCTTGTCGTAAATGGCGACTAACGGGATCGGGTGGTCAGGCTCGCTGACTTGGTTGATGCATGTCATCGATCCCAATTGCGTGGATCGATGCTCATGATATTAATCACTGGACTGTCTGGTCCAGACTTGATTATTTACAGACCGCCGTCATATAGCTGGAATATTGCTGAGTGCGGCGTTAAACAACAAACCAACCAACTAAAACGTGTTGTACAGGATTTACAAGTTGAAGACAATTCAGCTCATAAAATACTTGACTACACAAAGCAATCTTAGCATGATGATTGTTGCCAGTATGGTATCTATGGTCATCTTAGCGCTAAGATCCCTTGTTGAAGGAGACCTTCAAACCCCACCCTGCAAGTGACACATATAACTCTTATGACGGACGTGAGATATTACAGATGAAATGTGAAATACATAATAAAGAAATCCATGGATATCACATCTGATCCTTGAAGGCATGTGATTCAAAACTTAATCCCAAACTTGTCAATGTTCAAACCTGATAGAAAAATATATTTAAACAAAAAAACTGTGTGATGTTGTAGTTAAACTTCAATCTTTATGAAGCAGTGACAGTTGTGAGTGTAGCATACCTTCATATCGGAGTCCAATCTTGAGAGTGAGCTGCACACAGTCAATAGCGTGGAGTCGGATGTTGATGCTGGGGTCTGTACATCGAGGAACCATCCTGGCCAGAAATACTCCCTCACTGCTGAACGTTTCTTCAGACTGAAAGGACATGATGGACGCATCAAATGATACTGCTAGAATGGTTTGTATCTACAATAAATTTTGACTGTCCCTGCCTTGAATATCCCGCCCCATCGCCATGACAACCTATTCCAATAACCATGACAACTTCATCACATTAATGACAACCCCTCTCCACATACATGACAAGCTCATCACATCCACGACACCCCCTCCCCACATCCGGGACAACCACTCCCCACATCCATGACAAACCCTTCCCACATCCATAGCAACCCCTCCCCCATCCACAACAACCCCTCCCCACATCCACGACAACTCCTTCCCACATCCACAACAACCCCTCCAAACATCCACGACAACCCCTCCCCACATCCACGACAACTCCTCCCCACATCGACGACAACCCCTTCCCACATCCATAGAAACCCTTCCCCCCATCCACAACAACCCCTCCCCACATCCCAGACAACCCCTCCCCATATCCACGACAATCCCTCCCCACATCCACGACAATCCCTCCCCATATCCACAACCCCTCCCCACATCCACAACCATCCCTCCCCACATCCACGACAACCCCTCCCCACATCCATGACACCCTCTTCTCATATCCACAAAGACTCATCTCCGCCACTCCCACAGCCACAAAGACTCATCTCCGCCACTCCCACAGCCACAAAGACTCGTCTCCCCCACTCCCACAGCCACAAAGACTCGTCTCTGCCGCTCCCACATCCACAAAGACTCATCTCTGCCACTCCCACATCAACAAAGACTCATCTCTGCCACTCCTACATCAACAAAGACTCGTCTCTGCTGCTCCCACATCAACAAAGACTCATCTCCGCCACTCCCACATCCACAAAGACTCATCTCCGCCACTCCCACATCCACAAAGACTCATCTCTGCCACTCCCACATCCACAAAGACTCGTCTCCGCCCCTCCCTGTACGTCGTCCTCACTGTGATCTCTGCGTGCTCCAGGTAGAAGGTAAGGACTGTCTGCCAGGTCTTCAGGGCCCTCTCCCTCTTGTGTTCCTCGGGGTCCAGGATCCATGGCACCAGGTGCTGTTGGGACAGGGCATTGATGTAAGACATACAGTAGGGTTAGTCAGAGACAGAATACATCTCTGGTCATTTCGGCAATTCATTCAATTTATTCCTCTGAAATGAGGAACCGAACAATCTATTTTATTTTCATGACATCCGGCATCCACAATTTAGGGCATAAACCCGAAATGATTTTTACCCCAGTATGATTTGGAACAAAAACACTAAAACATCATACACAAAGAGCATAACATAAAACCTCATTGCTATTGGGCAAACAGTAAATCCTCTTTAATATAGGGCATTCCGTAAAACCTCATTTATATAGCATACACAGTAAAACCTTATTGCTATTGGGCAAACAGTTATACCTTTTTTATATAGGGCATTCAGTAAAACCTCATTTATATTATTGACATTGGTCCAATCTCATTAAAATCAGATCTTAGTTCTCGCTACCGCTAAACAAAGATCTGAGGACATCCCATTACGGGTCACGTCAAACCGACCTTGCGCAAACTTTGACCGACCAATGGAATGACCAATCACAAGGCAGCTTTCTCGTGCTTTACAGCTCTAATTTCAAATTGGCGACTACGCTTCGAAACATATTTTGACAAATTGTCGATTACAAATTTGAAACCTGAACAAAAAACATTCTGGAATGGCTAATAGATGGTCTAGATTGTAAGGATTCAGTCATTAAACCCGTAACTATCGTTCGGAACACCCCATGTTAAAGTTTTCGAGATTGCATGATTAGAAATCACATTCCGACTGTCACTTTCATAATCTGGTAAGTGACACACTGATTGGACGGATGAAAGGTCGTTCTTACGTGACCCCTTAATCGGATGTCTTCAGATCTTTGTTTAGCGGTAGCGAGAACTAAGGTCTGATTTTAATGAGATTGACATTGATCAAACAATAAAACCTCATTTATGAAGAAATAAAAAAAAAATTCATATAGGAAACACTGTAAAACCTCATAAATCCTCATATCAATCTTATTTAGAGTAAAACACTCAATACCATGGTACCTTGAATATTGTCTCAAGACCCTGTGGTGCGAGATCCTTGGTCAGTATGCCGTTGAGCATATCGTACAGCGCCTGGAACGTGGCCTCCATCAACACCTCCATCTCCAGCATCTCGTCATACGTCTCCTCCTTCCCCTTCTTCAGGGGGAACCCGTTGGGGGTCAGCGCCATCGTGCTGTCCATTCCCGTCTTGATCAGGTCAAATATCTCCGCCTCTGACAGGCGTGGGTCAAGCTTACTGGGAGGAACTAAGGAAATATTCTTTGAAACACTGAAAGAGGCTTTTTATATGTCTGCCTGTCTGTCTGTGTATTCCAGCTATATGACGTCAGGCTGTAAATAATTAAGTCTGGGCCAAACAATCCTGTGATTGACATAATAAGCACTGATCTATGCAATATTAGGGTATGATGACATGCATCAACCAAGTAAGCGAGCCTGGCCACCCGATCCAGTTAGTTGCCTCTTATGACAAGAAAAGTTGCCTTTTATGACAAGGATAGGTTGCTGATGACCTATTCTACCCCGGATCTTCACGGGTGTCCAGCTGTTTTTATAAATTAAAGTATGGGCATCAAGAAAAGGTTGTACACATTCAACCATGTGGAGGCTCAAACCCAAGTCTTAGGTGCACTGATGTATCACCTTAACTACTATGCCACCCCAGCTAAGACAGTGAGTACAGATATTTGTTCACACTGCAGTCAGACATGTGCCCGCTGTCACTGCAAGCAAGTGTGGACCTCGCCAACCAGTGACAGAAAGCATGAACACAATCCCAGCCAGCTGGGTGCCATGCCTTGTTTGTTTGTTTGTTTGTTTGTTGTTTAACACCGCACTCACCACGATTCCAGATATATGACAGCTGTCTGTAAATAATCGAGTCTGAACCAGACAATCCTGTGATTAGCATCATGAGCATCGATCAACGCAATTGGGATACGATGGCATGCATCAACCAAGTCAGTGGGCCTGACCACCCGATCCCATTAGTCGCCTATCCCACAAGCAAAGTTGCCTTTTACGGCAAGCATGGGCTGCTGAAGACCTATTCTACCCCGGATCTTCACAGGTCACACACAATCAGCCAAGTCACAGAGCCTGACCACCCGATCCCCACTGGAATCAGTTCTTCCCACAAACACAGGGCTCTTGCAACCTAGCCCGACACGGAATCCACACAGGGTGACTCATTAAGGGGCCTTAATAAAAATCAGTTCAGAAAAAACACTACAAAAAAAGAAAATATCGGAGGGAAGGGTGAAGATAAATAAATTGTTCAACAATTTGTTGTGTCCTGACTGAAGTTTAGAGTAGAGTAATTAGAAATCTTACAGTTATCGCTTTCAAGACAAGTATCAGCAGAAATTCTATGGAGCTTGGATGATGTATCATCAACTTTTCAAAAGTGAGGAGCTCTCACTGTAATTTTAGCTTTACACTATAGATATTAATGTTTGAGACTATGTACTTTCCTATGCTGCTATATAATATAACTAGCTTCAATAGTTTATATATATGCAGTGTATTTGTACTCCTAGAGTGAGTGAGTGAGTGAGTGAGTATAGTTTCATGCCGCTTTTAGCAATATTCCAGCAATATCACGGCGGGGGACACCAGAAATGGGCTTCACACATTGTACCGGGTCTTCGGCGTGGCGTGCGAACGCTTTAACCACTAGGCTACCCGACCACCCCTTACTCCTAGAGTGAATGTGGGAGTGACAAGTATGTTATTTTCTGTAACAATTCTAAGATGTGCTGATAAGTTGTGAAATATTCTTTTCATGTCAAGGGCATTCTGCAAACCTGGATGAAATGAAAACCTGTTTTACGTAACAGGTACTTCTTTTTATGAACAATAAAGAAAACAAAAAATGTCTTACAGTTAAAACTATAGGTTAAGTCATATACTGAAACAAAATGTCAGAAAAGAACATGCTCCTTGTAAATTCAAAAAGGATACATAAGTGTAGCACAGGCATTCATGGCTAGCGCTCTCGTCTCATTGGACAGGTGGGAGACTGGCTCAGCAATCATGTAATTCTGCAGCAATCAACGAGAGTGAGGGAGTTGGGTTTAACACTGCCTTCAGAAGTACAAGTTTCAGTAATATCTGTCATCACAACAAAACAAGAGAATGCTTGTTGTTTTACGTCTCTGTCAGCACTACTCCATCTAAATCAAGGCAGCCAGTGAATCACAAAGTGGTGGTGGGAAAAAAGTGCTGACTGCATGTCCAACGATCCACGTTGCTGGGCGACTTTGACTACCTGATCTCTATAGTAAGATCATAGTTACCAACCATTTCATATTCGGAGGGGAAAGGAGCATGGTGGGAAGATTTGATTAAGAATTGGGGGGGGGGGGGGGGGGGGGAAACATGGTGGACGTCCTGAAAAAAGGTTGTTGTTATGTGCTACTGTGGTTTTTTTTACAGAAAAATAAATTAAAAAATTTAAGCAGTTACCAAAAGTCTATCCTCTGTCAAACAAAAATCCTTGGTCCCCCCCCCACGAAAATATTCAATGGCAGGTCCCTTCTAACTAACCATGCAGTGACATCTCCCGACACTCAGTTATACCACTACACTTCCACTACTCTTGTGCTTTTCAACAAGCCTCATGCAAGTTCTGTTTGAAAATAAACAGTGAGTGCAAACAAAACCATTCCAAAGTCACCTGTATAGTGGATCATGTATACACCTGTGCTGTGCAAGCAGAAAACTACATTTGAAAGACACACTAGAAGTTGTACCGGGATCACGAGGGGTACATGGGGTATATGCGACCCGCGTTAGGTTTTATACACATTTTATAAACCCAACGCAGGACGCATAAAACCCTCGTGATCCTATAGAAAAATCGATAGAAAACAGCTGATCCATTGAGCTGAGGTTGGCTTGCGCTATGTCATGTGACCTCGATTGCCTCGGAAAAAGCTTGCGTCTTTTTGCTAAAGTAGGGAATAAGGGAAATATTCTGTCTCTCAGAAATCTATGTGCAGCCTGATTTATTCCATCGCTGAAAAATTTATTCCCTTCCAAGGCAGGTTACACAGTATTTTATTAAGATCACGTGGACCAATCATATCTCATCATTCTGACATGGAGGTATGATAAAACTATTTATAAATTGCATTCATCACGTTCACTAATCAGTGCCAGCAGTCCTAGAATCCTAGAAGAGCAAAATCAACTTTTCTGGAGACTTACAGTTCAAGCTAACAAAAATATAAACTCTTATCACCACATATTCACTAATAGACTGAACACTATCATCTGCCACCCCCCACCCCCACACCCACCCCTGTAAAACATGGTGAAATTAAAGAAAGACTGTGTGCCAGTTAGAAACCTTTATTGGTGTTGCTTTACTAATAAAATGAATGTATGTAGGGTATGTGTCAATTCTTAAAGAATTAATTTTTATAGCTGACATCAAACCTTTGTACTGCTTTTGCCTGTAGGTAATTTCAACACCGATTTTATTCAATTAGAAAATAGTTATGTTGGTTGGTTTGTTTGTTGTGTAAAGCCGCACTTACCACTTCCAGATATATGACGGCTGTCTGTAAATAATCAAGTTTGGACCAGACAATCCAATGATTAATATCATGCGCATCGATCCACACAATTGGGATTGATGACATGCATCAACCAAGTCAGGAAGCCTGACCACCCGATCATGCTCTTACGACAAGCATAGTCGCCTTTTACGGAAAGCATGGGTTGCTGAAGACCTATTCTACCCAAGATCTTCACAGGTTAAATAGTTATGTAGTGTGTCTAGATAATTACAGCAATATTTACAAATGTGCAAGACTACCAAGTCACAGGCAGTACCTGTAGGTGAGCTATGAAATTCCCACGTGTGCTGAAGTTATACGTCTGCTCAAGATGGTCGGGGTGCAAGGCCTTGCCGATCAAATCCACCGTGCGAATCAGATTTTGTTTGACACTTGTGTCCTGAATAAATGATAAGAGAAACAGACATGCATAACATAGACCTCTCCCCACACGCTACCTGTAGGCTAGTGAGTAGGTCTCCCCGTATGGCACACGTGTTAACGTATCGCAGACTGTCCTGACCGTAACACTGCCCCAGCAGGCTGATACAGTGAATCAGGTTACGACGCAGGTCCACGCTGATGCTGCAAGACTGCAACAGTAACCTAGCAACTAGAATATTTCAATGCAATAAAAATTTCAAAAATTTAAATCTTAAATTTTTTCAAAACGTTGTCATCATCTGCTTCCTGAACAAATGACACAGCAAGTTTCATGCTTCTGTCAGATAAAATTAGCATTTTCTATGAAGAAGAGATGTGTGACACCCACAGGCAAGGGTATAGGACTGGTTGGTTGGTTGGTTTGTTGTTTAACACGGCACTCAGGAATATTGCAGTTATAATATCGAGTCTGGACCAGATAATCCAGTGATTGACATCATGATCATTGATCTACGAAATTGGGATACGAAGACATGCATCAACCACATCAGCAAGTCTGACCACCCAATCCCGCTAGTCGCCTCTAACGACAAGCATGGGTTGCTGAAGACCACTTCCAACCCCAATCCTCACGGGGTTGTGGGGGACCTGCATGGAGAACTGGGACCAAATCTCCCCTGACTCCAGACTTCATGCTCCCCGTGGCAATAAAGTGTGCCACTGCTTGAACTCACCTTGACGTTCTGGAAGTACGGAGCGATGGTTCGGAGGATGGTGGCTTCCATCCTTGACACGATGAGCGAGGGTGGAGAGTAGAGGGCCACAAAGCCATAACACAACATGATCGTTGACTTAACATTCTGCGGCACTCCCTCGGACTTGTCCTGGTGTGAGTGGGTGAATTGGGTTTACAGGGCTCGATTTAACTATATAAAACATGCAGCAGTACAACCTATTACTAAATAGTGCAACCTTATTTTACTGTCTATGTGCACCAAGTTCATGTAAGACTTAAAAAAATAAAAGAATTGGTTCTCAGATAATGTTTTTTGAAAATATAGTGCGGGCGGGCAGTGTCTTCGGTGTCTTTTTTTGGGGCTGTTCAAACTACATGTAGTATGTAACCAATAAACAGTTGTGTAATCAATAACCAATGGTCTACAATCAACCTGGGAAAGGTCCTCCCTACATAGATGTATTCCTTGATGAGTAAAATACTGGAATACAGTATTTGAGTACCGTTTGATTTGGAATATTCGAGGATTTAAAAAAAAGAAGAAGGAAATAAAAACAAAATGTGCGAGGAACTTTATGATGATGCAGGCGGTGCCAGAGAACCAAGACTTTCTTTTTAGCCTAAAAATAATTTATGTTTGACTACCCCTTACTTTTCCACACTTCGATCTTTGAATACCTCCAAGCTTTATGTCACATACTACATCACTAATCCCTGTGGTGTGTGTAATTTGTCATGTTTTCTTGTCATCAGCATATGTACCTCTAATGTCATACAGCAATACTACATTAATTTATGTGAAATCATGACACAGTCATCAGAGATCTGAGATTTTATTTATTTAGACTAGTTTATGCATCCATGTTTCAACTTTGATAAACTGAAAGGACCAGGGTGCAGCCTGGGTATGTCTGGTTCAGCTAGGTTTTCAACATACACCTGCTAGGAGAGATAATTCCACATCTATAAGTTGTACTCACTGAGCCCTTGAACACACTGAGAATCCCAGTTGACTTCTTGGCAGTGTCATTTTTCGCAACAGCTTCCAGTTTGGTCAGAACAGCATCCAAGTGTGAGGCAGCAGAGAAGCCAACAGCTATTGCACACCCCTGGGGAAACAAGGGAATGTATGATGTCACATCTGAGTCAGGAATATTCCATCGGTATCACAGCATTGTGTCAGTAATTGAGTCTCGACCAGACATTCTATCTGTAATACACATGGTATATTACGAAAGGTAGATGGACCCGCGTTCTTCTACACTACCTTCCTCCCGAAAACACAAACCGCTCACACTCACATATTTATCAAAACATCCAACTTGTAATTCTATCTCACTCTAGTAATAAACCTGACACTTGGTCAGTGTGTCTCTACAGACCCTACCTCCTTCTCAGTCTGGTCAGTGTGTCTCTACAGAACCTACCTCCTTCTCAGTCTGGTCAGTGTCTCCACAGAACCTACCTCCTTCTCAGTCTGGTCAGTGTGTCTCTACAGAACCTACCTCCTTCTCAGTCTGGTCAGTGTGTCTCTACAGAACCTACCTCCTTCTCAGTCTGGTCAGTGTCTCTACAGAACCTACCTCCTTCTCAGTCTGGTTAGTGTCTCTACAGAACCTACCTCCTTCTCAGTCTGGTTAGTGTCTCTACAGAACCTACCTCCTTCTCAGTCTGGTCAGTGTGTCTCCACAGAACCTACCTCCTTCTCAGTCTGGTCCGTGTCTCTACAGAACCTACCTCCTTCTCAGTCTGGTCAGTGTCTGTACAGAACCTACCTCCTTCTCAGTCTGGTCAGTGTCTCTACAGAATCTACCTCCTTCTCAGTCTGGTCAGTGTCTCTACAGAACCTACCTCCTTCTCAGTCTGGTTAGTGTCTCTACAGAACCTACCTCCTTCTCAGTCTGGTTAGTGTCTCTACAGAACCTACCTCCTTCTCAGTCTGGTCAGTGTGTCTCTACAGAACCTACCTCCTTCTCAGTCTGGTTAGTGTCTCTACAGAACCTACCTCCTTCTCAGTCTGGTCAGTATGTCTCCACAGAACCTACCTCGTTCTCAGTCTGGTCAGTGTGTCTACAGAACCTACCTCCTTCTCAGTCTGGTCAGTGTGTCTACAGAACCGACCTCCTTCTCAGTCTGGTCAGTGTCTCTACAGAACCTACCTCCTTCTCAGTCTGGTCAGTGTCTCTACAGAACCTACCTCCTTCTCAGTCTGGTCAGTGTCTCTACAGAACCTACCTCCTTCTCGACCTGCTCTGTGTGTCTACAGAACCTTCCTCCTTCTCAGTCTGGTCAGTGCGTCTCTACAGAACCTACCTCCTCCTCAGTCTGGTCAGTGTGTCTACAGAACCTACCTCCTTCTCAGTCTTGTCAGTGTCTCTACAGAACCTACCTCCTTCTCAGTCTTGTCAGTGTGTCTCCACAGAACCTACCTCCTTCTCAGTCTGGTCAGTGTGTCTCTACAGAACCTACCTCCTTCTCAGTCTTGTCAGTGTCTGTACAGAACCTACCTCCTTCTCAGTCTGGTCAGTGTCTCTACAGAACCTTCCTCCTTCTCAGTCTGGTCAGTGTCTCTACAGAACCTTCCTCCTTCTCAGTCTGGTCAGTGTCTCTACAGAACCGACCTCCTTCTCAGTCTGGTCAGTGTCTCCACAGAACCTACCTCCTTCTCAGTCTGGTCAGTGTCTCTACAGCACCTACCTCCTTCTCGACCTGCTCTGTGTGTCTACAGAACCTTCCTCCTTCTCAGTCTGGTCAGTGTGTCTACAGAACCTACCTCCTCCTCAGTCTGGTCAGTGTGTCTACAGAACCTTCCTCCTTCTCAGTCTGGTCAGTGTCTCTACAGAACCGACCTCCTTCTCAGTCTGGTCAGTGTCTCCACAGAACCTACCTCCTTCTCAGTCTGGTCAGTGTCTCTACAGCACCTACCTCCTTCTTGACCTGCTCTGTGTGTCTACAGAACCTACCTCCTTCTCAGTCTGGTCAGTGTGTCTCTACAGAACCTACCTCCTTCTAAGTCTGGTCAGTATGTCTCTACAGAACCTACCTCCTTCTCAGTCTGGTCAGTGTGTCTACAGCACCTACCTTCTCAGTCTGGTCAGTGTCTCTACAGCACCTACCTCCTTCTCGACCTGCTCTGTGTGTCTACAGAACCTACCTCCTTCTCAGTCTGGTCAGTGTGTCTACAGAACCTACCTCCTTCTCGACCTGCTCTGTGTGTCTACAGAACCTTCCTCCTTCTCAGTCTGGTCAGTGTGTCTACAGAACCTACCGCCTTCTCAGTCTGGTCAGTGTCTCTACAGAACCTACCTCCTTCTCGACCTGCTCTGTGTGTTTGACGGTGCTGAAGAGCAGATCTAGATGTTTGGCGACGAAGTCCTTCTTGGTGGACTTCCTCATGATAATGCCCAGACACTTGTACAGGAAGTTCTAGAAGACACACATCATACATTGGTGTGAGAACTCATCAGCGGTCAATGTCCAGCTACCTCAACAAGAAACTAATAAGCACTTCCTGTTTAAAGACATTTTTGTTTCATCTTGTGCGAAAACATTTTTAGCTGCAAAGAAAGAATTGAATATGATATTGGTGTAATGATACAGTGTTACATTATTGTATCCTGATACGAGGCCCACGATACAAAACATTGATTTATAACCAGTGTACCGCGATGCATTTGATTCATTACTTTACAAGTTAATTGGTGTTAAAAGACAGTGCCACTCTTCGTCAATTTTCTAAGGGCCCAGTTCACTTACTATGGCCAAAAGTCTCTCATTGTACAATGGCTGAACACGAGCCCCAGCTCAACCCACCTTCTCCTCCGCAGCGTTCTGGTACATGGTCACATGTTGACCCATCAATTCGCCGAAGTCTGCAATCCACTCCTCGCTGTCAATCACATCCAGGCTCTTTGCCAGCATCTGATCATAGCATCAGACAATAGTTCAACAACAGTTTTGTCTTTCCCATTTCTAACAATCAGTTGCTACTCTTGACATGAAGAACTAGATACCTACTCGCAAAACATTCCTAGCATTACGTTATTCATAAGCTAGTACAATAGCACTGCAGTTATGATGTTCATAGAGCTAAAAACGCTTCAAGAAAAAGCAGTCTGGCTGGTCAAAATGAAAACAATATGGCCATCCTTACACTGAAAGACTTAACATTATTACTCTAGACCCTGTTTGTCTGGAAACCAAGTTTCTAGACAATTACTCTAAAAGTGAGTGAGTGAGTGAGTTGGGTTTAACGCCACTTTTAACAGTATTCCAGTATATCGCGGCGCCTTAGACGACTGGGCCACCCGTGCCCCCAATTACTCTGAGAAACATTAACATATATGTATACAAAAGACATTACTCATGGTGCATTTCTCTTATCCAGACAATAACACCGTACGATCTGGATTAACAGGGTTGTACAGGTCATTTAATCATATATCATTCTCAGCTCCCTGAGGAGTATACAACCTATGAATCCTGTACTATGACATACTAGTCTGCTGTGTAATTAGAAGAGTCACCTTCAGCAGCAAGTCTTCCCAGTTCTTCTGTGACCATTTCCCCTCATCCTCCAGATGATCTGTCACACAACCAAAGACAAACTAATTAGTAATTGTTTGTTTGTTTGTTGTTTAACGCCACACTCACCAATACTCCAGCTATATGATGGCTGTCTGTAAATAATCGAGTCTGGACCTGACAATCCAGATATTGATATCATGAGCATCAATCCTGGCAATTTGGATGCGATGACATGCATCAATCAAGTCAGTGATCCTGACCACCCGATCCCGTTAGTCGCCTCTTATGACAAGCATGGGTTGCTGAAGACGAATACTAACTCTGATGTTCAATGTGTTTTCATATGTAAAATCGTAATACAATTTTGATAATTGACAACTATGTAGTGTCCCTGGTAGCGTGTGCTTTTCATGGTTGTGTTTTTAGCGATGTTGGAATTGTTTCATGTTGGGAATAATAATCAAAAAGGATGTGTACCGCACAGCTGGTATAGCTTGTTTAACTATTTTAACAATATGTCTCCCAGATACTTTTTTTGATACATTAGTTCAAGCTGCTAATATAAATCTGTTTGCAAATCCGAAAAAGAGTAACCGCATAAAAAAAACTAGTACAGTTTCTGATTAATGCATCTATGTCAACAAAATGAAAAATCTAAAAGCAACATCTGTTGAGAATGGACAAAATTCAAAATTTGGCACCAATTCAGCTGATGATAAATGCACACGTATCAAATATAGCCTGGAAAGATAAAGGTTTCATGCAGAAATATTCATTAGCTGTAGAGTTTTGGCAAGACAAACAGTATTTGCTTGCAACCAATTCTAAATTGTTTCAATGGAAACAAAAGACATAACAAAATAAAATATGTATAAGAATATGAAAAGGCAATAGTTGAGCTTGGGGTCATTGCACATGTATAGTTTATGCAAAAAATATTCATTAGTTTGAGCGTTATGGCTCACAAACAAACAAGCCTAGAGTTGTCTGAGACAAGTCAAATTTGTTTCCATGAAATCATAACAAAATTTAATTTTGAAAAATTAAAAATAGCAAAAGACACCAGTTAAGCTGATGAGCAATGCATATGCCAAGTTTAGTTGAAATATGTCAAACAGTTTTCAAGTTATGGCTGGGAAATGAACCCCCCTAAGTAGTAATTGTTTCCATGGAAACACATAAATACAAAACTTTGAAAACGGCACCAGTGGAGCTGATGAGCCATGCATATGCCAAATGTCACAGAAAAACATTGAACAGTTTTCGAGCTATGGCTCAGAACAGGATGGGAACGCCAACACAGACGTCAACAGGAACCAAGCCAAGATCAATATGTCCCCTCCCTTTGAGACATAATTAGCATCCAATCAGCTTGTAGAGGTCATTGGATCATATATCATTCTCAGCTCCCTGAGGAGTGTACAACCTATGAATCCTGTACTAATACTTTGTAATCCTTACTGTATCTCTGGCTTTATAACCTGTGTGCTTTCTGTTATTCTTACTGTACAACTGGCTTTATCCAGGTATCTGTGTGTGTTATCCATTACCTGTTGTTATTGTTAAACTGTTGCTTCTCACAACACATCATGTACATATACGTGATGTGAGGTGTAATGGGGTTTAACGTCGCGTCCAAGATTATTGCACTTATATAGCGACGTGCATGCACGTGTGTGTGTGTGTGTGGCTGCTTGTACTAGGCTGGACTGATGCCGATTTATAGTGCTAGCTCACTGAGATACCATGCTGCAGTTTAACATGAATACCCCACTCAGACACAGTATACTGACTCCGAGCCGACCAGTCCTTGTTTTAGCCCCTTAATGCCGAGCGCCAGACAGGGTAACAACAAGTACCACCTTTTAACGTCTTTTGGTATGACGTGGTCGGGGATCGAACCCCGGACCTTCCGCTCTCCGGGCTGACGCTCTACCACTAGACCACGGAGGCGGTCTGTACATATACCTGTCCTTTACTTGGATGTAGTCACTCCAGCTTTCTAACGGTGTAAGAATGTACATCGAAACATCACTAAATGCAACAAGAGTCATTGGAAGATGACAAATCCCCCCGACCCCACAACTTCGAGAGAAAAAATCATCTGACTATTACTGTAAGTCTGTCTTGATGAGAGAATGTCTATCTAATCTGTCTGTCTCAATACACGAGTAGTTACTGAGCCTTCAAAACAATACCATGGAATTGGGATTTCTATGTCAGGTACACACCTCTATGGACAGAGTCAAAGTCAAATTTGTTGCCATGGAAATGGAAAAAAATATAGATTCTAAACACCCCAGAGAAGCAAAAGGCACAACCTGGTCCTTGTGTGTGCAAAGTGTCATGCAAGAATACCTACTAGTCTTACAGATATGAACAGAGTCAAAGTCAAAGACAAACAAATTACTACTTTTTTAAATTCCTAAATAGCAAAAGGCACAACTTCAGCCCTTGGTTAATACATGTACCAGGTTTGGATGAAAAGGCTTTCACAGTTTTCAAGTTGTGCTCCGGAAACAACACCTACCCCCTCTTTTGAGGCTAAGTCCACATTGTTTCCATGGAAATCAAGACAAATAAAATTGCCAAAAGTCTGCAAATAGCAAAAGACACCACTTCAGGATCTGTTGAAAAATATTGAACGGTTTTCGAGTTTTGCTCCGGAAACGAAATGATTATGGGCAGACGGGTTGGCGGACATACAGACGAGGTATCAACTTATATCCCCCGGCATATAATGTGGTGGAAACAGTCGACAACCTATCTCTCTGTCCGTCTATCCATCCCCATTATATGCCCGGGGATAAAAGTCGACGCCTTGTCTGCCTGTCCGTTCGTCTATAATCATTTCGTTTCCGGGGCGCAACTCGAAACCACTTAATATTTTTCAACAAAAATTGGCAGACATATCAAACCAGAAGTTATATGTTTTCTTAATGTTAACTCACAGCACAACATACAAGGAGGGCAACAGTGCAAGTCATGGAAGCATACGTCACACTCATGCTACATACCACCACGAATAACGTTAGCAATAATTCACTCCCTCATGATAGCTACAACCATCAATATTTACTCAGACGACAATTCCAACAATTTGAAATCCAACACGACACTATTCACTAAAATAACTAACAAGCAATCACATTTCGTTCATACATACCATAAGATACCCTTGGTGAAACTATCAAAGAAAACCATGTTAAATGGGGTTTTTTATGTTTCAAAAAACAAAAAGAAAAGTGATTGCTTTCTACAAGAAACAAACAGTAAGTGAAAATGGTGGGGTCATCGTCAGTCAGCCAAGTCATACAGTCGGTCCTCCCTATTCTCAGTTCAGTAAGCTTGTACAAGCATGCGGTACAGGGGACTGATTCTCACCTGGATTCCCCACATGGCACTCCACGTTAGAAACCAGGAGTGAGTGAGTGAGTATGGTTTCATGATGCTTTTAGTAATATTCCAGCAATATTACGACAGCGGAAATGGGTTTCACACATTGTACCCAGATGGGAATGAACACAATGCCATTTAGAAAGTGGTCAATGTAACAAATGTTATATTTGGGGTAACACTTTAGTAAAGTACAGATTCTAGAACTTTTGCGGGTTAAATCCCATCTGGGATTCGAACCAACAGTCCCAGAGTGTGGCACCTAATCGCCGGCACACAAAGTCAGCCATTTAGCCCACTCAGCCACCGAGGCTCCAGTAAATACTGTTTGACTGTACTAGAGTGTTGAGACGTACCTTCTAGGTACTGTACAAGTTTAGGGATGACAGTATCCCACAGCTCCACGAGGTTTTCATGGATGTTACCCGAGATCCCTCGCATCATCTGCAGGACATGCATCCCTCGTTCTCGGCCATTCAGTGGACGACCAGCAAGCACCTGCACCACAACATTTGGCAAAATATAAAATTTGGACGGAACACAAAAATCCTCTTGTTATTTTCTCATATGGGAAACGACCAGTTTATATACAAAGCAGGGTCTAAGATGGAGAGTAATTGATGTTCTGAGTTATTATTAAACATATTTTATTGTCCAAAAAGACAAAGGGATTGGGCACAAGTGAAGCACTTTTTACCGCCTTCTCCATACTCTGTTCTGAGTTGGGTTTAGCATTTAGCAATATTCCACCAATATTGTGGCAGGGGACACCAGAATGGGCTTCACACATTGTACCCATGAGGGAAATCAAACCCTGGTCTTCGGTGTGAAGATTGAAGGCTTTAACCACTAGGCTACCCCAATGCCCCCTTTGATTAGTATTTCAGCTATATCATGCATGTCAGTTTGACGCTGAAGGAAAGCCAGAAGTCTTGCAGGTATTAAGATGTTCACCACTTTGGTGAAACCCACAAGTAAGGGTATGGTGCCGTCAGACAGTGATGAATGACAAATAAATGAAAAGAAATTGCATAAATTCAAAGGAAAATACCGTAGACTGATCAATTATACTACTTGAAACACTTTAAGGACCACTCGATTCTTTCTCCTAGGTACAGTAACTACAGTAATATGAAAGAATTGGTTGGTCCTTAACTTTTTTTCAGTTGTATAAATTATTTTGCTTAAGAAGTATACTAACTGGTATTTCCTAGAACTTGACAATGGATATCATTTTGGATAAAAACTTCTTTATTACACATATCCAACGTTTCAGGGCCACTTTTTGCTCCAGCCATTCACCTGATGAAGGGATAAGAAGCAGGCCTGAAACACTGTGTGTGTATAATATATATTATAGCTAAAATGGATAGAGTTATCATTAAACCGCCCGCATATTATCAGAAATGAGCGGGCCAGTGTAACTTGATGATGCCCTCATATTGCTTGAAGACGGGCCATTATCCCGCCCGTTGTTAGGTGACGTCACAGGATAGGGTTCAATAGTCGTCATCTGGTTTGTTCTATGACGTTTCCATTTTTGTAAACGTGGGTCAGTGACATTTGTGTTGATTCCAGTAAATGTTTCCAAACCGATATTGTTGTTTCTTTTTATCTTACAGTAAATTCCATCCATTTTAGCTATTATAAGGCTAACGCTATTTTTCAGGGCATCATCATTTGCAGAAGCCCTCGGTCTTTTCAAATGCCCTCCTTCGTCGTGCAGTCAATGGAAGACCTCGGGCTTCTGCAAATGATAATGCCCTGAAAAATAGCGTTACCCTCATAATGAAGGTGTTATGTGTAACACTCCTTGTCATGTTGACATCCATCTTCTCAATGCCCATGAACACTCTATCCTAGAGCTACTGTACAACTACTTACAACAAGTTTGGCAGCCAGCGATGGAGGTTTGGGGATGTTTGCTGAAAACAAATTACAAACATTAAACAACGTAAGCAAAGCTGAAAAAGCGTATTTGAAGATACTGATATTTTGTTACTTTGAGGCAGAGTGTTACTGGCTATCCTGGTGTTAGAAATTTTATTTCAGGAAATATGAAATTTTTCATGCAGGGCTGTTCAGCATGTTCAGCTGAGAGGACTCATTTAGTGTAAGATATACACAAACATGTAAGATGGAAAGAATGAATGGTTTCACTCGATCTCTTTAAATATCAAAATGGAGGCTTGTATACTATAATCAGATCTCCAGCTGGTAACCGTGTTAATGTACAGTTCATCAGGGAAAGTTGCAATTGAAATGTACACGAAATAGATCTCTTGTATTTTTCTTGAAGGCTTTTCTCCAATCCACATTAATCTGAGATCTCAATTACGTGAGTTGGGTCGTATGCTGTAGTTAGCATTGAATATTTGAACCATATCAGAGCTGGGGACATCATGTATGGGCTTCACACATTGTGCTCATAGTGAGGCGATGACCCCAGGGCTCCTGATATCGTGATGCATTAACAACTGGACATCCCGAGAGTTCACAAGAAACATGGCATATATATACACAAGTAACAGACAGACAGACAGACAGACAGACAGACAGACAGACAGACAGACAGACAGACAGACAGACAGACAGACATACATACATACATACATACATACATACATACATACATACATACATAAATACCATACATACATATATCTACATAATGTATATATATATATTCTACTCAATTCCTGATAAGGAAATTGTGTTTGCTCACATGCCTACTGAAGTTGGGAGACAACAATGTATATAAATGTTTATTTTGTTAATTATTGTTTGCAGTGATACTTAACGTGCGTAATTCCATGCCTACATCACATCCTATTTGTTAGACAACATCCCCAACAACCTCAGAGTTACCCCCCTTCTGGACACTCGGAATATCCCTGTCAAAAGTTGAGTAGTTTATAATCATGTTATATGATGGGACACAAACCTAGGGCACCTGCCTTGCTAACAAGCACCTGCTGACCTACTCAGCCCGGCCTGACAGCCTAGAACAACAGTGAGTGGGTTACGACTTAAAGTCATGTTAACAATATCTCTGGTATATTTTGACCATAGAGTGAGTGAGTGAGTTTGATTTTACGCTGCTTTTAGCATTATTCCAGCAATATCACGGCGGGGGACACCAGAAATGGGCTTCACACATTGTACCCATGTCGGGAATCGAACCCGGGTCTTCGGCGTGACGAGCGAATTTTTTACCATAGAGCAATGAAGCATTGAGCACCCACACTCCACAGGTGTATCCTCGATTCTGAAAGTGAGTGAGTTGAAATTTAACGTTGCATCGGCCTTATTTCAGCCATGAAACAAACAAGAACAAGCTTAAATAGCTGGAACGATTCTAAAAGATGAACACAACACATATCACCAAGTAATAACAGAGATAATGGTTGACAGGCTGGGTGTCTGAAATGGGAGGCTCGCAACATTTGCTGAAGCCTTATTTCATGAATTAACAGAATTTATATCTACCTTGAGTTTCAAAGTCTATTTCGTAATCGTCAGCATTCTCCTCCCTCTTCTTGATTGACAGGTAGGCCAGACTGCGGCAGAGGGCACCTGCCGCCTCGGTGTACTGCTCAGGGACAATCAGCTCCAGCAGGTACGGCCACAGCACAATCTCCATCCTCTCTATGGTCGTGGTGACCAGCTGCAGGATGTTCTCGCACATGCTGCGGAGAGCCTTGTTCGACACCCATTCTGGGTCTGCAGGCCTCTTGCCCTGAAGTTCAAACCATCTTCAGTAATTCCAACAAGAGTTTGCCACGAATGTGGCTATATCCCCCGCCCCTGTTGCAGAATTGATGACATAATTAAATCTAAACAAACCTTAACCTTTATTAACTGAGGTGGAACCTGTCATGGAAATTGTAACAAAAGAAGAGTATGGAACATAAAAAATAAAAATTCTAAAATTTCTAAATAGCAAAAGGCACCAGTTCAGCATGTACCTGACAGACCTGCAAAGTTTGATGAAAAAATACTGAACGGTTTATGAGTAATGCTAAGGAAACAAACCCTACCCTCACAGAACCTAAGTCTATCTCGTTGCCATGGAAATGTAAAAAATAAAAATGTCTAAAATTTCTAAATAGCAAAAGGCACCAGTTCAGCATGTACTTGACAGACCTGCAAAGTTTCATGAAAAAATATTGAGCAGTTTCTGAGTTATGCTCCGGAAACGAAATGTGACGGACGGACAGACGGACGGACGGACGGACGGAGCCCGTTTCTATATAATAAGTGAGTGAGTAACGTTTTACACCACTTTTAGCCATATTCCAGCTATTATCACAGGACACCAGAAATGTTCTTCACACATTGTACCCAGGTAAGGAATTGAACCCATGTCTTCGGCATGACAAGCAAACGCATTAACCACAAGGCTACCCAGCTGCCCAAATCAAAGAATGGCTCAGGCTCAGGAGAGGCTGAAACTCGGACCTCCGATTCCATGCCAGAGAGAAACATTTTACATGCTTTGACAAAACAGTAGTTCTCTTAACAAACAAAAATCATAATTATTTAAGGTCCAAAACTAAACCATTCAACTCTCACCGGTGGGTCATCTGGAAGAGCACACTGTCTGACAATAAATTCCACCATGAGTTGTCCCCCTTCCAACTCCAGGTAACCATGGTGAGCCATCGCTATGACAACCTGGGCAAACACTTTCTTCACCTGAAATATATAACAGCACAAACATATAAAGCAGAGCCCGCAATCATTCTTAATTAATTCATGATCTGAAAATTATAATGGGTTTGACCATTTCAGAGCACTTAACAAGTGAGTTTCATTATGTAAAACTTTTGCCCATAACCTCTGCCTCGATATTTACTGCTGGCAAGGATTATAAAAATATCAGGGGTCAGGGTTAGGGTCTGGGTGCCCTAAGCCGTCAAAATTTGAAGCAGGGGTTACGGGAGGAAATCTTCATTGCATTTAATACCATGTTGACAATTATTTACAACTAACGTGGCTACCATAAACAGGATAGAATAATTTGTGAGCATGGATTTGTATGTTATCTGCTACTACTCTCTGGTAAATCTAAAGAGATTCTTTTTATTCCAATATTGCCATATTGGGACAACCAAGTCAGCGAGCCTGACACCCGATCCAATTAGTCGCCTCTTACGACAAGCATAGTCGCCTTTTACGGCAAGCATGGGCTGCTGAAGACCTATTCTAACCCTGATCTTCACTGTCGGATTACCAAAATGCAAGCCCTGGAGATATAGTGGAAGTCCTGAGGGGACAGGGGTTTATCTAGCAATCCAACCTCAGTTGATTGATTCAACGATGCTAACATGAAGTGAGACTGTGATTGTCATTTGCTGCATACTTTGGATACATATCGGCCTGAAGTACAAGTGAGTTTACCTTGTTGTTGTTGTCGTTGCAGAGGTTCTTCAGCCCGGATACAACCACTTCCTTCTTGTCCTCCATGGAGGGGCCTGCAATACATGAGTCACTGCAGGTAACACATAGAACCCAGCTTCACATGCGTCTAGGCCTATTCCCCCCTCCACCAACTCCCCTCTTCCTATTCCCTCTGACAATTGCCCCCCTGGGTTAATTCCCCCTAGCTAGGTCAATTCGAGTACCCCCCTAACACAATGACTGTAGATTCTCTTACAACACCAAGGACACTAATGGGGAGATAACTCTCATTGTTCCTACCTGCAGAGTTAATGATGTGTTTGAAGATGGTGAGGACACCAAGCCTTGTCTTCTCATTGGTCGTCTCCAACTTCTGAAGCAGCAATCCAACAAGTCGACCCGAAAATGACCGGGCTGTGGAGCAATATTTACATCTGATACAGAAAACATGCAGCACTTGAAATGGTACACGTAAAAATTGTCAGGATTGATAATTTCCCTTAAAGAAAAAAATTTAACTGAAATAAAGGTTTTATAAAAAAATACAAGCAAAAAGATGTTGACAACAAAGCATACAGATTGAATTTCTTTCTTTTACTGTTTTAATATTTAACATATAGGCTTGTCAAAAATAGGGAATTGAATTTTATCCGAATGGTGGATCCTTAATTTACAAGTTGCCAACTGACCGATGATGGTGAAAGACCTGAGCAGCTCATTGTGGTTCTTGATACTCAGGGGGTTGGTGTAGTCCGGAGTCTGCAGGACCTGGAACAGACAACATCAGTCTTAATGCTCCCTTGTATACAAGATTATGAACTTAAGAAACAGGGATTTTTTTGTTTGTTCATTGTTAAACACCACACTCTCCTATATTGCAGCTACATGAAGACAATCTGCAAATAATTGAATCTGGACCAGACAATCCAGTGATTGACATCATGAGCATTAATCTACACAATTGGGATACAATGACATTAGGACCGCCTATTACCCGACCCTAACTGGGTACTCACTGCAGGTCTCAAGAGTTGGGAACAAAATGTCTGATTGGGAATTGGGAATTGTTTTACACAGCCCTGGTAAAAACTATTTAGAAACATTATCAAACAATCAGATCATGCGTACACTGAAGTTGACTGAAGCTTTATCTTTAATCAAACATGTATACAAGTCAAAAGGAATGTGTGAATCGTCAGAAAGAAATGGGAACATTAGCAATTTGAAGTAACCACTGAGCTATAGTGAGTTTTTGTCATTAAATAATATGTCACATGACTAACCACGGGTCCAGATAGTCCTCTGGGTACCCGAGTCCTACTCAGGGCCCACCCGACCCGGGTACCCGAGTTACCCGTCCCAGCCCTAAATGACATTCAACCAAATCAGTGAATCTGACCACCCGATCCCGTTAATCACTTCTTACAACAAGCATGGATTGCTGAAGACCTATTCTAATCCGGATCTTGATGGGATCTCAACCTAAATAAAACATAGTGAGGTCACAGCATATATCTATTCTGGTGTAAAATCCATCAACAGTCTTAGTGTGTGAGGACAGAGCATATATATATTCTGGTGTCAAATCCATCGACAGTCTTAGTGTGTGAGGACAGAGCATATATATATTCTGGTGTCAAATCCATCAACAGTCTTAGTGTGCAAGGTCACAGCATATATTTATTCTGGTGTGGTGTAAAATCCATCGACAGTCTTAGTGTGAGAGGTCACAGCATATATCTATTCTGGTGTCAAATCCATCAACAGTCTTAGTGTGTGAGGTCACAGCATATATCTATGCTGGTGTAAAATCCATCAACAGTCTTAGTGAGTGAGGACAGAGCATATATCTATTCTGGTGTAAAATCCATCAACAGTCTTAAGGAGTGAGGACAGAGCATATATCTATTCTGGTGTAAAATCCATCAACAGTCTTAAGGAGTGAGGTCAGAGCATATATATATTCTGGTGTAAAATCCATCAACAATCTTGGTGAGTGAGGACAGAGCATATATCTATTCTGGTGTCAAATCCATCATCAGTCTTAATGAGTGAGGTCAGAGCATATTTCTATTCTGGTGTAAAATCAAGTGACAGTTGCATAAACAGATCTTAAATATTGTGGTCAGACCCCATTCCCCTTTCACCTGTTGACAACTTAACGAGTTGTTTTACCTGTGAGAAGAGGATATTGAAGAGGTTGTCAAAGTGTGGCTCTAGGATGGGGCTCTCCTCTTTGCACACTCCATCAAGCACCATACACAGACCCTTGGGAGGAAATGAAAAATTGAAATATATAAATCAATTCACTTCAGTCGACATTTTGAAAGACATACAGTCACAACTAACACAACAGATGTATACTGGTTGCCTGACCCAGAATGCAACAATGCATAGGAAACACTTCTTAATATCATTGTTACAGATTTATTATGAACATAAAAAATATTAACAATCTGAAAATGTCTTTCATAATCAGAACAAACAGCTTGGAAAATCAACACATTATACACACAAATGTTAATGTTAAAGTGCAAAAATTTGGTTTTGTTTTTTTAAATTCGAAGTCTGACTATGATGTATGACTACATGTGATCTAGTGCTGGGACAAGTCCAAATTTACTACCCGGGTAGCCACCCCACTATTACCCGAACCGGCCCGGGTACCCGCAGTAGGTCTCAAGAGATGGGTACAAAATGTCCGATTGGGAATGGTTTACTGGGACAGTAGCCCTGGCAAAGTGTATATAGATACACATATAAAATGATCTGGTCATGCATACACTGAAATTGACTAAAGTTTATTCAAACACATAAAAGTCAGAAGGAATCCGAACATTAGTGACTTGTAGTGTAACCATGGAGTTCTATATAATTTTTTTCATTTAACAATATATCATGTGACTAACCACGGGTCCGGGTAGTATTGTCGATACCCGGATCCTACTAAGTACCCACCTGACCCGAGTACCCAAGTTACCCGTCCCAGCCCTAATGTGACCATTACCTGTGTGATGTGGTACGGCTCCGGGTGGCGCCGGTACAATCCCAGCATGCCCTGCAGTATCTTGGGGAACTGTTCCTCCAACTTGTCCTGGTCCATCACGTGAGTCATGTGACCCACTGCCTCAACTATTGCCAGACGAAGCTGCCAACATAATCAAGACTTCTAACAGCTGGTCACCATGGCCACTGGTTCATAACTACTTGCACACAGAATTCTATTCATTCATTCATTGCTAATTCTACCATGACAGTGAAGCATTCTTGATTCTGACCGGCCAAAACGACCCAAAACAAGAACTAACCTCCTTTCCAGTATAAACCCCACTTCTTGTCCCAAAAATCAACAAAAATATAAAAAAACAAATCATCAAACATGTTGTCAAAAGGCACCGTTTCACCACTAGACTGATCTGTATAGCAAGTTTCATCAAGAAATATTCAATGGTTTAGGAGTTCTGCTCCGGAAACGGAAAACAGACGGCAGACATGCTGATAGCCATATTCCCCCATTTTTAAAAACGGGGGGATAATAACAATGAAGTATAAAAGCCTAGTGGACAAAGAACAAGTATATTTTTCAACATTTACAATAAAATAATTTATATTCCTATTTTATTCCACACAGTATTTCATCACTCTTTTACATAATACTCTTACGGCAAAACTTAGCTTTTTACGCAAGTGAGGAAAAACCCATGAGAAACCTCTTGCAAACCGACAGATTCAAGCAAGTCAACATGCACTTTGTTTCCCAGTCTCCACCAACACACACAATACCTTAGCCTCCTTAGACTGCAGCCAGATGTTGAAGATGATGTCATAGGCCGAGAATATCTCCCCCGAGAACTTCTGCTTGGTGATGGAGGAGTCAGGGGCCTTGTCCAGGTTGGCGATGTACTCCAGGATTGCTTCACTGAACTTGGACAAGGCTGGAAGATACCATACAAAGAGGCATGTCATGGTATGCACAACGCTTGTATCCCACTAGCACTGAATTACCGGTATGTCATGGTATGCACAACGCTTGTATCCCACTAGCACTCGGGTACCGGTATGTCATGGTATGCATGGTATGCACAACGCTTGTATCCCACTAGCATGGAGGTACCGGTATGTCATGGTATGCACAACGCTTGTATACCACTAGCACTGAGGTACCGGTATGTCATGGTATGCACAACGCTTGTATCCCACTAGCACTGAGGTACCGATATGTCATGGTACGCACAACGCTTGTATCCGACTAGCACTGAGGTACCGGTATGTCATGGTACGCACAACGCTTGTATCCCACTAGCACTGAGGTACCGGTATGTCATGGTACGCACAACGCTTGTATCTGACTAGCACTGAGGTACCGGTATGTCATGGTACGCACAACGCTTGTATCCCACTAGCACTGAGGTACCGGTATGTCATGGTATGCACAACGCTTGTATCCCGCTAGCACTGAGGTACCGGTATGTCATGGTAATGTGTGTGTGAATCATGCACTTAATGATTGGTGGTCCAGTTGTCAAAGTTGCAGCAATTTGCTGTGCAGAGTTGTGTCCCTTAGGCAAACCTGAAACGTATGATGATGGGTTCGAATCCCAGATTCGCCACGACTATGTTCCTTACTTTGTCATCACCATGCCTGTGCTTGTGGGTTTCACAATGGTGGTAACATCAAGACTTGTACCACTTCATGTTTTCCTCGGCTCTATCAGTTCATGATCTGTGCACTGTAGCCCACAAGCAAACCTCCAACACCTGCAGCACTTTCAGTTTTCCACTGTACAAGATACCAGATAACCCAACTCTCTCATGTTCCAAGCAGCACTGAACCCAACTCCCTCACTCCCTCCAGAACACAGTGACACTAACCTGAAGTGAAGACCCATCTCATGTTGTCGAACTTGATCATCCCTAGCATGGGGAGCATGGTGCCCAGCACGGCAGTCAGATGTGGCACCATGGCATACACTGGACACAAACAAACAAACACCATACTTACTACAAGTACATCTTCTCAAAGGACCACTCATTATCATAACGGTAAGCTGGTGGAGGCTCAACCAAACAATATATGTTTTTTAGTTTGTTTTTTGTTTTTTTTTGTTTTTGGTTTTTTTTGGTTTTTAGGGTGATGGGGAGGGCTCTCATGAGAGTAATTATTGTTTTAGGCCACATCAGCTGCACTGAATCTATTTGCAGCTAGCTATTCTATTATAAAAAAATTAAAACTGTAAACTGTGTTTAAAACAAACATGCTTATAACGAACTGGCGGATTTAATGAACTGGATTTTGGTCCCAGTAATTTGCTGTATATATGCTGTATATGTTTATAACGAACTATGGTCATAACGAACTAAACTTAGTGGTCCTTTTTAGTTCGTATAACCGTAGTTTACTGTAGTGTAGTTTACTTTTTCATCTAATTGGCATTTTATAAGTTTTGGCAACTTTGGAGATCTAAATTTCGAAACAATTTTGCAAGGGCACTAGGCCTAGCCAAGCGGGATCAGTAGCCATATCTGTGCTTGAAATCTTTTCCACAAATTAAAATAGTCCGATTTGGCCGAAATATGTTTGAATTGTTACCTTGTTTTGTTTTGTCGCTGTGTGTACGTCTGACTGCACTTAATGTTATGACAGGACAGACCAACTGTCAACAACGTCAGAACGTGTCCGTGACGTCTCATAGACTAGGGTTAGAGTAGCTTCCCTTTGACAAAGGTCAGCTACTCTAACGGACAGACCGATGGATTGCCCCGAAAGGCAAGTAAAAACAATTGTTGTTTTGCGTATATGTTGCTTCGCCACTGTATAAGAAACAGATTTTAGTTGGAACTATATTGGCTACTGTCACTGTCGACTGACACATCACTTACCCTGTGACGTAATAAATATTAATGCGCGCATTCCAGGAAAACTCGCAATGTTTAGGTAATGTTTGTGAGTGAGGGGAAGCGATTTTCAAGCACAGAATTGAAGAATGACATTATAGGCTCGCTAAATACAATGTTTATTCCTAATGCAGGATATTTACCATCCCCAAACACATTTGCATGATAACCTCTATGTATTTCTCACGTAAACAACTACTTATGTGTCACTCTAGTAGGGCATGAAAGAAAATGGACAAAAACTTGTGAAGTGCCACGTTCCACTCTGGGAAAAAGTACCATGGTCTCCTTGACGACAGGAAAACAACAAAATGTCACTGAGGATTACAAACACACATGCAGTGTCTCAGTTACCATGGTTACAAGACACTAATGTAATTACATTAATACCTGCATAAACACAAAAACATATTTACCATGTTTACGTCAACTCTCATAAAACACATTTCAAGTATAATACCTTCACAGACTGCTTATTTACACAAAAATGTACACAACAAAACGAAATCAGTGACATCATTCAGCACAAAACTGCAACACAAGTCCCACCCATTCTTTAATCAGCCAATCAGACAACAATAGTCCACCAGTGAGCATGACCTAATTTATTTTTTGTTTATTAAACAAAAATGCAAGAAAATTGCATTGTCAGCCAATCAAATCACTTGCAATTTATTTATTGTCAAATGAACCAAAAATCTTAAGAAACAAATTATTTTGGGTAAGCAATCCACAAACCACGAAACAATGAAAAAATTGTCATCAATCTCATTAAAACCATGGCTTATAGATGGCCTAGATTGCATGGATATAATCATAAAACCCGTAACTGTCGTTCGGAATCCCCCGTTTTAAATATATCATGGTTGCATGATTAGAAAAAACATTCCGACTGTCACTTTCATGATCGGGTGAGCGATGCTCTGATTGGTTGGATGAAAGGTCATTCTGATGTGACCCATAATGGGATGTCCTCAGATCTTTCTTTAGCGATAGCGGGAACTAAGATCTGATTTTAATGAGATTGAAATTGTCATCTAAATAACAGAAAATTATACATGTCATAAGAATCAATTTCAACTAATGGTGTTGGATGAAACTCCAACTGAGAAAGGATGAATATTATTGGGCCTTAAAATGTCTGACTACACAACATGATATAACAACATACCATTAGCAGACGCCAAGTTGCCAATGGTCTGCACCACGAAAAAGTGTGGGATGACCCCAGGTTGGAAACGGTCCAGGAGTTCACCCATCACCTCATCACAATACTTGGTTCCCAAGGCAACCAGAACACCACTGGCTGCCGTCTGCCACTCAGGCTCAACTTCCTGTTACATAAGGGGAGATAATTAACTATAATTGTGTTTGTTTGTTGTTTAACGCTGCACTTCCAGCTATATGACAGCGGTCTATAAACAAGAGGCCCATAGGGCCTGTATCGCTCACCTGGATATTTACGCAATCATGACAAATATAGATTTGCATTGTGCATGTACATAATACTGCAAATATTTCGTAATTTTGACTCTGTCAGCATTTAAAATGGTTGGATGGCAAATCTAACAGCATGAATGTGCATTTCTCTACATACAAATGTCGCATAAAGATCTGAACTGTTTCCATGTTATGATCCAGGATAAATCATATTGAAGGTTTTATTCTCTTCAAAACAAACAAATGTATACAATGTATCTGTTTATTATAGGGTGGGGATAATATTGGTTTGCATGTTTTGGTCAAGGTACCAAGGGATGATTCCAACCAAATATGGTTGACATCTATCTCTTAGTTCCAGAGAAGAAGTCGTTTGAAGCAATATAGCCAAATTACCCCTATTTGGCCCTGCCCCTCAGCCACTAGGGGGGTCAGCCCCACCATTTATACAATTTTGAATCCCCACCTCCTAGGGATGCTTCCAGTCAAATTTCGTTAATTTCCAATTAGTGGTTCAGAAGAAGAAGTCGTTTGAACAAATTGTTGACGTACGGACGACGGATGGACAACGGACGGACACCATGGTATGGCATAAGCTCACCTTGGTCCTTCAGACCCGGTGAGCTAATAATCAAGTCTGGACCAGACAATCCAGTTATTGACATCATGAGCATCGATCCATGCAATTGGGATACAATGACATGCATCAACCAAAACAGCAAATCTGACTACCCGATTCCGTTAGTCGCCGTTTACGACAAGCATAGTCGCCTTTTACGGCCAGCATGGGTTGCTGAAGACCTATTCTAACCCGGATCTTCACGGGTCTATTATCAAGACTAATGGAACACTCAGGCACAACTTCCTGTTATATAAGGGGAGACAACTTACAAGGATATGAAAACAAAAATGTAACATGTTCACTACTTTAACAGTGACACGCCAATGTACTTCCTTTTGTCAGCATACACTGCTTGCAGTGGCCTGACAAACACCATATTTAAACAACTACAATTAGAAGTTAACAGTTGCTCGTAAGTTTGATTATTGTTTCTTGTTTTTCTTATAAAACAACGTCAAAACCCTTTCAATAAACATATGAAATTGCCAAAAGAGTCCATATGTACAATTCCCATCATGAGTACTGTATTCGACATAATAAGCGCCCTGGGCGCTCTCAAAATTAGAAATGGGGGGGTCTTGTTAGAATATTATTTTGGTGAAAAACAACAGAGTTGAAAGATCATACATTTCGTTGTTTATGCTGACAGCCTGAAATGTTTATATACGACAGATATATTTTTCCAGAATTTAATTTCCCATAATTAAGGGTGCATATAACATACATATTATACAAGAATAAATAAGTCTTGTGTACATTGATCAATTGGAAGGGTGTTAATTGGGATTGTTCACTAGCCAATATATTTGCAAATATCGCCATGGGCGCTTATTAGAGCAGGGCACTTATTACGTCGAATACAGTATCTGTTTATAAATAACTATCACAGTGTGATGATATCAGGTGTTCTCCAAATGCGTGCTTATCCTGCCCGAGTGGTTGCACCTGTCACAAACACATGCCCTACACAAAGGCAAGTTAATTTTTCTTCTTGTCTAAACCAGACAAGCAGATATAAATGTATTATCTTCAGACTGGGGGTTTTGGTTCAAGTTGGTTGAAATCTTTAAACTGAAAAATGTAAACAGGGTGGCCATACCTTGGACTGTGTGAGTTCGTCTGCAGCCTGGTGGATGAGGTCAACAGCCAGGCTGACATCAATGTTATCAAGGACTTCTTTCAAGATACGCTCCAGAGCGTTGAGTATCACAATACGGTGATCTGTCGACAGCTGAAACAGAAGAATTCATCAGTGTTTAATGATGCAGTCATTAATATTCCAGCTGTATCGCACCTGCCTGTAAATAATCAAAGTTAGCCTTGACAAACCAGCGGTACCTATCAGCCAACAGGGTACGATGAAATGCAATCACGTCACTGAGTTACGTAGTAAGAGGCGACTAACAGGAATGGGAGTTCAGGCTGGCTGACTTGGTTGATGCATGTCATCTGATCCTAAATGCATAGATTGTCTGGTCCAGATGCAACCATTTACATAACTATTTGACTACCGCAGTGTAGCTTGAATATTGCTGAGAGCTGCGTTAAACAACAAGCAAAAAACAAATCTAGTAAATCTTATGACAAAGATAATAATAAAAACAGTTTTTGTTCACCTTATTGTGTTTCTTAAGATATGAATAACATGAGCTTAGAACCAGAGACGGTTTCTTCTTGCCGAGTTCGTATAGTGAGTTGGAGATGACTTCTCGTGCCTCGTCATTCTTGTCATGTGCAGCATCAATCAGTGCCATTGTAATCTCTGCCAAAATATTGGAACACATGGATAGAAAAAGAACTTTAGGATACTTGACCTCATGTCAGTCAAAATAAAGCCACAAGGCTCTGAAGCTCACATGGATTTTTCTGGAATATCACATTAGACAAGAAAGGTCATAGAAGGGAAAAGGAGACTAGGTATACCAAATAACAGACATTTAACACTGATTCATGCATGGCTGGCCAGTTGTAGAGGTGCACAAGCCCTTTCAGTCAATTAGACTCATTAACCCCCATACATCAAGTTAGTGACATGTCATTATCAAACCAAGTTAGTGACATGTCATTATCAAACCAAGTTAGTGACACATGTTATTATCAAACCAAGTTAGTGACACATGTCATTATCAAACCAAGTTAGTGACATGTCATTATCAAACCAAGTTAGTGACACATGTTATTATCAAACCAAGTTAGTGACATGTTATTATCAAACCAAGTTAGTGACATGTTATTATCAAACCAAGTTAGTGACATGTCATTATCAAACCAAGTTAGTGACACATGTTATTATCAAACCAAGTTAGTGACACATGTCATTATCAAACCAAGTTAGTGACATGTCATTATCAAACCAAGTTAGTGACATGTCATTATCAAACCAAGTTAGTGACATGTTATTATCAAACCAAGTTAGTGACACATGTCATTATCAAACCAAGTTAGTGACATGTTATTGTCAAACTTCCAGCGAAAAGTATAGGTAAAGTTTTAGAATTGGTCTACAGCAACCCATGCTTGCCGTAAGAGTCGACTATACTTGTCGCGAGAGGCTACTAACGGGATCAGGCGGTCAGGCTCACTGACTTGGTTGATGGATGTTATTGTATTCCAATTGCGTGGGTTGAGGCACCTGATGTCAATCACTGGATTGTCTGGTCCAGACTCGATTATATACAGATCGCCGTCATATAGCTAGAATATTGCTGAGGCGTTAAACGGCGTTAAACAACAACAAAAAACACATAAAACTACCAGAAGGAATTCTCACAGGTTTTTGGTCCCTCTTGTCATTGTGAAATCTTTACACTTTTCAATTTTGTCCTTTTGAAAAGGCTGAACTGGGCCCAGAGTTCAAATTAGCTTTTACAAGGTCAATGGAACGAAAAAGCCAACTTCATTTTCAAATTTTATTTCACTTGAAAAAATTAAAACAGGCAGATGTGTTATCCAAGAAGTGGAAACTAAGTCTGGCCTAGAGTAAGTAGACAGTTCCCGAAAGCAGATAGCTTAGTGGTTTCACATAGAGACTTCCTTATAACATGGTCATATCAAGATATTTTATGTCAATCACTGGATTCATTGTCTTACTGGACACAATTCATGGGCCTGTTAGACACGTTAACGAATGTAACCACGGGACCAATGAAACAAAGGATGCAAGATTTGTCAAAATGTCACCATAATCACCATAATTGACAAAGTGGGGTACATGTAAAAACCATACACAGATAGAAGTCATACTTAGTTCAAACGTTGATGAAACTTAAACATTTTAATGATAGTTACAAGACAATTAAATACCCCTTCTACGCAGCAGTTTATCTGTAAAACAACATGTAATATACACAAGAAAATATAGAGGTTTAAGTAGGAGGTGCTTATAAAGATTACTTACAGATCTATCGAGCAGTTGGTCAGGGGTACTTATTAGAGCAGGGCACGTAACAGGGCGAATATGGTAGTGGAATTTACTGGATCGTTATCTGCAGCATTAGTCACTTACAGCTTCATCCTCTAGGGATACATGACACCCACATAACCATAGTAACAAGATTCTTGCAGAAAATGCTCTATGTGTACGGGAACCAGACAAGAAAAGAAATAAAGAAAGAAAGAATGCATCTATCATGTCTATTGAACAGACACTAACAAGATTATATTATCCATAAGGGTAGAACGGATATGAGTATAAATATCTTAATAAATGTGCATTTTAGCAATTCTCAAAGCCCATTGGTCAACTAAAGCCATTTGACAAGATTTTCATTGGTTACAAAAATAAGATATGATGTTCATGACGTCACCAACTGATTACCGGGTACATTGCATCATCTACGCAAAGGCTGCATTCAGTGTATTTTCTCAGTAGGGTTGACATTTCATGCTTTTTCTTCATTTTCTCCCTTAAAATGTCAATGAGAAATAAATAAAGAATAACCTTATTGAAACTTGGAATTATGGATCATCTGTCCCTCGTGAATGAATGCTGTGAGTCCCTCCCAAAGGGTTCGAGATTAACACCATTCATTCTCTTGGGATAGATAATTTGTAATTCTTCGTAGCCTGTTATTCTCGAAGCAATGCAAATACGTTACATCAACGCTGCTTTCATAAATTATGAAGACAGATAACAAGAGCTCACATTGACGATGTCAAGGTTAGCAAAAAGACCACCTGTACCTTATGCTATTACAAAAACATCCAACAATAAATGACCTTTCCAAGTATCACATAACCTGACATCATAGATGACTATATACCGCATTCGACATAATAAGCGCCCCGCTCTAATAAGCGCCCACGGCGATATTTTCTAATATATTGGCAAGTGAACAATCCCGATTAGCACCCCTTCCGATTGATCAATGTAATCAAGACTTATTTATTCATGTATAATACGCACTTGTGTGTTATATGCACCCTTAATTATGGGCAATTAAATTCTGGAAAAATATCTCTGTCATATATAAACAGTTCAGGCCGTCAGCATAAACCACTCAATTTTTCTTTCAACTCTGTTTTTTCCACCAAAATAATATTCTAATAAGAGCCCCCTATTTCAAATTTGAGAGCGCCCTGGGCGCTTATTACGTCGAAATACGGTATGTGGTTATTTCAGATGATGTATCTAGTATTGCATGTATTCTGGTGTAATTGGAAGACAAAAGAAGTAGTATTAATGTTAGGGGTGTCACACGATATGATACATATCTGGATACAAAAGACACGATACGATACGTATCTCAATACTGCATATACAACATTTTGTGTCATTAGACTGAGAATAGAGTCCACAGACTTGCTCATAAAGGTAAAGAAGAACAACGGACAACTGACTAATACCCCTCGACATGACACGGAGTCAAGTCAACTATTCTGTATGAGAAAATACAGAATATGTATATATTTCTGTATGAAAAATGAGAACAAGTTTATGTACTGTATTATGACAAGCAGCAAGGAAAAGGCTGGTCAGTGTTGTAGTCGGGCCAGTTCCATATCCGAAAGACCAAGAAAGTTATGATGAATTAAGAAAATAGTTTGTACTTGCTTATTGATATTTCAGCAAATTTCCACATGGGCAATCGATATGGAGTTAAATGTGAATCGATGCCAAATTAAGTGTATCGGTCATCGTATCGTGCAAAGTGTGCAGACGATGCACCAGTGTACCACTGAAACTCAACTTTACTACTTAACGCAGCTTTTAACAGTATTCCAGTTATATCATGAAGTGTCAGCTTAATGTGGGAGGAGAGCCTGAAGCGATGCAGGTCTGAGACGTTTACCACTTCGGTGAAACCCACGAGCACGGGTATGGTGCTGACAAACCTAGAAACATAATCAGGACGAACCAGGATTTGAACCCACAATTCTAGGTTTCTGGCATGCCCAAGGGACAATTACAGACGCCTGGGCCATCTGTGCCCCATGCAATGTTAGAGGAAGGCTGGAAGGGTATGTCTACAAAATAAAACCTACTATGCTGTATTTGCTATTTCCAGGGCCCCAGTCCACAAAGCAATCTTAGGGCTAAGTTGATTGTAACTCACTAAGTATGCGATCTTAAATTTTTGTTACGATCAGCCGCCCGTTCCACAAAGCAATCTTAACTAAGAGAGTTGTAAGTTAAGATCAAAATGCTAAGTTGCTCCGGACCAACTTAGGATTGCTAAAATTGATCTTAAATATTGTACCATAGCAACAAAGATGGCGACTTTTATTATGGTGTGCGAGGAAATGCATCGTCTGCTTAACATGACCAAGGGAGGCCACTCTAAGGGAAACTTTCGTATCTTCATGGCTGAAGATTCCGATCTTTGTTAAGATCGGCTACTTAAGAACTTGTAAAGTTACAATCGCCCTAAGATCGCTTTGTGGAACGGTTGTAAACTTTAGCTAAGACAATTTTAGAATCGACGTAAGTCTCTAAGATTGATTGTAGTTACGATCACTTTGTGGAACGGGGCCCAGAACCCCAGTCAACTGAATCCAAACCAGTGTCTACTGAAGGCCTACCCACACCGACCAGTATATCCACTCCAACTACCCCCTGAGAACCAGGCATGGCATCATCTCTACACTTACCAAATGAGCCATCAACTTTTCTTCTGCTGAGATCCAGCACCTCTGTCATGTCTTCGCTCATCTCAACAATTACCCACCCAAACACGTCAACTCCTCTATTAGGGTTGGGATGGGTAACTCTGGTAATTGTGAGTAGGACCCGGGTACCCACAGGACTACCTGGACCCGTGGTTACTCACGTAATATATTGTTTAAATATAATAACAATGAAAGTCGCTCATGTTTGCATTTCTGTCTGACTCTGACTTTTATATGTTTGAGTAAAGATATAATTTCAGTCGACTTCTGTGTGCGCATGATCTGATCGTTTTATAGTGTAATACCATTTGCCAGGGCTTTCGGAAAAACAATTCGCAATCGGAATCGGACATTATGTCCCAACTCTTGAGACCTACATTTGGGACCCAGGTCGGGGCAGGTAATAGGGATCAAGTAAGTACCCGGGTCGCAAATTTGGACTCGTCCCAGCCCTATATTCCACAACAGACTTAGATCTACAACCACCAAGCCTGAATCAGTGCCCTTCCGCATCACTCTTCCTTCATAGCCACCTACTCAAACAGCAAGCCAACACTGACACCTACTACCCCAGCTCAACCTCCCTCGATACAGGTGGCCCAGTCATCTAAACCTCTGTGATTCGCTGTGCATAGTTGTGTCCCTTGGGCACGCCAGTAACCTATGATTGAGAGTTCGTATCCCGGTTCGCCCCAATTATGTTTCTAGGTTTGTCAGCACCATACCCGTGCTCGTGGGTTTCACCGAAGTGGTATATGTCTGAGACCTGCATCACTTTGAGCCTTCCTCCCACATTAAGCTGACACACCGTGATATTACTGGAATACTGTTAAAAGCGATGTTAAACCCAACTCACTCACTCGCTCACTCTATACCCTGTTTCAATATCATGTGTTATCCAAACACTAAACAGAATGACGACAAGACGCACGTGTCGACTTCTCTTGTTTACTCGGTAGCCATCATTGACAAGTGCCCCGATGCCGGGATCAGTCATTAATGTAGACAAATATGTGATAGGGACCAGTCATTACTGGGTATTGCAACATACCCTACTAAAAGCAAATGGGTGAAACACCACCAAACCCCTTGAACCCAAAGGTGAAGTTTATAAACATGAATGTAAACTGTGGACAATCATTTGTAAGTGAAACATCCTGTCCAATCAACACCAAAATCAAAAGAACACAAAAGTTCAACCATCAAATCAGTGAGTAAATCGTCAACCATCTCGGAAAATATCAGCCATTATCGGTAGCCATCATGTACAAGTGCCCGGATTTCGGGATCAGTCATTAATCTAGACAAATGTGTGATAGGGACCAGTCATTACTGGGAATTGCAACATACCCTACACACATGACAAAAAAAGCACAAAACTTCAACCATCGATTCAGACAGTAAATCATCAGCCATCTTGGACAATATCAGCCACTATCCCTTTCACATCAATTTGGAAAACATCCAAATACTTTCCAACAACCACCATGACTTCACTAAAAGAAAACTAGCAGAAGTCCAGATTCACAGTCCCAAGCCTTCTTCCAACAGAGAGATCCAGGTTATTTTGTCCCGTCTGTATACTATGAACTTATCAAGCAATAGTTTTTCCAATCATCACATCAAGGAATTTAATCCTGTTTAATTGGCTTCCTAACCGCGTGTGTTCTCTGTCCATCATGACGTTACAATATCATCCTTCTGTGTTTTTTAGTTAACCTTCTCGTGTTAATCCCTCTCATGTATGATAATTGTTACTGTTAATCTTTCACCTGCCATATATAATTCTGTACCATGTTAATTATTCCCATGTATCCCCGTGTTATGGGTTTTTCGACACTTAAGAAACATTCGTAGTTTTATCTCTAATCACATGAACAACTGTAAAACATCTCATTCACTCATAAAAAGACAACTTTCTTTGCATAACAAGCCATCAACTGAATATTTACAGTATTTCTGTGATGCTACACCCCCGTTACAGTGCAAGTAATCGTGATAAACGTGGCCATCCTAAAATAATCCTATGATACTTGACAACGGGTTATAGCTAAAACGTCACCTCAGCAAAACTTCACCGGGCGAAAACAGCACAGATTGGCGAAAACGTCACCTCACCTCAAGCAAAAACAGCTACTTATTTTTTTTTACCTTGATCAAATAAATGATATTAAACTTACATGGTAACTTGCAAACACCAATAATTGTGAGATGTTAAAACAAGTTTACATTAGAAATTAGCCTCTACTCCAACTATATTCCAACTTAGCCTATATGCAACTCAACTTATTGTGAAAACATAACATGCCTTGAAGTTAAATAAATTAAATTCAACTCACATCGTCTCTTACAAACACAAATAATTGTGAAATTGTGAAATGTTAAAACAAGTAATAAATTGGCCCCCTACTCCAATTTACTCACCGACTCTGATTGGTGGCGTATTTAACTTATCATGCTTATTGTGAAAACACTATACGCCTTGAAGTTTTAAGTACCTTAACTCAATTTAACTCAATGTCAAGCTGAAACTGTATTTAAGAAGCCTAATATGATGCTGTCAGTTCACAAGGGTCTTTCTATGCGTTGCATGCCAGAAGAATGTCAGAAAAATCAACATGCTGTATCATGTGACAACTGTGACCAGTGGACCCATCGTGTATGTGGGACCAGACTTTCTGTGGCCCATTATCGAGAAATTTGCCGGACTGAAGAAGATTTCACTTTCCGCTGTTTGAGATGTGTAGATCCCATCATAGAAGAAGTGATGTGCCAAATGCGGTTCCGTTTTTCGCCAGAGAATCGGTGACATTTTGCTGAGGTGCCGTTTTAGCCTGCACCCCATGACAAGAGACAAAGCATCTTTACTGAAGCAATGCTATTACAGTATAATTGAGGGACTGTTATCCATATTTTGGGGTTTTTTTTTGCATGTATGATTTCAAGTTCTTCGTCAAGGATTCCTCAGAAATAATTTTTTATTTTACATGCAAGGGGCGTTCAATAAGTTTTGCAACTTCAATATACATGATATAAGACCAAATCGCATAATATCTTTTGCCCTTTGATTTTTTAATAATAACTCCATACACCCATTCCATCGTTTTCCATATTTCTTGGTGTTTATCGCCCTTCTCAATGTAAACATAACAAAAATAATTAGTAGAGTCTAATATTGGGAAATAAAATCTGAAAATTTATTTTTGCAAAAATTACGCAACATAGACCCTAATGGTGTAATACTTTTTTCAAACTTGTTTTTGATCAATGAATGTAAGAGCACAAGGAGCAATGACAGACCACTGTTAGCCATCTGACGCTGCTACTCGAGTGTTGGATGGTTCTCTGGAAGTGCCTTCTCCTCGCTCACACTTACCGTCCACCTGGCCCCCCGTCCCCCTGACAGCGTCTCCCTCCGGCCCAGGCATGATCATCTAATTGACATCCACTAAACTGTGCAACTCTCTCTCCGCTCTTGTTATAATTGTACCGACAAGTTTAAGTCTTGTGCCTCCTACAAACTGAAATCATGTGACATGAAGGTAAACGGAAGTGAGATGCTGTTTATGGAAGGGAGCTAACTCTAATGACGTTAGCGATTCTGTAGAGTTTGAGTATTATGCGTGTAAGTTGAGTTCAAACCGATCCGGGAAATCAATTTTGTTAATTTGTGACTAAGTAAGAGATAAATCGAACCTTCTATACAACCAGAATGATTAACAGGAAAATGAGTGAATACACCAATAAATCGCAGTGGCGTGAGTTTTTAGTGGTTAAATGTGCGGGGCATCTCCACGACGTAAACACAGTGATCCACGGTCTGAACATATCTTCCATCCAAGGCTGTCCGTATTTGTTTCTGTGTTTCCCATCTCCCGTCGGCCCTAAATTTTCATTCCGACGTGAATTAATAAAAGAATTCTAATTTCAATTTTCCCCACCGGTGTGAAAATTTATGCCCCAATGTGATAAAACAAAAGAACTCATGCCATCGTACATTTATGTTTAAAAAAACCCTAACAGATCAGCTTGATATTCCTTTAGCAATATATATTAAAAATCCGTTTAAAAGCAAAGCGACTCTGCCAATGTCATAACTTAATTTAAAGCCTGGAAGCAAGTTTTCTAAACTTTAAAGTTTTGTTAAACTATGTTACACAGTTAGTATTACCTTTTTTAATTATTATTTTTGCTGATTGAGGTTAGAGATGAGAAACACATAAAAAGATATGGGTGGCCCTATGTCCAGTGACTTGCGTCAAACTGGGACATTGTCTGTGTGCTTCAAGTACTCATTAACAGCTATTGAGTGACATAAAAGCTATAAAAAAGTTAATTTCTAAAATACCTCAATCAAATCTGATAGGTCTGCCTATTGGACTGGGTCCTGTTCCACAAAGCCACCTTAGCGCTAAGGTGATCGTAGCTCCCATACTCTTATACTGGCTTACGATAGTATTACGAGGGTATTATTTCCAGAACGAGAGTATTATTTCCAAAACGAGCAAGCCATCAATGACTGAGTTGATAATTCGCAGCCGAGCAAATTGTTGTTGGAATGGTGCTGATCACGTGAGCCATGATTCCGTCATCCTGTACTTCCGATTACGTACATAACGCGCTATGGCATTTTTCATAGTGTCGTGTTAATAACTCACACTTCAGTCCGTGAACCGAACTCACGCAGTCAACACACAGTGTGGGTGTTGGTGGAAAGATCGGCAGACCCCAAGACACGAAGGGAAAAAATACTCTCAGGTCTCGAGACAACAAGGCGACAAGACAACAGGTCCCGAGACACAAGGCGACAAGACAGCAGGTCCCGAGACACAAGGGGACAAGACAGCAGGTCCCGAGACACAAGGGGACAAGACAGCAGGTCCCGAGACACAAGGGGACAAGACAGCAGGTCCCGAGACACAAGGGGACAAGACAGCAGGTCCAAATTCACAAGGCGACAAGACAACAGGTACCGAGACATAAGAGGACAAGACAACAGTCCCAAAGACACAAGGGGACCAGACAACAGGTCCAAAGACACAAGAGGTCCCGAGACATAAGAGGACAAGACAACAGTCCCAAAGACACAAGGGGACCAGACAACAGGTGCCGAGACTCAAGGATACAGAGAACCAGACCCCAAACACAAGTCAAAACGGATCCTCAGACAGCGCTTTGAAAGAATTGGATGCCCCATAAAGCGAGGTATTTGTCAGAATTCTTCCTTCACACAAATCCACAATGGATAAAGGCGACTATGGTTTAACAGTGCTGTCTCTGGTGTTGCTGTCTGTGTGTGGAGTGTTTGGGATACCGTCCACCTCCTTCCTGATGTACAAAGCTCTCAAGAAGCCTAGGGTGTTTCTCCGGTTCTCATCGACCTTTGTATTGGCTGCCTTGGGGCTCGTAGCCTGCTTCGTCCTTGTTCCCGTCAAGGTGATTGAGATTGTCCGCGGCTACATGGTGGAAAGAACCACGACGTCATTATGCACACCTGTCTTGAGCATTAAAGGTTTTCTCGAAATCTCTCAAATGATCAGTCTTTGTGTCTTGGCGGTCAATCGCTCTAGAAACGTCCAGTCATTAAAACGAAATCAATACTTGAAGACGGAAGCGGTGTCTGTATGTGTTGGACTCGCCGTAGGTATTGGGTGCTGTCTCTTGATTGGTGCCGGTCAGTATGATGGAGGAATATGGGATGAGACTTCCCTGGTGTGCACTGTCAATGTAAACACTGTCAAGATGACACATGTCTCTGTATTCTACATGATCAGATTTGTTGTCCTCGTTGTAACCTGCATGGTGATGCTTGGCAGCTGGATATCTATGTTGATGTTTCTCCGAGCCCCTAAAGTAGCTCCCTTTAGGACAAGATGCGGGACTGGAAATGTCAGACCCCAGATTGAGTTGATTTTTGATGAGGAATTCCAGAGACAAGGCATGGAGGGGATATGTCAACAGGGTGATGAGACACATTCAGCCGAGATGCCGAATATCCAAGAAAACATGGATCATACTTTGGAACGATGTCCATCAATTGGAGACTTCAGCAATTACCTTCCTACCTCACGCTTCTATTCGCATGCAAGGAGGGCCTTGTCTCATCTAAGGGCAGACAGTGGCCTTGCTTTTTCTGATATTTGCAACCCTGGACACCTTGATGAGGACGCAAGAAGCAGACAACTTAATTCACACTCCCCTCTGTCTCTGCCATCTTATCTGATAAATTCAACACTCAACTCTATGCATTCAGCTTCATCAAGGCCAAAGAAATCGAAGCGACTGATTTGGAAAAGGTCACAGGATCATTCCTTACGGTCACTCAGTATGCTGTCCCTTGATCACCAGCATTGCCTATCCAGGACTTGTTCGTTTGATGAGCACGTTAATGACGTTAATGAACATAGATCCAGTGAGGTGAAGACTGAGCCATGTAATGACGAGGGTCGACCTTTGGGACAAGGCGTCGAGGTCTGTTTTAACAGTCAAGATAACCTTAATATGGATCATGACAGTGGGGTATGTAGTACCGGTAGTCTCTGGAAGAATACAGTTCTGAGGAGGTTCCTGTCATTGGACAGCGATGGATCAGCAGACATACACCTCGCTACACAGGACAGAGTCCTGGCAACGCTTCGTCATATGGGGGAGGAGTGCGAGTCTCATAATGCCGATGAAAACAACACATATGACAACACATGTGTTACAATGCCATGCCTTCCGCCCCTCAACAACCTAGACTCACACGCTCTGAGCCCAAGCCCGCGGCCAGTCAGAATTCGATTAACCTCTGACAGCCCAGATAACGACTCGACGAGAAAAATCACTGTTTCAGAATCATGTTGTGATCACGTAGAAGACACCCAGCGAAGCAAGGGCGGTGTTGCAAATGAGGTAGAGCAGGACAATGTTGTTTCAAACACTTTATCGCGGCCTGTAGATGACTCAAGCTTTGGACTATCACCACCTATTCCCACGAGAACAGAAAGTGACTTCATTTCATCGCCAGGTATGAGCTCGACTACCGAGTTCTCGTTTGTGTCACGGCGGTTGCAACATATGAAGAAGGTTATGCGCAAGCCTCTCATTGAGATCCTGGCGGTCCTTCTGCTACTTCTGCCAGACTATGTGATAAAATGCCTGAGTTTATTTGACATTCATGGCGACGCTACTGCCCTGTCTCCTCTGACAGAGAGCTTGTCTCTACTACTGTTTGCCGTCAATCCTTTCATGTTCATCATAAACAATCGAACGATTATGGATGCCCTTTAAACATTTCATTGCTTTTTCTGGAAGAAAGTAATTACTGACCTAGTACACAGTTGCAACCCAATTACCTATGCCGTCTTTCATTAGGGTTGCTCACTAACTATTTAAAGGTTGAAAGCCGCATCACTAATTAATACAGATACCTTTAGGTGTATACGTTCACTAATTTGTCCTTAAGGATTGCTTATTGACACCCCAATGGACATGCCACGCGCCATGCATGTCAAGTCTTAGCCTCATTATGTAGAGAGGCATAAGCATAAATGTCAATCAGGTCAAGTCAATTTATTCGTATCCATTCAAAGAAAATTGTATAGTATTCATTGAAAAAGATTATCCGAACAGAATGTAGTACGTTCAGTAAATGCGTACTGGTATTAATTCATTATCATGTATTAAACTGTATGTTTGTATTAGTATGGGACAGAGACAAGGCCGAAGTGGCAGTCGACTCACGAGACTCAGAACCCAAGATCACAATCTTGGTCAGTGCCTACCAGTGTCCGCAAAGAAGGCTCTACATACAAAAAGACTTATGTCTCATGTTCGATCCCTATGGTCGATCGATGGTCAGTCTGTGACCTTGTTACGCCATAACTGCATTAACTATGCCTAGGATAAGTACGTGGCATAATTAACAGGACCGAAACTGTCGCTTCTCCCTGTTCTAGCTGTGGCGTAAGAATATTTTAAGAAGAATATGGTGCTAGCTCACTGAGATACCATGCCGCAGTTTAACATGAATACCCCACTAAGACACAGTATACTGACTCCGAGCCGACCAGTCCTTGTTTTAGCCCCTTAATGCCGAGCACCAGATAGGGTTACAACAAGTACCGTCTTTTGGTATGACGCGGCCGGGATCGAACCCCGGACCTTCCACTCTCCGTGCGGACGCTCTACCTCTAGATCACACACGCCATGGATTACTCAAAGTATGTGTCAAATGCCTTATGTTAAAGATCCGGGTAAGAATAGGTCTTCAGCAACCCATGTTTGCCTAAAAGGCGACTATGCTTGTCGTAAGTAGGCGACTAACGGGATCGGGTGGTCAGACTCGCTGACTTGGTAAATGGATGTCATCGTATCCCAATTGCTCATGATGCTCGATGCTCATGATGTCAATCACTGGATTGTCTGGTTCAGATTCGATTATTTACGGACCGCCATCACATATCTGGAATATTGCTGAGTGCGGCGTTAAACAACAAACAAAACTTTCGTCTTTCCTGCCACACTAATCTCAGTTTGTTTCTGGTTCACTTATGTTGTGTTTGTATTGTTATGTTTTCTAAACTTTTTGAATCGTTTAATGGTTTTGCAGTCCAGATATTGTTTTTGAATAAGTGTCATAATTGTACTTTGCATCACATAAGAACAATTATTGTACTTCTGTTGCAAGTAAAAACATCTTTCTCAGAATGTACATCTTCCCGAGGCAAGAGCGTCCACTAGCCTTTTTATCAAAGTCTTGTTAGTAACTAGCCTTGATTTAGGCTCCTAGACAGCCTTATCTCGGGAAGATGCAGAACGTATTGGTTATTCGATGTCATGTTCCTATTGAATGTTTCACATTGTTTTTGATATTTTGATAAACTGTAAGTCGTTCTTGGTGAATTCATCCTTGTAGGCGTGTTCTCTCTTCCACTTGAAAGTGCATACTGCATTATTTAATTACGTTTTATTTTCTACAAGGTATTTCAATTTCTTGTTAAATGTATCCTGTTGTTTGTTATAAAATGTGACATGCAATAAAATGATAATGCATAATTCAATTGGTGTGTTCTTTTCTATACCAATCAAGATACGGTGGATGTTAATCATGGAGGTACTAAACCAGTTTCAGTGGTATTTGTGTTATAGGGTGTGTAGTTTTGCAGAGTATGAAATCTTCACTGGCGCTAGGGGATGAATGAAATTTACGAAGACGTTTTAACAATGATTGGGTGTAGTTTGACAAGCTATACAGACCTACGGGTTTCCATGGTGATAAATTTGTCAATATTCACACATAACAACATCCTAATGAAATCACGCCTGTCAAGTTCCAGTGTGAAAAACAACATGTGACTCAGTAGACACAATTTTATGGATAACAACGTCTTTAATACTGAGAAAAGCAACGTTTCGGTTTAGATCCCGCTTGACAACGGTATAAGGATCTATACCCATGGAGAAGTATAGTAACTGACTCACGTGAAGAAGTAAAGGTGTCATTCTCTGCATTGTGACATTCTAGGATTAGTTCTCTTTTTACCGTATTTCCTTGTGAATGGTGCACATTTTCCCAAAACATACAGCTGTGTACGGGGTGGACATAACACATGCATATAACGCAAGCAAAGGCACTACCGTGAGGAGAAACTCAATCTCTAAAATTTGGAAATGTTGTGTTTTCCGAGTACACCTATTTTTCTCAAGGGTATATATGGTAAATGCTGCAATTAAAATAAATATTATTCTTGGTAAAATAATTGTTTCAGATCAAATGTTTTTTAAGTTGTAATATCGGGTGTATGATTTTATTTCACAATACATATTCTGTTTATTAATACATTGTAACTGTAAATATGTCATCAAGGTAAACTGTATCTGTGAGTGAGTGAGTGAGTGAGTGAGTTGGTATTAACACAGCTTTTAACATTATTCCAGTTATATCACGGCATGTCAGCTTTATATGGGAGGAGGACCGCCTCCGTGGTCTAGTGGTGGGCGTCCGCCCGGAGAGCGGAAGGTCCGGGGTTCGATCCCCGGCCGCGTCATACCAATAGACGTTAAAAGATGGTACTTGTTGTTACCCTGTCTGGCGCTCGGCATAAAGGGGCTAAAACAAGGACTGGTCGACTCGGAGTCAGTATACTGTGTCTGAGTGAGGTATTCATGTTAAACTGCGGCATGGTATCTCAGTGACCTAGCACTATAGATCGGCATCAGTCCGGTCTAGTACAAGCAGCCACACAAACACACACACGTACATGCACGTCGCTATATAAGTGCAATAATCTTGGACGCGACGTTAAACCCCATTTCACCTCACCTCACCTTATATGGGAGGAAAGCCGAAAGTGATGCAGGTCTCAGATGCACTGTTATGGTGCAGACAAACCTGGAAACATTTCAGGGTGAACCGACATTCAAACCCATGATCACAGGTTTCTAGCATTCCCAAGAGACTCAACTCTGCACATCGAATTGCGGTGTCTTTGATGACTGGGCCACCCATGGCCCCAAACCACTGGTGGTTATGGTCCAAATTCGATTAATAACAGTTGACTGTGGTGTATATGATATGTCCCTCGGTCGAATAAACAACATATACGCAATCATTCACATACCAATTTTTATTCATCCAAATAACTGCTACATAAATTATTAACGCCACAAGATAGTGGATAACAACTGAATAACAACCAATAACAATTCAAAAAGAACTGTTACTGGTTTACTTGAATTTAGATTATTTTTCAAAATAAAAATTCAGAAAAGAATAATTTGAAGGAGTGTAAATAAACTTCAAAACATTTTCATCTGAAATATAAATAAGACTTCCTCTCCATGTTTTTAAAAAAACAAATACTTCCAGGTTTCACTATCCACCTAATATTTATGACAATGCAATCAGAACATGGACGGAGTTGATACAAAAGTACAAAAAGAAACAGTTCAATGTAACAAAATAGTAACGTTATACAAACCTAAAACATATTCTTTTTATCACAGAATGCTTTGGTTAGGTGAAATATAGGGCTGAAGGAAATACCTTGTCATGATTCGGGAGAACTATCAAGGGCATGTCTGCTGTTGCAATATTATCATAATTGTTAAAAAAACCTATTTCAAATCAAATTTTCAATACTATTACAATATATGTAAAAATAATTGGAATATAGATGTGATAGGTTGATGAAAGGCCGAACATTATATTTTGAGGGATGTGAGTGAATTGGTTTGGTTGAGTGGGGCATCGACTTGGAAAAAAATGAATTACCTGGTAATCTGTTCCCAAAACTGATGAACAAAATTTATGAGAATTTACCAAGGAAATTTATTGTTCAACGGACCTGGTGAATGTTTTTGAAAACATAAAAACACTCCTTTCAGAGAGGGGTTCATATTCTGCCTCAAACAAACGTAGTTCTCGTGATATCAAATTACCTACCTTTGATTTTTATCAGCAAATTTGATTTGCTACCCTACTCAGTCTAACGGACCAATCAGAATGTGACTTACAAACCAGTCACAATGATGGGTGGGCACGTTCGTGACAAGCTCATGTTATTCAGGGACAAATCGAATAGCGACTTGTGCCCGTCTCGTGGCCATTTTTGCGACTGGTATCCGTCTAAGCGCAAACGGGCATAGCTAAAAGAATTATAAACTCGTTACGTTATGATTCACGTATATTTCACCATATATCATGTATGTTCCAGATGCCATTGAAAACACATCGGGACTTACAGTATTATACAGTATGATTGGACACATTTAACTGTATCTTGGGTATGTTTTTAAATGCAAGATCTATGTAAAGTTCAAAATTATTACTGAGGGAATCTTTGACCGAAGAGTTGAAGTCATATGCGCATTCTGATTGGTTTGTCGTATTTTCGCCCATAACATTCATCGACAGGGGGACGAGTCTTCTTGCAGGTTACGGAAAGGGGCGAGTGGTGACGAATGGGGTTGGCGGTATAAACAACATGGTGGCCAGTGCCAATGATTATGATAGAATTCGCGAAAAACTACGAAATCATGAAAAATCTTTTTGATGTCCTCACGTCTTCATGTCCAGGCAATACAAGTTACCTCCCTTATCAATTTCATTTTTCATTATCTTGCCATTTGATTGGTTGGTAAAATGTTTAATGAGATGTGTATACATGTACTAATACACACTTTCAGAAGGAGATATATCACACAGTTTTGATTCCTTGCTGTATCCTTACAGCCATCATCAAATACTGCCAGTATTGATACTCAATCAACAACAAAATGTCCCACCAACACATAATATATTCACTGTGAAGCAAAAACATCTGAACAAAATGATCCAGTTATGATTCTAATGAAAGTTTATGAAACTACAAAGCGTCATTGCGAGAGAATAAGCAGTCTCGATTATCTGCCAAAACAGATTCAATTATGAGTAAAAGGCAAAATACTGGTGAAATTATAGTTGTTGTAAATGTTGTTTGAGAAAAGGGTAAATGTCCTGTACTACTGGTAATACATTTGATATGGTAGGATTCTCGAAATATTATTCTAACAATATGTTTATGAAAGTAAATACAAAAGTTGGCATATATAATCAATATTATATAGACAAACAACCATTCGAAAGTTTACCTTCTTTGAAAACTGGTCACAAGTTTGATATATTTGACAATGTAAAACCATAAACAGTGAGTGTCCCACAAATCAATAAATACAATACTAAGTTTTACAAAGGACATGAAGATATATATATGTATACATGACCTCCCAGCATGCATTCAAAGCTAAATGAAAGGTATTCATGGTTACTAAACATCCTTCAAGCAGTTCTCTATCCATTACTGGCCCCTACTCTGTATCATAATTTTACTTAGGGCCTGACTATTTGATATTCGGAGTGTAAACATCTGAAGAGAGTTTCTTTTAATTCCTCCATAACAACATGTCCATCTATCACCAAGGACAACCAGGACACAAAGCCTGTCTGGCACAAGGTGGGGCTGCATTTGTCATGTTTGTTTTGTTGAACAATAATACAAAACATATTTTCCACCTTTCTACTTACATATCATTTTAAATACTTAAAAAGACTATGAGTAAACCAAACTTTGGGATTACCAAACTTCAAAGACATAAATAGTCACTTTTCCTTGTGTAAAGAATACAAGAGAAATGACTAGAGTTTTAGACCAGTGATGACATTTCTTCTGCATCTGTTCCCCTTCAGCAACAATAAACATATCAGAACTGTCCAGCCAACGAATCCCTTCAAATATATCCCTATTTTAATCAGAACAACAAAAGACAAAGAGCTATGAAAACCCATAAGAGAGCACCCAAACTGTACAGGCTATTACAGGCATAAATCCCACAACTCAATCAAAGGATCTCGAGCCTACAGAACCAAGGAACCATGACTGCCTTTCCCTTTGTCTAAAACGAGAAGAGACGGTCGCCTGACTTGGCCCTGTCCAGGAGTTCCATCTCCTTCTTAATCAGCCAGTTCTCGTACGGCTGCCCCGCCCGATCGTTCCCGAGAGATCGCAGATATAGTCGCAGGGCACCTGCACTCCTCTGCTTCGCGCTGCCACCTCTCTTATCCGGACTTGCGCTCTTTAAAGCATCTTTAGGTGATGGTGAAGCCTTTTTCCTCTCAGCCTCTTTCTGAGCCAGCCAGTTTTCGTAGTTTGTGGCCTTGTCTTCCTCCATCTTCCTCCTGCATAACAGTGAGTGAGTGAGTGAGTAAGTGAGAGAATGGGTATTAAAACTTATCCCCGATATACCTATGAACATGTCAAAGGCATCAGCACTGAAGCAGGCAACCCAGTGGCTGATGGAGTGAGCACTAGATCACATGTGTACACCCAATCCTCTTTGGGGAGTATCACCACAAGTATGATCGATACTGTAAACATTGACGTCAATTCTATATATTGGGAAGAATGTCTTCTCCATATTCGGCGTAACGTCCTATAGATGTCCTTGTCCCTTAAAGTTGTCACAGCATTGTGTTGCAGTACGGAGCCTCAACACTCTTCATGTCATACGGCAATCGATTTCCTGACAGCGCTATGAGTGTGGAATAAACAGAACTGGGACCTGGGCCCACTTGCACAAAGCAGCTTAGCACTACGACTGTCATAAGTCAATGTTAAAGTAAGGGACTTACGAGCGTTGAAGCGCTACATAGCTTTGTGCAGGTGGACCCTGACCAATTTTTCTTGTTTTCTTTATCTTTGGTCAAAATGCCAGGAGTCACTGGACAAAGAGAAAGATTAAAAAATGTCAGAAGTGTTGAACTGAGGTTAATTGCCATAAAAAGAACTTCAAACATAGTTTTGGACAAAAAGACAAACACAAAGATGTTTTTATTTCGTAAAATGTAGGTAGACTGATCCATACAAGAAACAAAAGTGAACTTACCTAAGTAGTAAACAAAGTGGTCATTTGGCTTAAAGATAATTCACTGTTTTGAGTAAAAAATTGTTCAGTATCTATTTTGTTTACCTGATCCCCAATTTAACAAACTTGTACAAGCTGTTCTGACCCCTGTCCACCTTGGGGTTCTTCATAGGAGAATAAAGACATTGCAGCAAGATGGATAAGCATTAGTAGAGTCAGTGCACACCTTGGCTTAATCAGTACATATCATACACCTTCAATCTAAACACAGACAAATATACTTTCGTTTTGTGTGTTTGTTGTTTAACCCTGCACTCATAATTATTCCAGCTACCGGTATATGTTGTGGCCTGTAAAAAACAGTGCAGACCAGACGAACCCGTGATTGATATTATGAGCAATGAGCAGCCAGGTAACAATGCCTGTCCACCTGATCCATTAAGTCGCTCCCCCTTGACAAGTACAGGTTGTTAAAGGTTGTTAAAGGTTGTTGTAGGTTGTTGTAGGTTGTTGTAGGTTGTTATAGGTTGCTAGCCAGACAGATGATGACTGAGAAATATTACTAAGAAAATTAATGTAATCTGAGCGCTCACTTCCTTCGCCCTGGAACCAGGCTTTGAATTCATTGGTCAAAAACCAGCATGTATACACAAAGATGGAGGACTGTAGTGTATGCAAGTCTGTCGGGTAATGATGAGGACAAATAACAGGAAGTGCCTCATCAGTCAAGTCGCAGGTGAGTGCTTGTATTTTCGGGTGATAACCGTCAGATTCTTATTCCTACTATGAAGCCATTGTGACCATAACTTAAGTCACATCTCCTTACAAACATAGGAAACTGGTGGTTAATTTTTCCCATTCATCCCTTCCAAAATTTGGCACTAAATGGGAAAGCATATAGAAAATACTTGTAGTTATTTCAGTTTGAATTTGTCTTAACCAGTCGGCACATACATCTGAAAACAGCATTTCACGCTGACAGTAACACGGATACAAGAAGTTAATGTAAGGATACACATGCAGGAGAAAATGTTCATGATTTTACTTCTTAAAATTTCTGACAATTTCCGAACATTTTTGAGCAAACGTCACATTTTGGACTTGTTCCGAATGGTTTCACATGCAACATGTAGGAAACCTGAAAATATTTTATATGTTCTTATTTCTTATTTCTGGACCCCCACGCCCCCACCACTCTCCCCCCACACACACCACCTTTTGAAAAACAAATGTAGTATGTTATAGGCAGTAAAATTATCTGAGAAAGGATTTTGATATTTTGGACCCCTCCTTTTAAATATCCGCCTTTGCATTTTCTGGAACATGACCTGTGAAATAATTTTTCCCTGGCTTTAAAAACATCTGGTTTTAATATTAGTTCTGTGAATGTCAGGACTGTCTGTGTTTTATAAAGGTGGCATTGTCTTCCTTGCAATGGTTGCTTTTCAATGTTTTTGGCCTAACCAAAAATAGATGTAACTGTCCGGTGTAAGCTTGACTGCCTGGTGATATTTAATAACTTCTGATAAGAAACAGTCTAGGTTTGTAAAGAAAGGATGACACGAGGTTAGCTCCCATGAAGCAGACATTGTCAGATAGAAAGCTGAGGGCAGTGTTAGTTTGCTCTTGAAGAGTCCTTCCTTTAAACACAGTACTTCATAGCTGATAGTACAAGTCTGGAGTTAGTACACACACAAAGCTTTTCATATTTTACCATCTGCTATTTTCACTGTCCGAATCAGAATGTGCGCTGAAAAAAATTGTGCAGGTTAGTGTGCTGTGTGCTGCATCAGGTGCATTGTGGGAAGCTCGATAGCATGCAGCAGCAGCAACAGCAGCAGCAGCAGCAGCAGCATTGTGCAGTGAATGGCAAGTGAATGGTAGGGGGTGGGGATTACCCTTCTCCGATGTTGCTTTTAATAAATTCATAAGTAGGAACCATTTCCAGACAATAATCTACTAGGGACTGGTCATTTATTAGCCGTGGGATTGGTCTTAGGACTGTATCATATCATATTATATCATTATAATAAATGACAAGTCCCTGTAAATGTTGGAATTTATAAAACATTATTTGAAAATATAAAACTGTGTCATTCTTTTCATATTTCCTTTGTATAATGAGGGCAGAGGTGGCCAGTCGTCTAAGGTGCCACAATTCGCTGTGTCAAGTTGCATCCCCTAGGCATGCCAGAAACCTATAACTGCGTGTTCGAATCCCGGTTCGCCCCGATTATGTTTCTAGGTTTGTCAGCACCATACCCGTGCTTGTGGGTTTCACCGAAGTGGTAAACGTCTGAGACCTGCATCACTTCGGACTTTCCTCCCACATTAAGCTGACATGCTGTGTTATAACTGTAATACTGTTAAAAGCGGCGTCAACCCAACTCACTCACTCACTCACACACTCACTCACCAGGGTTAGAAACTAACAGTTTTTGTCCACTAGTCCTTATAATGATAACATACAGCAAAACCCTTAAAATGGGCCAATTTCTACTAGTCCTTAGAATACCTTTACTATTTGGCAGTTTGGTAAGGACTACAGGACTAGTGCCAATTTCTAAAGCTGCTCACTCACTCACTCGCTCACTCACTCGCCCACCCACTCACTCTAATGACAATTCCCTTGACCCATCACTGCACAGCTTCACTGAGAAAGTGACCTCTCCATTTCACTTATGAGTGACATCCCACACATCCCCCTCCTGCACATTGGAGTAATTTCACTGGATGACCATATTTAGCCTCATGTCATTCAACTCAAAATGAAGCTATAGTAGAGAAAATATCCATGCTATTTATCATAATAAAATGGAGATATATAATACTGGATAATAGGGAATGCGTGTATAGGTACTGGAACCCTTTTCTGCTCTGTTACCATGGTGAAAAGCACCTCGTTCACAATTAATGCCGCAAGCTGTCAACACTTAACACTTAACAATGTGCACAATTAACACCATGAAGCTTGCATCAAATTACCTCTTAATAACATGACGCACACTCTCGACCTATCCTTATTCTAGAACAAAATGTTGACATGCAGGGTACACGTGATGGCATGTCACGTACAGCGTACATTCACTGACATAGCAGAGTCTCCCTAGCATACAGTGCTCTGTCTACAGTTAAACCTTGATGGCATACAGTGCTCTGTCTACAGTTAAACCTTGATGGCATACAGTGCTCTGTCTACAGTTAAACCTTGATGGCATACAGTGCTCTGTCTACAGTTAAACCTTGATGGCATACAGTGCTCTGTCTACAGTTAAACCTTGATGGCATACAGTGCTCTGTCTACAGTTAAACCTTGATGGCATACAGTGCTCTGTCTACAGTTAAACCTTGATGGTCTGAACATGAGCAGGCCACAGATAACTGATGACAGGGTCATAGACTTCTGAAGTTCACCATTTCCTCACCTCTCTTCCTCCTCTTGTCTCTTCATCTCCCTTGCCTTCCTCTTGGCCTCGGAGTGCTTCTTCTCCTTATCCTGTATCTTATTGAGCCACTGCTCAAACGTGGGTGGCTTGTGGCGGCTCAAGTCCAGGTCTCCCCTGTACAACAGACACTGTTATATAGATAGCCCTGTACAACGTACACTGTCATACAGCCGTGTACAACATACGCTGTCATATAGCCCTGTCCAACAGACACTGTTATATAGATAGCCCTGTACAACGTACACTGTCATATAGCCCTGTACAACAGACACTGTTATATAGATAGCCCTGTACAACGTACACTGTCATACAGCCCTGTACAACATACACTCTCATATAGCCCTGTACAACAGACACTGTTATATAGATAGCCCTGTACAACATACACTGTCATATAGCCCTGGACAACAGACACTGTTATATAGCCCTGTACAACATACACTGTCATAAAGCCCTGTACAACATACGCTGTCATATAGCCCTGTACAACATACACTGTCATATAGCCCTGTACAACATACACTATCATACAGCCCTGTACAACAGACACTGTCATATAGATAGCCCTGTACAACATACGCTGTCATATAGATAGCCCTGTACAACATACACTATCATACAGCCCTGTACAACAGACACTGTCATATAGCCCTGTACAAGATACACTGTCATATAGCCCTGTACAACAGACACTGTTATATAGATAGCCCTGTACAACGTACACTGTCATACAGCCCTGTACAACATACACTCTCATATAGCCCTGTACAACAGACACTGTTATATAGATAGCCCTGTACAACGTACACTCTCATATAGCCCTGTACAACATACACTATCATATAGCCCTGTACAACGTACACTGTCATACAGCCCTGTACAACATACACTGTCATATAGCCCTGTACAACATACACTGTCATATAGCCCTGTACAGCATACACTGTCATATAGCCCTGTACAACATACACTGTCATATAGCCCTGTACAACATACGCTGTCATACAGCCCTGGACAACAGACACTGTCATACAGCCCTGTACAACATACACTATCATACAGCCCTGTACAACAGACACTGTTATATAGATAGCCCTGTACAACAGACACTGTCATACAGCCCTGTACAACATACACTGTCATACAGCCCTGTACAACATACACTGTCATACAGCCCTGTACAACGTACACTGTCATACAGCCCTGTACAACGTACACTGTCATATAGATAGCCCTGTACAACGTACACTGTCATACAGCCCTGTACAATATACACAGTCATATAGCCCTGTACAACATACACTGTCATACAGCCCTGTACAACATACACTGTCATATAGCCCTGTACAACATACACTGTCATATAGCCCTGGACAACAGACACTGTTATATAGCCCTGGACAACATACACTGTCATAAAGCCCTGTACAACAGACACTGTTATATAGATAGCCCTGTACAACAGACACTGTCATATAGATAGCCCTGTACAACATACGCTGTCATATAGATAGCCCTGTACAACAGACACTGTCATATAGCCCTGTACAGCATACACTGTCATATAGCCCTGGACAACATACACTGTCATATAGCCCTGTACAACAGACACTGTCATATAGCCCTGTACAACATACACTGTCATATAGCCCTGGACAACAGACACTGTTATATAGCCCTTGACAACATACACTGTCATAAAGCCCTGTACAACAGACACTGTCATAAAGCCCTGTACAACATACACTGTCATACAGCCCTGTACAACATACACTGTCATACAGCCCTGTACAACATACACTGTCATACAGCCCTGTACAACATACACTGTCATACAGCCCTGTACAACATACACTATCATATAGCCCTGTACAACATACACTGTCATATAGCCCTGTACAACATACACTGTCATATAGCCCTGTACAACATACACTGTCATACAGCCCTGTACAACATACACTGTCATACAGCCCTGTACAACATACACTGTCATATAGCCCTGTACAACATACACTGTCATATAGCCCTGTACAACATACGCTGTCATACAGCCCTGTACAGCATACACTGTCATACAGCCCTGTACAACATACACTGTCATACAGCCCTGTACAACATACACTGTCATATAGCCCTTTACAGCATACACTCTCATATAGCCCTGTACAACATACACTGTCATATAGCCCTGTACAGCATACACTGTCATACAGCCCTGTACAACATACACTGTCATATAGCCCTGTACAACATACACTGTCATATAGCCCTGTACAGCATACACTCTCATATAGCCCTGTACAGCATACACTGTCATATAGCCCTGTACAACATACACTCTCATATAGCCCTGTACAACATACACTGTCATATAGCCCTGTACAGCATACACTGTCATATAGCCCTGTACAACATACACTGTCATATAGCCCTGTACAGCATACACTGTCATATAGCCCTGTACAACAGACACTGTCATATAGCCCTGTACAACAGACACTGTCATACAGCCCTGTACAACATACACTGTCATATAGCCCTGTACAACATACACTGTCATACAGCTCTGTACAACATACACTGTCATATAGCCCTGTACAACATACACTGTCATACAGCCCTGTACAATATACACAGTCATATAGCCCTGTACAACATACACTGTCATATAGCCCTGTACAACAGACACTGTCATATAGCTCTGTACAACATACACTCTCATATAGCCCTGTACAACATACACTGTCATACAGCCCTGTACAACATACACTGTCACTGCTAGGGCTGGGACGAATCCAAATTTACTACCCGGGTACCCACCCCCTATTACCCGACCCTACCCAGATACCTACTGTTGGTCTCAAGAGGTACAAAATGTCCGATTGTGAGTGTATTTCCACAGCACTTGCAAAACGTATTTAGATACATGTATTAAACAATCTGGTCATGCATACAGTGAAGTGGACTTAAGTTATATCTTTATTCAACCATATGAAAAGTCAGAAGGAATGGGTGCATAGTCAGAAAGAAATGCGAACATTAGTGACTTGTAGTGTAAGTTCTAGATAATTTTTGTCATTAAGCAATATATCATGTGACTTACCACGGGTCCGGGTAGTCCTGTGGGTACCCGGGTCCTACTGAGTACCCACCTGACCCGGGTACCCGAGTTACCTGTCCCGGCCCTAGACCGAGCATTTGATAAAATCCCAGATCAAACACATAAAGATTACAAATGGTTAGTTTTAAAAACAGCAGTTCGCATTTACTTTATTTGAAAACAGAGGAGGTTATAATTATTATTTTAGGAATTCAAAGTTAGTACTTGACAACATGAAGGTATGGTTAGAAACAATAAGTAACAAATACAAGATAACAAATATGTGTGACATGCAGTATAAAATAAATAATAAGCATCAATATCTATTAAACCTAATTTGGAACTTGTACAATCTTTTAACATCTTTTGATATGACGAGGATCGAACCCTGGACCTTCCGCTCTCTGGGCAGACGCTCTACCACTACACCACTGGGGCAGTCGAAGAAGAAAGAAGCGATGCATAGTGTGAAATATGATAAGTTTAAAAATTTAATTTACAAACATTTATTGTCACTATACCTTCACGATATCATTTCATCAGCTCCCTTATTTTTTGTCGGTAATATATCGAGTAAAATTGAGTGGTTAGCAACAAGTATGCCCCAGCCTTGATTCTTTACTTTTGTTGGCCCATAAGGGACATGGAGTCTGTTTTTCAATGTTTTGATATTTCACTTACTGTTATTGTAACCTTTTGCAAATTAACACGATTTGTCATACACATGTGATAAATCATGTGTAAAGAAGATATTGAATCGCTGAAAAGTGAAGCGAAAATGTCAAAAACTAAAATGAAAATGTCAAAAACAAAAGCGAAAAGGTCAAAAACTAAAATGAAAATACAGAAAACTATTTCCACCATTTTTGTTTTTGACATTTTCATTTTAGTTTTTGACATTTTCGTTTTTGTTTGTGACATTTCTTCTCCCTTTCAGTTTTTGACATTTTTGCTTCACATTTCAGCGATTCAATAGCTACTTGAAAGTACATTTTCCATGTTTGCGGTTGTTTCTATACATGATTTATCACATATTTGTATGACAAATTGTGTTAATTTGCAAACGGTTACGATAAAAGTAGGTGAAATATCAAAATACTCCATGTCCCTAATTGGCCACCGTATTTACTCAAAACATACCTGACATACTGTTCTTATCCTTCACTTTGAGTTTATTTAGTGACACATAAATAAAAACTGATGAAGATGGGATACAGAAAGAGAAGTGTATCTCACAAACAGTCATGAAAATTGTTGGGGTTGGCTAGGAAATGTATCAATACATACATCTATACCATTATTTAACAAGCTTTTGATGCTCCAAGAAATGTTTGCTCACGCAGGGATAATTTCAGGAAACAGGGTCGTTAGTGAAACTGTAAAATACATTTAACTTGAATGTGTCTACTGTTAGAAATAACGTCCAACGTTACAAATTTGATTTGAATTATATTTGGCCTCTTTCTCAAGCAAAGGCAGCTCAGTGATTTATATCCAACATCAAATAGAATGTAATGACACTTTATCGTCAAATAAAGTAGACCAGTCAAGACAAACGTGTTGTGCTTCAGAACCAAAGTAAACAAACGTGAAAGTTAGTTAACAAAGAATAAGAGGAGGATAGCCTTGGTTTGAAATATTTCATACATACCTTCTATTTTTACTGTCGAGGAAATAAGGCAACAAGTTGATTATTGATTTACAAATACATGATGCACATACACTAATCATGATAATGGAGACACAAGGATCAATGATATCCTCATAGCAATAGGTTATACTTCATTACATTTGGGACCTGTGAAGATCCGGGCTAGAATAGTGAGTGAGTTGGGGTAAACGCCGCTTTTAACAGTATTCCAGTCATATCGCGGCGTGTCAGCTTAATGGGGGAGGAAAGTGATGCAGCTCTCAGACGTTTACCACTTCGGTGAAACCCACGAGCATGGGTATGGTGCTGACAAACCTAGAAACATAATCGAGGCGAACCGGGATTCGAACCCACAATCATAGATTTCTGGCGTGTCCAAGGGACGCAACTCTGCACAGCGAATCACGGCGCCGTAGACCACTAGGCCATCCGTGCCCCCCGGGGTAGAATAGGTCTTCAGCAACCCATGCTTGCTGAAAAAAGTATCTTTGCTTGTCGTAAGAGGCAACTAACAGGATAAGGTGGTCAGGCTCGCTGACTTGGTTGATGCACGCCATCTTATCCCAATGGTCTAGATCGATGCTCATGATGGCAATCACTGGACTGTCTGGTCCAGACTCAATTATTTACAGACTGCCGTTATATAGCTGGAATATTGCTGAGTGCGGTATTAAACTACAAACAAACAAACAATATTACACTTGGAGCTTGCTCACATTACTGAACCTGCTGAGATGACAAGTCACGAAGTTGATGTTGCTAAAAACAAAATACAGTCCAGGGATCCTTTTCACAAAGCGACCAAACGCTACGACTACCTTAACTACTATACTTTAACACCGACTTATGACCGTCTTAGCGCTATGATCTCTTTGTGAAACAGGACCCAGTGCTGCAAGTACGCGGCAACTAGAATTCCCAGTGCTGAAAAGTAAAACAAGGAACACTTACATGTAGAAGGCATATGCCTTTTGAAGCTTCTGTGTCCGTGCAGCATCTACAGATTGAATGGCGGGTAACTTCTTTCCTAAAAGAAATGTTGCCAAACTCAATTCCATGTTATTCTTCTACATATATAATTCTAAAAGACAAATATTTACATATTAAATGATATTAACTCATACATGATGTGATCTTTGATGCTCATTGGAGGTGTATGTACACTATATCCCTCCATCAACACAGTGGACACAGGAACAGTGTGTACAAGGCTGTGAAGTATTGACGATGACCCGATGTGAGTTGCATGGCATCCCCGGCATGGGCGGATACAGAGGGGGGATGCAGGGGTGCGCAACCCCCCTTTTTATTTCGAAAAAAATATCTTTATTTCTGTATAAATTACCACCAAAGACAATAAATAGATCTTAATTGTGCACCCCTCCTTTTAAAAAAAGCTGTATCCGCCCATGCCGGGTCCCAATAGGTCTCCTGTTAGCATCCCATGCTTGTTGGGTTACCTGACTGGTGGCATGTCATCGTAACCTGACAGCATAGATCACTGCTCATGCTATCAACCACTAAAACCCTTGCCGACACTGTTACTTACAGGCTGTGATATAAACCCCTAGTTGCCTTGCCAACACTGTTGTTTATGTGATATAAACCACTAGTTGCCATGCCAACACTGTTATACACAGGCTGTGATATAAGCAACTAGTTGCCTTGCCAACACTGTTATATACAGGCTGTGATATAAACCACAGAGCAAAAGAAAGTATGCACTTGACATTTGGATTTAACCAAAATATTACAAACATCGTGAAAATGTTACTTGGCCGAAAACAGTTACCAAAACACTGATAACCGTATCGAATAGATCACCATCGAACAACCATTTCTTGTTTGTTTCATTTTTAGCCACCATCAAACATGGGTGCATAGTTTCTTTTGCCAGGCAGTTTAGCTGGACTGCTTACTGCATCAAACAACATTCACTCACTCCTAACCAAGGTGAGTGAGTGAGTTGGGTTTAACGCCGCTTTTAACAGTATTCCAGTCATATCACGGCGTGTCAGCCTAATGTGGGGGGAAAGCCCGAAGTGATGCAGGTCTCCGATGTTTAACACTTCGGTGAAACCCACGAGCACAGGTATGGTGCTGACAAACCTAGAAACATAATCGGGGCGAACCGGGATTCGAACCCACAATCATAGGTTTCTGGCGTGCGTAAGGGACGCAACTCTGCACAGCAACGGCGGCGCCTTAGACGACTTGGCCACCCGTGCCCCCCCTAACCAAGGTGATCAAGCTGCATCCTACTATGGAAGCTAACCTGCCCGCATTGTAGGCCAGTTTGTTGGTTTGTTGATTAATGCCACAATCAGCAATATTCCAACTATATAATGTCAGCCTATGAATAATCAAGTCAGGACCAGACAATCCAGTGACTGATATTAGGAGCACCATCCCACACCGTTAGGGTACAATGACACACAACCAACCAAGTTACTAGGCCTGACCACCTAATCCATTAAGCTCCCCATACGAGAACCTAATCTACCCTGGAATCCCTGTAAATATAGATGTTGTCATCCATGTGTCACACTTTTGCATTATGTCTCATTTTTTTAACAAACAAGTAAAATCATAGATATTTTTTATAAGGAAGTGAATATATGGATGTCAACTTCTTTATTAGGAGGAACACAACGTTTCGGAGTATATGCTTACTCCTTCAACAGGTGATTCCTTCATCAGGTGAATGATGAAGGAGTAAGCATATACATGTACTCCGAAACGTTGTGTTCCTCCTAATAAAGAAGTTGACATCCATATATTCACTTCCTTATGTGCATCACTTCTAAATGCCTTTCAAAAACCTGATATTTTTTATATTTGTATACTTATCCTGCATTACTCCTTAATGTATATTACTGCTTGTTCTTGACAGAGAAAAGAGCTGTATGAAGATGTCGCTTGAAGAAGTAGTTTCTACTAGCTGTGAGGCCAACCCTATCACACAGCTCCCATGTGACCAGGGGAAGTGACATCATGGATCACCACATTACTCTGAAGTCCGGAACATCAGAAGGCATCGTGGGGAGGCAGCTCTGCGATGGGTGGATCCCTTTAGACGCAGTAATGCAGGATAAGTATACAAATATGAAAAATATCTAGGATTTTACTACATTTTTTACTTATCCTGCATTACTCCTTAATTCATCTTTATCCGATGGAATCGGTGGAGGGCATACCTTCAGATGTGGGCTTTCATTTCAGAAGCTTTTATTCAGAGCTGTATGAGTGGAGCATTAACCTTCTATTCCAGGGCACTTATGCCGGGGAGGTCGAGAGGCCAGCTCTGGACTGGGGGCGAGATCAGTGGTGTCTAGTAGTGGTGACCTGTCTGGCCACTACTAACGGACCAAAACTGTGCATGCCCTGCATGTCCTTCAAAGCGGCGTCTCAAAGGTAGTGACTGGCGAAGACTGTGTCCGATCACCAGAAGCATCCCTCCATTAGTATGCAACAGTTACTGTGTAGCGCCATGGTGGAGGCAACCGGCCAGATCTCATGCAGGTTGTTGAAGCTTGGTAGGTCCAATCCTGCGGCTTCTTAGGCCTGGAGAATGATGGCTCCGGCCAGAGGGTGATCGTGTTGCGGATGACTTCCGCTCGTGTGGTCACTGATACCAGTACGAAAAGGCGTCGTTGTTGTCTGTTCCTTGGACTGACAGATGAAACCACGCAACACCCTCACCTCACAGGAGGAGCTCTTGTTCGTCTTCTGCACCACAATCGATGATAGGGGGGATGAGGAATGACCCATCAGGCTGTCCTGGAAGCTGATTCTTCACAATAAAGTCTCAGCACAGTCCGAGGTGAACGGTGTGATGTCTAGGGCATGTAGTTCACTGACACGGGCGCCTGTAGCCAATGTTAGGAGGAAGATTGTCTTTTTTGTCAGATGGTAGAACGACGCCGTTTCAGGGGGCTCAAAAGGCGCGTCTCTCAGCAAGGCCTGTAGTTCTGGAAATTTAGTCATGCGCCGATCTTCCAGAACCACTAGGACGGACTTGAATGCCACAAGGTAGGTCGTTATGGGACTACCCTTGAGCCGATGCTTGTGGCGAAGATAGAGCAGGAACGCAGCCAGGAACGATGCAGTGGTGAGGTCCTGATGTTTTCTCCTGCAAAAGCTCTTGAATGACAGCCACAGGTCATCATATAGGCTTCTAGTGGATGGAAGATGTGCCATCGTGATGGCCTTCGCTGCTCTGGCTGAGTATTCCTAAGCGTTTAACGCTCTCTGCAGATGGACAAGATTTGAAAACATAACCAGTCTGGTCCCGGATATGGCTGCCTGATGTGGGGATGGATCTACAGGTTTGGCCAGTCTGGGAGTAGTAGCAGGTCGGCATCTCTGAGGTCGACGAACTAGGCTCTCGCCAGCTACCAGGGCAAAACCTAATTAAGATTGAGGCTCTGAGTAGATTTGATCTTTTGGATGACCCTGGGAAGGAGTACAGGCGAGGGAAAAGAGAACGCTTTTAGTCCTTCCCAGGGTACACTGAAGGCGGTGGGATAGAGGTAAGGTCCAACCTAATGGCATCCTTGCTGTCAACACCTGGGCCAGGGGTAGGCGCGACTGCCTCAAGTCTGTCTTCCAACCAGTCTGCCACCTGGTCTCTCTAGGTGAGCTTCGCCATCAGTGGGAGTATCATCGTAGCATGGGATGAAGTCACCCTCCAAGGAATCAGAGCGATAGCCTGCTAGAGCATCGATAGACAGGAGAGTGGCTCCTAGATCGGGTGTCCGACGAGACGAGCGACTGTCTTTTGGTTTGGTTTGTTGTTTTACGCCGCACTCAGCAATATTCCAGCTATAATACGGCGGTCTGTAAATAATCGAGTCTGGACCAGACAATCCAGTGATTTACATTATGAACATCGATCCACGCAATTGGAATCGATGACATGCATTAACCAAGTCAGCGAGTCTGACCACCCGATCCCGTTAGTCGCCTTTTACGACTAGCATAGTCGCCTATTACAGCAAGCATTGGTTGCTGAAGACCTATTCTACCCCGGAATCTTCACGGGGCACGAGCGACTGTCCCTCAGATGGGAGGAGGTACTGGGCGAGAGTCCAAAGAGTAACGGGAGGTAGTTGATGGATCCACAACGGGTGGTAGAGAGGGACAGAGACACTGGAGGCAGCGTGGGCTTCTGTAAAGGAGATATCTGGTGGACAGGTGCTGTCTGTATAGGCGCTTAAAGAGACGCAGGCAATATGGATGACGCTTGTAGGGGGGTCTGTTTGGGGCCATTGCTGAGGGCGTCGGCGTCTGTTGCATGGCCTGCAAGTACTGAATGTACCAGAGGAGAGAGGCGTCCCTCAAAGGCAGCTGGGACGTAGGCGGGAGCGCCTCTTGGAAGCCGTAGCCAAAGGGCGTCTGTCCGGTGGACTGGATAGGCCCCATCTGGTAGGTGAGCTCCACGCCAGGCGTCATGTGGTGGCCGCCGCCGCCGCGTAGACAGACGTGGTGGTCGTCAGCAGGGTGCTCTGGGTAGAGACCGAGACCGTGTGGGATGACATCATGGCCGTAGTGGAGGCCGGGGAGTCCCTGTCCAAGGTAGCTGATGAAACAGACCCTAGGTGATGTCTCAGAAGGTGAAATCTCAGACATCTTTTACCGGAGTTTCCAAACCTGCTGTAACCTCTGTTTTGGGGACACACAAAGTGGGAGACAGTCAAGAAGACTGGAGTCAAGGAGAGGTACAATTTAAGAACAAGGGATGGGGATCCAACGCCTACATTTGGGCCCCACTTGGAACAGGATGGCATGTTATCTGCAATGAAGCAGTGTAAAATCACAATGCATCCCCCCCCCCCCCCCCCCGATTTTGTGTGCTATAGTTTCTTTAACCAACTACCTGGGTTTATGAAAAACAATATTACGACAAACATAAGACAACATACAAAGACAAACAATACACTTGCAAGGGTACGACAATGATGAGGTACCAGGCAAGAAAAATATAGCACATGAACCACATTCATCAACCGCTCGGCCCTTTAAAATATTCAAGATGGCTCCTTGAAACAACAAGACACCTGAGACTTACCATTGTGTTCTAGAAAAAAAATGTTATGAACAAGTTAAAACATATAGAATGTACAAGATACAAACCGTATGCACAACACAAGCATAAGAAACATTAACTCCAGAAGAAAAACATGTAAGGGTTTCAGCAAGTTTTATGAGCAGATAAAAAAACAGGTCTTCACTCAGCAAGTGACTAGAGTAATGTGAGAATCTGTGACGTCACTTCCCCTGGTCACATGGGAGCTGTGTGATAGGGTTGGCCTCTCAGCTTGTAGAAACAACTTCTTCAAGCAAGATATTCACACAGCTCTTTTCTCTGTCAAGAACAAGCAGTAATATGCATTAAGGAGTAATGCAGGATAAGTAAAAAATCAGTGGAAACACTGCTCCCAGACACATCTGCAGAACGTGAAACACTTCTCCCGAATGCAACCCATCCATGCAACCCATGTGGCCTGCCCCCAGGCCTTATTTCTTGTCTCCTTAGCCGTGCGGAACACACGTGGGAAATTGCTTGTTAACCCCGAAAACAACTTCAACTCTGCCAGTCAAGAAATCACTGGCTTGATCAACACACACAGTCAAGCTACTTCAATTTCTGATAGGACTACAAGTAACCATGATAATTAACATCTATTTCAAATAATACCTGCATGTTCTGCTGGCTGAGCTTCGTCGTTGTCGCTGATGCGTACCTGGGGCCTGTCCCCTGTGTCATCCAAGTGGAACTGATTCCGCCTGACTACACCTGGGTGGGGGCGCTTGATTGGGGAGTTGAGAGCTGTCCCCTCAAACTCCTCGGGAGGGGCGATGTTTGTTAGGTAGAGCTGGCACTGGCCTCCCTGTCATATGGACATATGGGCATACTTTCAAAACCATTAAATCATATCTCAAGTCCTAAAAAAATTAGCATCTCAAAACTTCCCAATGACAAACTAAATTTGTGATTGAATTTGAGAATAAACACAACTGTTACCAGCGGCAATTGTGATAAAACAACACATTACATAAAAGGGGGAGCGTGGGTGGCCCAGTCGTCTAAGGCGCCGCGATTTGCTGTGCAGAGTTGCATCCCTTGGGCACGCCAGAAACCTATGATTGTGGGTTTGAATCACGGTTCGCCCCGATTATGTTTCTTGGTTTGTCAGCACCATACCCATGCTCGTGGGTTTCACCGAAGTGGTAAACGTCTGAGACCTGCATCACTTCGGGCTTTCCTCCCACATTAAGCTGACACGCCACGATCTAACGGGAATACTGTTAAAAGCGGCGTTTAACCTAACTCACTCACTCACTCATAAAAAGAACAGTGTTTCATTGGGGAAAAGATTCTGTCACCAACACATAAAAAAAGTGCAAAAATAAAAAAATAAAAACATATTGTAAATTTGACATTAAATTGTATATTAATATACTTATCCTATTCTCATACAATGCATTTCTTCCTTCTTCTTTCAATCCGTATGTGGATTATTTAATTTAGATAAAAGAAGGGAATAATCACAATGTGTCGTGTCACGATAAGAAATAATTTACAGTGGAACTGCTCATATCTGAATATCTTGTGGCTACATATTGGAGTATCTACGGTAACTCATCTCGGCATACACACTGACCTCCACCCAGACTGGGAACTTGGAGTCATAATACTGGTGTGGCTTGAGAGGGACCTGTCTCGACGGACGCAGTTTCTTGGCTCGTTGCTGCCATCGGAACAAGAACAAATGACGTTCACAGCTCTTGTGTCCAAATTTGTCGGCAATTGTCAACGCATTGTTGCCATCATCATCTTCAGCATCAATATTGGCTCCTGGGGACGAGAATATAGTAGCTGTCAGCATCGTATGACATAATACCAAAATAGCATCACAGCACTGTAGCTCACCAGGTGCATTCCAAGTGTGATGTGCGCAGTGAAGTCTTTAGCCATCATGTAAAGAAAGTAGTGTAACTGTTAGGCCATAATAAATTAATTATTTGACTCAGATAAATTGCGATGAAAATGCTATCGCTAATTTATTGTGGCATAATTGTTTCAAAAATGATTTCCATATTTACTATGTTATTTCATGGTCCTCACATTTCTGATTCTCTTCATGAATTGATTATAAAACAAAAAGTGTTATGACTTTGTCCATAGATTTCTTAAATGGACTGAAAATTTATTATCAATTTTCTTGACTTCAAAGTTATTACAATAACAGCAATCACGTCTATATTTCATAAAATAATGCTATTTCTTCTTCTTTGTAGCATCAATCTATTCACAATAGAAATTCCATTGTTATGTGAAGAATATCACATCTTTAACATTTGAAGAAAATATAGCTATTGTCCTTTCTTTAACCAAAATGTTTCCAAATCCAGATGAGCTAAGAAGTAATGGTTTAAAAAGTTTTCATGTTGTAGGAGGCTGACCTTTTTCTAAGAGGAGGTCAACAATATGACCATGACCTTGAGCTGCTGCCACATGAAGAGCCGTTCTGCCGAGGGGAGATGTGCCATTTAAATTGGCACCTGAAAATCCAAAACAAACATACTAAAAAAATTAATTGAAGTTTTTAAGTTGAGACAACGCTAAAAATAAGGTGACTCAAAGACAATGATTATGGAAAACATAATTGGAATCTCATTAACATCAGATCTAAGTCATTTTCCAGAGGCAAGGGAGCTAACTGACTATAAACATGGAAATTCCTCCCTTGCCTAACTTCGACCCGAAATTTGTTATGAATTGGCCGGGCTGACGAGTATATGCACAGTCCAATCAAAATTGCCGTGTAAACAGCCAGGCAGATTTCGGTCAATTGCTGGATTTGCAAACCATGTGTACCATCAAACAGGCGTCGACAGATATTTTCCAAATCTTTTCGTGTTCTTAATCAAGGTGCTCAAGTAATTTGATGCCATTCATAAGATAAAACACATTTTATAACAATATAGATCTTGATTATCAATCAGATCGTCTTGACTGGGCATCGCCATTTTGTTTGAAGCAGTTGCAAGTATCTGGTGGAACCTGATTGGGCAATAGGACGGACATATTAGGGACCTAACTCAAAATAGCCACTTGTGGCACTACAATTCCATGAAATTCCAGCCTCATTCAGGATGAGTGGAAACTGGAGTATTAAAGTCAGGTAACTCCCTTGCCTCAGGAAGATGGATCTTAGTGCTGTAAGTTGGTTGGTTGGTTGTTTTTTGGTTTTACACCGCACTCAGCAATATTACAGCTATATGACGGCGGTCTGTAAAATAATCAAGTCTGGACCAGACAATCCAGTGATTGATATCATGAGCATCTATCCACGCAATTGGGATCGATGACCTGCATCAACCAAGTCAGCGAGCCTGATCCCATTAGTCGCCTTTTACGACAAGCATAGTCGCCTTTTATGGCATGCATGGGTTGCTGAAGACCTATTCTACCCCGGATCTTTACGGGTTAGTGTTGTAAGTGTAGTGATAGTAGTCAACAATAGGATCTGATCTTAATGAGACTCAATTAATTGTTGGTGCACAGTCCCTTATCCTTCTATGTGAAAAGGTTCTTATGAACTTAAAAGTCCTTAACTTTATCATTGTCCAAATGTGTTGAAACTTAGTAAAATCTAAATATTTTTTTTACATTTCTATACTTATCCTGCATTACTCCTTGATGTCTTTACTGCTGAATTTTTACAGAAAGACGAAGCTGTGTGAGGTCAGGCTGAAGAAGAAGTTGTTCCAACCAGTTGTGTGGGTAATCCCATCACACAGTGCCCACATGACCATGGAAGTGATGATGACACATATCTTCACATTACTGCTTGATCGTAACATCTGAAGACATCGTGGGGAGGCAGCTCTGTGACAGCTGGCCCCTTAGATCCAGTAAAAAATATTAAGATTTTACTAAATATTTTATCCTAACCTGCATTACTCCTTAATGCATCTGAATTGGATGGTACGGAAGTGAGCATACCTTCACATGTGATCCTCAGAATACCCTCGTCAAATGTCCAGGCAACCATCACTGCATCCTTTGACGATGATCGGAAACCAGGAGATCATTCCTGCCATAGGGAGAACGAGAGTATGAGGAAGTCCAGGCAAAGAACAGGAGTAGAAAAAAGCTTACGCTAGAGTCTAAAACTGACTTACCAGGCCAATGCTTGCAGCATGTAAGCCTCCTTATCTAGGATGCAAGCACCAGAGAGTCAGAAAGGCCGGTTCTGGACTGCTGGAGGAGTTAATGACGTCGGGAAAAAACAAAATGTCCAGAAACACCTTTCCATGATGTATCTGATAGAGCACATGCTGTGGAGAGCCATTGCAGATGCGAACGCCCGGATCTCGTGAGGGTTGTTTGCAGTACGAGGATCCAGACCAGCGGTCTAATAAGCTGAACATCATAAAGATTGTGTTACAACTAACTTCCGTCTTGGAATTTATGTTTGGATCCTCAGAATAACCTCGTCAAAGGTCCTGGTAACTGTCACGACATTCTTTTGCGATGATCAGAAACCAGGAGACCATTCCCTCCAGGAGTATGAGGAATGTAAGAAGTCCAGATAAAAGAAAGCAATAGAAAATGACGTACGCTAAAGTCTAAGACTGACTTACCGAGCTAATGATTGAAGCATAGAGACCTCCCTCTTTGGCGTGCGAATACTGCGAGAGTTGGAAAATGCTGGCTATGGACAACTAGAGAAGTTCAATGGCATCTTGGATTGGTGACCTGCTGGGCAATGACCAGACGGCCAAGACTGTGTATGCCTCTGACACCTTCCAAGGCCATGTCCCTCAGGCGGCAGGCAAAGACTGTGTCTGATCTCCAGAAGCTTCCTTCCATGATGGATCTCATTGAGCAACTGCTGTGGACAGCAATCGTAGAAACGAACCCCCAGATCTCGTGAGGGTTGTAGGCCCTGGCAGGATCAAGGACAGCAGCCTCATAAGCCTGGAGGATGACTGCTTGTGACCATAAGGATCATGTGTTAAGACTGACTCCTGTCATGGATGTCCTGGAGACGAGGATGAAAAGCTGTATCTGGGCACCACGTTGAGTCTTTCATCAGCGGATAAAAACCTACAGTGCATGAACTGGGCACAGGAGTTCCACCTCATCTTCAGCACCCATAATCGAGGAGAGTGGTGGGATGGTAAGTACATGACAGGATGTTCTGGGAGTTAATTCTTGGCAATGAAGTCCTAGTACAGCCCAAGGTGAATGGTTCCCTGCGCCCTGTGTTCAAATCGCACCTGGGTGATGTGCTGCATGCTAACCCTTGCCACCATAGCCAGAGCCAAGAGGAAAAAATGTCTACTTGGTGAGGTTAAAGAAGCTTAGTGGATAGGCTCAAATGGAGGACCAGGCAGAAACCTAAGAACCATGTCCAGATCCCATGCAGGAGATCTGAACTTCGCCTTCTGATCTTCAAGTCTGAAAGAGCCCGGCAAAGCTTGCAGTTTGGTATCATGGTCATGTTACAATCCTCCAGAACTGCCAACACCAAGTTAATGGTCAGCAAGTAGGTAGTGATGGTGCTGCCCTTGAGTTGTCATTAGCTGCACAGGAACAGAAGGAATTCAGCTAAGAATTGAGAGGACACTGAAGCGGGATCCTGATGTTTATCCTTGCAAAAGAAATCAGGGAATCCCACTTGTTGTCCCCTGGTTGCGCAGACACCAAACCACTGGGCGTTCTGGGGACAATTCTGCTAGTAGAATATAGCCAGAATGAGCACTTCAAGTTCCAAGTTGTTTATATGCCCTGTGCGCTGATCATCGGAACACAGCGCTGTGGTTGTCTGGACCTCCAACCCTGTAGAGATTGCATCTACGAACAGGCATGAGGTTGGCGCTGCCTCTGTCAAGGAGACTCCTCCAAAGACATTTAACTTCAAAGTACATGATTTTACAGTGACTTGTAGCCACCATGACACCAATATTGATGCGGCAGCAAAAATATATGAAAATATGTGAAGACACAAGAGTGGATAAGAGTCACAAATTTCACAATAAAAGCTGAATACAGCAGCAATCAAAAGAATGCCAGTTACAAAGCTGGACACCTTAGTATACAGGACAGTCTAGGTTACAAGCAGTAATGTGAAGATATATGACCTCATCACTTCTGTAGCCATGTGGGCACTGTTGTGATGGAATTATCCAAACAAGTTGGAACAACTTCTTCAGCTGGACCTCACACAGCTTCATCTTTCTGTCAAAAATCGACAGTAAAGGCATTAAGGAGTAATGCAGGATAAGTTAAAAAAGAGTGCTTTGAGAGCACAACATCCCCCGCATGAATTTTTTTAACGAGTCAAATAAAGCTCCGTAAAACAGGGGCAGTAACTCTGTCAAAATTAGTTGAAATGAAACGGGACTGCGATATGCATATCATCAACATGTCGACATCTTGTGTGTAGAGTGTCAGGGATATTCTCTGGAAACTGTAGGAGGAGTTGATTTCACAAGCTTAGTACCCTCTCTCACAATAAGGCAAATGAAGCTCCGTAAAACAGGGGCAGTAACTCTGTCAAAATTAGTCGAAACGAAACGGGACTGCGATATGCGTATCATCAACATGTCAACATCTTGTGTGTAGAGTATCAGGGATACTCTCTGGAAACTGTAGGAGGAGTTGATTTCACAAGCTTAGTACCCTCTCTCACAATAAGGCAAATGAAGCTCCGTAAAACAGGGGCAGTAACTCTGTCAAAATTAGTCGAAACGAAACGGGACTGCGATATGCGTATCATCAACATGTCGACATCTTGTGTGTAGAGTGTCAGGGATATTCTCTGGAAACTGTAGGAGGAGTTGATTTCACAAGCTTAGTACCCTCTCTCACAATAAGGCAAATGAAGCTCCGTAAAACAGGGGCAGATACTCTGTCAAAATTAGTTGTAACGAAACGGGACTGCGATATGCCTATCATCAACATGTTGACATCTTGTGTGTAGAGTGTCAGGGATATTCTCTAGAAACTGTAGGAGGAGTTGATTTCACAAGCTTAGTACCCTCTCTCACAATAAGGCAAATGAAGCTCCGTAAAACAGGGGCAGTAACTCTGTCAAAATTAGTCGAAACGAAACGGGACTGTGATATGCGTATCATCAACATGTCGACATCTTGTGTGCAGAGTGTCAGGGATATTTTCTGGAAACTGTAGGAGGAGTTGATTTCACAAGCTTAGTACCCTCTGTGGGACGGACAGATGGACGGACGGACGTACTGCGCCACGACATAATCCCCCTTCGGCCATTTCTGGCCCGTCGGGGGATAAAAACTGAAAGAATTAGGGGGATCAAAATACCCCCTACACTTTGTTATATGTCTGAAGAATCAGGGTCTATCTAGTTTTGTGTCCTGTGTGTTCAGAATAGTTTGGGTGGATCCTAGGCATGAAAATGGGAGTCCGAGGATGACCGCAGTGACCAACTTACATCTAGAGACTGGCAACATGTGGCACACTTCGCTGGACACCATGACATGTATAACATTTTGCATGGTCTGAATGAACAGCAGGACAGGACAGTCGGAGCTTTGACTGTAAGTCTTATTACATGTTCAGTTTCAAATGAAATTAAGAGACTATCAATTTGGTCTAACATTAATCTAATTTTCAAACACTGTTGGTTTATCTCCTAATTAAACATTTGTAAAAGGGGGTGCTAGGGTCCTAAAGGTTTTCTCCCATAGTATTTGAATCCAAGGACCCTGAACATTAGTCTTTCAACAGTCTTTCAACAGTCTTTCAACAGTCTTTCAATAGTCTTTCAACAGTCTTTCAATAGTCTTTCAACAAGGACCTCTTCACTTTCATGCTTAATTTCAAACATAGATATGTATTTCTGTTTTAATAGAATGGGTAATGTGGATGTGGCAATACAGACCTGCTTGGATCAGCTTGGCACACAGCTTGTCATGGCCTCTGTGGGCAGCTATACAGAGGGCAACAAAAGCTCTCTCCTCGTACCAAGCTCTTCGAGATCTCTTTATCATGTACTCACTGTTGGGTGTCTTATAATCACTTGGATGAGTCACACCCAGACTGAAGACCTGTTCAAAAAACGAATAACCATCTGATAGATACTATAACGGGTGTGGGAGCAATACTGCCATAAACTTCACCCCCCATCCCCCAGACACAAGGACAACTGTCACAAGCATACAATGTCTGACCCTTTCCCCATGTTGAAGCATATTGACAAAAAACATACCTTGTACTTACTTACCTTTTGTTGAAAAAAAACCAAACTCCATTGCAAACATCAGACATAAACACAACATATATCCCCGTGTTATGGGTTTTCGGACGCTGAAGAAACATTCATAGTTTTCTCGCTAATCACATGGACAACTGTAAAACTTCTCATTCACTTATAGGTTAAAAGACAACTTTATCTGAAAAACAAGCCATCATCTGAGTATTTACAATTTCTGTGTGACGCCACACCCCACGTTATAGTGCAAGTATTCGTGATAGAAAACATATGATGTCCGAAAACATATGATACTTCTGAAAGCTCTGACCGAAAACAGGACAATCCGCGACGGTTGTCGGGTTTTCGATAACATTCTTCTGAGTGTTTTATTTAAAATCTTTGATTATATTTTTACGAGGAAGATGATTTTTCCCGAGGACTACTGTTTTAAAAAATGTGATTTTCCGCATTTCTATGGAGATTTCACATCCCTGCAAACTGCTACTGTAGCAATGTTTACAGATGTCCAACTGCAAACTAGTACACTTAAAACAAACATTGTGTATATCATTGAAATTTGATCATATTGAATATCAAATCATAGCTTTTAATTTTAAATACCATTGTGGTCTTAAACTTGGTTTTAGTAATCATAATATTAGTAAGAAATGATAAGTGTTGAACTGTTCTTCACATTTTCTTGGGGGCACGGATGGCCCATTCATTAAAGTACCGCAATTGATTTTGAAGAGCTGCATACCTTGGGAACGCCAAAAAACTATGATTGTGGGTTCGAATCCTGGTTCACACCCATTATGTTTCTAGGTTTGTCAGCACCATGCTCATGCTCGTGGGTTTCACCAAAGTGGTAAACGTCTGAGACCTGCATCACTTCAGGCATTCCTCCCACACTAAGCTGACACGCCGTGACATGACTGGAATACTTTTTAAAGCGGCGTTTAACCCAACTTACTCACAGTTTCTTACCCATTCGTCATCATTTGCTGCTACTGCTTCCAGTAAATCTCTCCACTGAGACCACACCCTCATCAGAAGTGTCGCTCCAGGTACAATGTCGTTAGATCGTATATCCATGTGTTCTAGCAAGTCTCCTACAACATAATATTGAAGCAAGTAGAGTAGTCAGTGCCATCTTTGAGTCCATTACTCGACACATGTCATGTGGAATCACTTGCAATTTAAAGATTTAAAGCTTAACATTCAAAAATTATTGGCTTTTACTACTACTGGATAATCTTTCTAGGGTTTGCTAAACAAGTCAAACAATCTGCTGATAGAGCTAAAGACTGACAGTGACTTAATGGTGGATATTTAGAGTGCATTAAAAAATCCCATAAGTTCTATATCAGTATGACCATGATGACTGGAAACTGTATGCGTGTAGTCAACATGGTCAATTGTTTCTGATGAGTCGTTGTTGGGTCCAATGCCCTTATATCATTATTTCCCCTGATGTCTGATTCATGAACCGAAACAAGGAGCTTGACAGGGGTGCCCTAGCCATGCTAGCCTGCTGATTCACAGTCAAATCCCACTGAATTACTTTGGTTAGACTGCAGTATTTGGGTCCCCAAACCGGAATGAACATTTTTACGGAAGTTGTCGAATAAAAAACATTCCACTCATGCACACTTCGTTATTTACAGTCGAAGTGAGAGGAATAGTAGTAAAAACATTACTTTTTATAAAACACAACTCAAAGTGATCATGGTGATGCAAGTCAGAGGCTTGGATTCAAACCATTTTCCAAACTGAACTCTTCAAGGCCAGTGAACTCTACTGTCACTGGGCAGCCTCAAACTGGGCGTGCTTATTACACAAACAACATATTAAATCGTGGAAGGCATTTACAATGTTGATTTGGTCATCTCTAGTATTGTCTGCCATGTCTAACAGCATTGACTAATACCATCTCAACATTTTTACTTAAGCTTGCTTCCTCATAGTCAAAGATAATGATTATGTGTAGAATGTACGTTTTCCGGTTCCCATCTTTCTGTACTGTATATGTTGTTTGATAATTTTTCAATTCATGTCTTATGACCATGATGACAAGGACGTTATAGGGTTGTGAACATGGGGAAGGGGGTTTTACCAACTCCTCGTCATAAGGTTTGATAGATTGGGTGTCAGGGGCAGGGATAGGGGGGTAGGCAAAGTACATGACTCCCATGATTATTTGATCACTTTAAAATAGTATGTGTATCACATCATATTCAAAACCTTTTACAAAGGCTTATCTGAGATGATACATTGATGATATCAGGATAATCTAGAATATTTTCTTACCTTCATCAAGGTAACTTATCCTTTGCATATTTATTGGTATCCCTGTTGCAAATTCCATGTAATCCTTCAATTCAGATATTTTCATGTCACTGTAAACATTCTTCAGCGGAAATACTTCATCTGTGGCCTCAATTTTCACATTAATAGTAAAAGTGTTTCTATCCCGACTCGAAAATTGAGATCTGCTTCTTGCTTTGTTCGCCATTGTGAAAAGGTCACTGCACAGAAACGATCGGCAACTGCCAAGTGGAGGTCTAATACAGGCGCAATTCAATAAATAAATACCTAGCATTCATGTTTTCCCCTATCACCATTTTCAGATATTTATATCTCTACAATACATCAATTATTACGTCTCTAAGACATGTTTTCCGATCTAAATCAAAGATGAAATTCTTCTTTCTGCTGTTCAAACCTAGAAGTCGGCCATATTGTTTATGTGTGACCATAGCTGTGGACATACCGCACTCAAAATATGAACGGATCTATCAAATAGTTTTTAGTAACTCTAAGGTTAAAAAACATACATGTATTAACACATATATTTCTGAAACTAACGGCATGTCTTTTTCGTTTTTGTTTATCAAAAAAGAAAGAGTCGTGACAATTTTATCGAGTAAAACTAAGTCGATATTTTGCCTCGGTACACACTGAACGGAAGTGTCCGGAATTTACGTAAAGTTTGGAGGTCGTGTTTTGGAAGGACATCATGTTTGCTGCAGCTTGCAGAAGAGTAGTTTCGTCTGTTGTAAGTAATCGCAGAGATACAAATTGCATCTGTTTCGCATGAGCTATGCAGTTTTTCTCATCGAATATGTTAAAGTGGATGGACAATGTCGTTTTAACCTACACGTACGAGTCTAGGAGTATTTTCTACCGATAGACATGTTGTTTTTTGTTTTTCGAATTGGTGCATTGATTTGTAATGTATACAATTACAGCTTTCATGACGGGTTACAGTGCATCTTACCATAATCATTTTTGACAAGACTGCAGTATGTCGGGCGTAGTTATTTGGGCATTTTAGGGGTTGTTACCCAATCTCTATATTAACCCTTGGATCCCCTTTCCGATGAGCCCCCCTTGGAATCAGAAAAAGTTAGGCCAGTAAACATGGTAAAGTACAGAACTCCCTAGTGCAACACTACCAAAAGCCTATGTATACATGCAATATTAAAAGCTATAACTGAACTTTTAAAATTGTGTCTGAGGAGGTGTGTGATGATTCAACTAAAATTAAGTGGCATTCAGATACTCAACATGCTCAAGTATTGTATTGGAAGGTCTTCAATTTGCCCCTATTAAAAAACAAGCCTGTTTACTCTGCACATCGCTTCGTTGTCTGCTTTGCTGTGTAGAGCTCAATTGTTTTGATTTGAGAATTGAATTGGGCATGTGACGTCATTATTTCATGCCTGATTTTAAGACACACAGAACCTTTAACACACTGTCCCTTTAAACCTAATGTCTGGAGAGGACATCCAAGTGCTACAGGTGGTATTTACAGGTAGCCACTGTTTCAGTAACTAAGTAAAAACCTGCTAAATATGTTTCAGTTAAATTTCTTTCCATTCTCGTTGATGGAATATTATCCTTTCATATTCAGTCATCACGCCAAAGACCCGGGTTTGATTCCCCATATGGGTACAAAGTGTCAAGCCCATTTCTGGTGTCCCCTGCCATGATTTTGCTGGAATATTGCTAAAAGCGGCATAAAACTATACTCACTCATGTATTGTATTATGACATTACTATTATTGCTATGAAGATAAGTATTGTATTGCACCAAGAGGTATAATGACAGTCCTACTTCAAAGAGTATGATTAAAATGTTGCCCTCTCAGCAAGGGTTGTTGGAATGGCTGGTGAATGTATATTTCAAGTTCATCTATCTCTGTTTTAGGATGAGAAGTGTGAGATAACATGGTCATTTATGGTTTTAGGAGTACAAACAGAAAACAATACTATGAAAACATATGATAAAAATGTTGAAGACCACTGCATGATCATTTTCTGACAATAATATCTCAAGATCATCAGGGATTCAAGAAAGGACTGAAATGAATAACGAGAAATGGGTTTATTGTTCATGTTTTATTTCGCATGTTCTTTTGGCACACATAAACCATGCCATGATCACTGACCTCATCACAGAGGAGTTAACAATATCTTGTCATTATAAATATTGTTATTATATGTTGTTTGCTGGAGATAATCTTCTATGATTATAACAAGAATGGTTTTCATTCATTTCATTTTATCGCTTATCATGTTGTTCCATGCACATTTCACTATCATGACAAAGCTAACGATATAGACATGATAAACATGATAAACAACTGCTAAGTGAGTTGATGGATGACAATGTACATGATTTTCACATTCAGAGCCAGCAGGTCAGAAGCTTTCACCGAGCTGCTCCAGCATGCAGTGATCATTTATTTGTGGTGAGTTTACATTAGGTAACCATGGTAACGATTGTTATAACATAATGGATCATGTTATCAATACAGTAAATCAATGTGGTAATAATAAAATATGCAAATGAGATCACATGGGAGGAATTCTTTTTCATAAGCAGTATACATCGATGCGATACCTACTTTCTCAATAAGAATTTTGTCTAATCATACCAATAAGATCAAAACTATTACTTTTTATCTGTAGTCTCAGGACAATGAGGACTAAGTGATGAGTGGCCTAACCCTGATTGTCTATTTGTTGCAGCACCGGGATACACCCATCAACAATCCTGATATCAAGTTTGAATTCTCACAAGAGAATATAGATGTAAGTTATTACAGAAATGGTTCTATCATTAGTATCAAGATTTAGATTAAACTCAATACTGTTTGATCATAAAAACTTGTAGTGTTGAAGATGAGTGGTTAATTATGTTATCACATCAGTAGCTTGGAAATGTTTCTAAGGGTTGGAACCTCCTAATGTCATTGTTTCATATGTTGAATCTGCTCTTGTCTCGTTTTATAAGCATGATAAGAGGCAAAAAAAGAGCAATATCGGCCATAAACTTTGTCTTCCGACATTATTGCTTTTTACGGGTCTATTAACACCTTATAATGCTCATATAAAGTCTATAGTTGTATGTTATCGTTGCAGAGGTGCAATGTCATAATTGCCAACTACCCTGAAGGTCATGAATCTGCTGCAGTGATTCCCATGCTGGACCTGGCCCAGAGGCAACATGGTAATTGCAGAGTTATGCCCCTTTGCTCAATAAGCATACATTTGACTTATGCCTGAGATCCCCTATGTGTTTTAACAATTTATGGTATCAAGAGATAAGAAAAGAGCAGTTAACAAGAACCTTTCAATTTACTAAATTTAACATAGGCCAATATCATATGGAGCATGTTTTATCAAGGGTTGCCTTTTTGACAAATGTGATGAACATTGATCATGTTGATACATTCCAGTAATCAATTATCATATGGCACACATGTAATATAAGTTTCAGACACAAGCATGACAAGTGAAACACAAATTCATTCAAAGATATTTAAGAAAAAAATGCTATGGTAATGGTAATAATAGGACAGAATTTTGTCCCTTGAGAATAGGCAAGTGAAAGGCATATCATAATGAAGAGTAGAAGACCGTGAGAAAGGTTCTATCATGATATTTGTGTCTACAACGTTGTGTTCCAGGCTGGCTCCCTATATCTGCCATGCACACAGTGGCTGAAATGTTGAAAATGCCACGGATGAGAGTTTATGAGGTTGCTACATTCTACACCATGTTTAACAGGTGAGGTTGCTACATTCTACACCATGTTTAACTGGTGAGGTTGCTACATTCTACACCATGTTTAACAGGTGAGGTTGCTACCTTCTACACCATGTTTAACAGGTGAGGTTGCTACATTCTACACCAGACCGCCTCCGTGGTCTAGTGGTAGAGGGTCCGCCCGGAGAGCGGAAGGTCCGGGGTTCGATCCCTGGCCGCGTCATCCCAAAAGACATTAAAAGATGGTACTTGTTGTTACCCTGTCTGGCGCTCGGCATTAAGGGGCTTAAACAAGGACTGGTCAGCTCGGAGTCAGTATACTGTGTCTGAGTGGGGTATTCATGTTAAACTGCGGCATGGTATCTCAGTGAGCTAGCACTATAAATCGGCATCAGTCCGGTCTAGTACAAGCAGCAACACACACACACACGTGCATGCACATCGCTATATAAGTGCAATAATCTTGGACGCGACGTTAAACCCAATTTCACCTCACCTCACATTCTACACCATGTTTAACAGGTGAGGCTGCTACATTCTACACCATGTTTAACAGGTGAGGTTGCTACATAGGTGAGGTTATTTCTTCATTTGCCCACAATGTCATTATTTTGAAACTAAATTGCACACAATGCATTTCTCCTTCTTCTTTTGATCCAGGTGTCGAAACGTCCTAAAACAAAGTTTCAAGCCTAATAAAACCATTACACCCAAACACATCCCATGGTCACCATCTTAACAATGGTACATGCACCACTGCAATCCCATGTGACCTGACCTTAAGCGACCTGATCACCTGACATACCCTGCCACATCATTCACTTTCTTATCGCGAACAGGCTGGTGTAACTGTCATTAGTGTCAATGCAGTGTGAGATAGGATAAGTATGTAAATATACAATTTATTATTAAATGTGAAGATCATTTTCTTCCCAATACCTGATCCAACCATCAATGGACCGCCTCCGTGGTAGAGCGTCCGCCGATCCCCGACCGCGTCATACGAAAAGACGTTAAAAGATGGTACTTGTTGTTACCCTGTCTGGGGCTTGGCATTAAGGGGCTAAAACAAGGACTGGTCGGCTCGGAGTCAGTATACTGTGCATGCATGTCGCTTATATAAGTGCAATAATCTTGGACGCGACGTTAAACCCCATTTCACCTCACCTCCAACCATCAATGAGCCACCCTTTGTTTTGTGTTCTGTGTACATACTGTAGTCTATAACTTGATCCAGATTATCTTCTAATGATTCATTATCATGTAAATTATCATGTATCAAATGAACATCTTTAGTTCAGGGGGCACGGGTGGCCCAGTCGTCTATGGCGCTGCGATTCGCTGTGCAGAGTTGCGTCCCTTGGGCACGCCAGAAACCTATGATTGTGAGTTCGAATCCTGGTTCACCCCAGTTATGTTTCTAGGTTTGTCAGCACCTTACCCGTGCTCGTGGGTTTCACCGAAGTGGTAAATGCCTAAGACCTGCATCACTTCGGGCTTTCCTCCCACATTAAGCTGACACGCCGCGATATAACTGGAATACTGTTAAAAGCGGCGTTAAACCCAACTCACTATTTCACTCATTAGTTCATATAATAATGAATGCTTTATATTTCCCAAGGGAGCCTGTCGGCAAGTACTTTGTGCAGATCTGCACCACAACACCCTGCCAGCTTGGAGGAGTCGGGTCTGATGTCATTTTAGAATGTATCAAGAAAAATTTAGGTAAATTGCTGTATACATGATATACCTGCAGGCTGTGGGACATATTGTATTGTGCCTTCTATCTTTACATATGATACAATATGTGTATATGTTAACATGGCTGTGTAAGAATACTTAAAATTTCCTCATGAAAACAGTATACAAGAATACTCATCTTCAATTATCCAGTGTACTGTTTCTATGGGTGAAATGATACTGCAAGGTCATGTTTCAAATATGTATCACAATATATAGGTCACGATATGATACATATCACAATAAATACGTATCATATTGTGACCTATATGTGAAAAATATGATATGGAGAATTTCTGAGTATCACGAATATGTTGACATGTGTGGAATGTTTGATAAGTCTGTCATGTCTACTGTCTTGTGTTACAGTTTAACCATGTTAACGCTTTTGTTTTAACTTACGGTCCGTAAACTAATTAAAACAAAAACGATAAATCAGGAAAGAAGAAAATAAATCAAAATACCACCGTGTCTTATAGCCCCATTCAGCAATAACGTATATCACAAATTGTTGTCATGCATGCCCCCACACAAGATAGTAAACTCGAATCGACAGCATATTTAAGTAATTGGTCAGGATCCTGGTTATCATGACATTGAATTATAATTTATTGATTTTTTATTACCTACTGACCATATGTTTACATAACACAAAAGACTAAAAAGTTATTTGAAAGTGTGGGATGTTTTTGTTTTTGTTTTGTTTTTTGTTTTTTACCACTAATGCCCAAGTTTTGAGAGAGAATCTGTAAACCAACTAACAGGAAGAAAGAGACCCTATCTATTTGTATGCACAGGTTTTGTATGGTGAAAAATAAGGTGCGTTAATCAGAATGTTTTTATGTTTTTGGGTTTGGAATCTGTAAACTCAATTGTTTTGAGAGAAAAAACCTCTTAACTCCTGACTGTGCAGTCTGTCACTCTGTGGCAGGGACTCCTTCCATAAAGTGATCTTAGCACAAAAGTTATTGTAACTCACTTACTTCAACAGTCACTTTATGGTAGCGCTAAGATCACTTTGTGTGGAATATATACTGACATCCGTGTACAACCCCCAACACTTGTGTTATCCATGTACCTGCAGGTATCGATGTTGGTCAGACAACTAAAGATGGGATGTTCTCTCTCATGGAGGTGGAGTGTCTTGGAGCCTGTATCAACGCTCCCATGGTACAGATCAACGATAACTACTATGTACGTGGGTGGCAGAGAAGTTTTATATCTAAGTTAACACTTCTAGTGGCAGTATCATGTTGTACTAAAAAGCCTGATATAAGCGTGATTGGATTGCCACTGGACCAATTACTACCATATTTTGCAGGATGTCACAATTTGCCATAGATAATCAGACAAAGTTATCATCATGTTTTCTTTAATGTCATTAGTGATTAGGATTTGGCATTGTTTTCACAATATTTCAGTTTGAGTTAATCTACAGTATATGCATGTAATAAAATCAGCATTAGAAATTGGCACTTGTCCTACAGTCCTTGCCAAACTGCCCAATATTTGAGGTGTCATAAGGACTGGTAGAAATTTGCCATTATTAAGGGTTTTGCTAAATGTTATCATTATAAGGACTAGTTTACTAAAACAGTTAATTTCTATCATTGGAAATGTTGCTGTAGTCAATGGTAGCAGACCCCTGTGGGGATTCTGGGTTAGAATTGGTCCCTACTAACCTATGCAGGTCATGAGAGGTGACTTAGTTGATGGCATGTCATTGTAGGGCTTGGATAGTTGCTCACAATTTCAATCACTGGATTGTGTGGTCCAGATTTGATCACCTACAGGCTGCTGTCATATAGCTGCAATAATGCTGAGTGTTGGCTTAAGACATACATGCACGCAAACACACGCAAATGATACTGACATGTCTTATATGCTGGAAATATGTCTGAGTTTGTGTGGTTTGTTACAGGAGGACCTGACAGTTGGTGACATGGACAAAATACTGAATGAAATCAAGTCAGGCAAGATGCCACAGGCAGGGCCTCAGTAAGTACAAGCCTGTCAAACGTTAATGACATTAGAGATTACTCTTCAAAATGGCCTGGGAATCTATTGGGCACATGTCATTAAAGGTCAAGGTCATGAAATAGAAAAAAACCTGAAGTTACACCTCAAAAAAGTATTGGTGCATTTCTCTGTGGTTTACGGCTTCTCTAGGATGGGGCACTTTTTAAAAACATTGTTTTACCTTACCTGATGCTACACCTATAGCACTGTGTAGCGTCAGGTAAGTATAAAAACAATGCATTTAATCAGAAATGCTCATGTTTTACCTTACCTCACACTACACAGTGCTATAGGTGTAGCATCAGGTAAGTATAAACACATTGCATTTAATTAGAAATGCTCATTTTTGTTTTACCTCTAGCATGTCTACAGCCAATAATCCTACCACATCAAATGTTGATGCTAGATCTATCAAAGGTCAAGGTCACAAGGGTAGACACCATTAATTATGTCCAACTTGTTGCTGATCATTTCAGACAAGACATTTATGTGAAATAACTAGCTTTAAGGATAAAACAACTAGCCAACCCAGGTTTTCACTAGCCTCTAACAAACAGACAAGTGGCCATGTCTATCCCTGGGTCATCTTTGAGGTTATTGTGAAGCATGATTGTATGTGTTGCGCATTTACTTGAGACTTGGCAGTTCTGTCTTTAGAAGTTGTCCTGATTGAGGTCAAGGTCAAGAAATAATGTTGTATTATGTGACATCGGAAGCATTGAAGAAATGGCAGTGATTCAAGGTTCTTACTTTGGTCTGTGTGCAGGAGTGGACAGGATTGGCGCTTTTCCTCAGAGCCAAAAGGAGGGCTGACAAGTCTGACAGAACCCCCAAAAGGACCTGGCTTCGGCTTGCAGGAGGGGCTATGAGTGGGTGTGTGTGTAGATGGTGATATGGAGTGCACTGACATTAAAACTGAGCTGCCGACCATCAACAGAACCTGTTGAATCGAGGAGATACAGGCAGTTGTTCGTTTATTGTATGATAGAAAATAATAAATATTGTGAATATTTTCTAGTTGCATTGATCTTATTTTCAATCTGCATCAATACTTCAGGGGTATGTATGTTCCTCTTTCACCCATGACTACATGCAGCTGTCATGTAGTCTCTGTAACCGAGGAATCAGGCAGATGACTTGTTCCAGTAGGAGGAAAACCAGAGCTTAGACCAATGAGCACTTGGCCATCAATATTTCTGTGCAACCACTGGCCATAGACTTGCGTGCCCTACTATACACCTTGCTTCAATGTCGGGCAATGGTAGAGTTCATGAATGTCCATGCCATTTGACATTTGTCATTTATACACCATGCCCAATTACCTCACTAAAATAGACGCAACTCTTACGCCGCATGTCTGCCTATGTCTTCACAGGTGATGGAGGACTGAGTGAGTGAGTGAGTTTGGTTTTACGCTGCTTTTAGCAATATTCCAGCAATATCACTGCAGGGGACACCAGAAATTGGCTTCACACATTGTACCCATGTTGGGATTTGAACCTGGGTCTTCGGCATGACAAGCGAACGCTTTAACCACTAGGCTACCCGACCGCCCCTGGTGATGGAGGAAGCTAGTGTATGCAAACTGGAAGTATTTATTAAGTGTTTCAATCAACCTTCAGCAGCATTTGAAAGAAAATAAATTGCCAAGCTGCCATCAGGACCCACCGACTTTAGAAGCTGCAGGCCCTGACTCAACTCTTCGGGCCTTCATTTATAAAAGCTGCAGGTTATTGTAACAAATAAATCGACACATAAATTTACTGCAGGCCATAAGGACCCATACACATCTGAAACTACAGGCCCGACACAAGATCTACCTGTCACGGGCCTACGGGCAGGCACTTGTTTCAACACTGGCCCAGAGGTCAGCCTCCAGTAACCTTTGCTTGTCATACAGCTGACTGATGGGGATTGGGTGGTTCTCAGAATCCACCATATGCACTACAGAATAAAACAACACAGTCATGGTTCAGTGCACTGTCCTTTGACATCCAAAACTGGCTACCACACGAGATATCCTTGTGTGAGATCAAGCGATATCAACATTGTTGATATCACTGCAATGAAATTACATCACAATGCTTTGCAGACCATTGTGACGTCATTGGTTACTATGATGTCATAATCAAATGACATCACTAATGGCTCTGCTACTAAAGCTAAAGCTTTTTACACCTGAGAAACTGATTATTACTGTCTACAAACTGAAAAAGTTGGAAGAATGATGTTGCACGATAAATAAAATCTCACCCTCGTGTCTTTTGATATTAAAAATAAGGTGAGTTAGCTGTAATAACAGTACCCTTGAATATCTCTTGGTATGTAGTTGCTGTGTAAGCTATATATCACTCTGCTGTTTGTGGTTAGAGGCCACACTATTGGATCTGGTGGTCAGGCTCAGCGATTTAGTTGTACCAGACTGCATCATAAGAGGCGATTAAGGGGATCGGTTGGTCAGGTTCGCCGACATGGTCCATGCATGTCATTGTATCCCAAACGGTAGATTGACGCTCATGATGTTCATCACTGCATTGTCCCATCAAGACTCGATTATTTACAGACCATCGTCATATAGCAGGAATATTGCTGAGTGTGGTAAAAGTGAAAGCATGGGATGTTGCTCGTAATATCCGTCACTGGTTTGTCTGCCAGGATTTACCTGGCTGCAATATTGTTGACTGGTGTAATGTAACTAACAAACACCACACGTCCTGGAAGCTTCTGTTGATGACTATCACTTTCTGTCAGGTATACACCAGGAAATGTTTAGCATCATTTGTTCATTAATTTCAGCGATTCGCTTTGCAGAGTTGCGTCCCTTGGGCACGCCAGAAACCTATGATTGTGGGTTCGAATCCCGGTTCGCCCCGATTATTTTTTCTAGGTTTGTCAGCACCATAACCGTGCTCTTGGGTTTAACCGAAGCAGTAAACGTCTGAGACTTGCATCACTTCGGGCTTTCCTCCCACATTAAGCTGACAAGCCGTGATATAACTGGAATAATGTTAAAAACGGCGCTAAACCCAACTCACTCACTCACTCATTAATTTCAATGTCCTGAACTTCCCTGTATCTTTGAGTGTGTCTACAGCCGTTTCCGGTTCAAAGTTATTGCATGATCACTGCAATATTTCTCCAGATGGACGTTAGTACTGGGTCATATGATGAAAGAGATGGGGTGAAATGCGGTTAACACCCAGTCCAATATTGGGCAAGATGCCGCAGGCAGGGCCTCAGTAAGTACAAGTCTGTCATGCCGGTTTTATTGTTCTGGCCCACTGAAATACCATGCGGCAATTTAACATGGATAACTAGATGCAGTATACTGACTCTGAGCCAACCATTCCTTGTTTATCCCCTTAATGCTGGGCGCCAGACAGGGTTACAAGGAGTATCATCTTTTAACCTCTTGTATGTCGCAGTTTGAGATCGACCCACAGACCTTCCGCACTCTGGGCTGACGCTCTACCCTCTATACACCCCGGAGGGCGGACCTCTTTACAAAGTAGCGGAGGAGGTAATTGAAAGGGCATTCAAATAGCTGTAGTCATGGAACAGTCACAAAACATGTAGGCTTCGTAAGCCGGCATGAAAAGGACACTCCTGAACAAATGAAAGGTTTTGTTCCACACCGCATTTCACTATTATGACGTCATACCGCTCGTGCGCCAAATTTTAAGCTCTCCGTTGTCTTTTGAACTTAAAATACACTCTTAGTGGATTATTAATATCGTGTGTTCTTCCCAAAATATATTCTCAGACATATTAAAAATATTGTAGCAACCACAGGTCTGCTGTTTGTAACCCATACTTTTACGTCATATCAAAATGCCGACCGACATAAACTGATAAAGTTTTGTTTGTTGCTTTACGCCACACTCGGCAATATTCCAGCTCTATGACGGCGGTCTGTAAATAATCGGGGCTGGACCAGACAATCCAGTGATTAACATCATGAATATAGATCCACGCAATTGGGATCGATGACATGCATCAACCAAGTCATCAAGCCAGACCACCCGATCCTGTTAGTCGCCTCTTACGACAAGCATAGTCGCTCCTTGCATGGGTTGCTGAAGACCTATTCTCTTCCCGGATCTTCACAGGTGACTGATAAAGAAGTATTTTGCTATAAATGTTATCGTCTGCGGTGATGCGGCAGCTTTTTCAATTAGAGGTGATTATTATAAATTTACAGATGAATATCATGCCATGACATATATCAACCATAGTAATATGAAAGAATCGGCAATATTCCAGCTGTATGACTGAAGTCTGTAATTAATCAAGTCTGGAACAGACACATCAGTGATTGATGATATGACCAACGATCCACACATTCAGGGTAAGATGACACGCAGTCAGCGAACGTGACCACTTGATTCATTTAGTCGCTCTTACGACAGCCATGTACTAACCCGGAGTCGCCCAGTGGAACAATAGTTATAAGCAATATGAAGAGGAATATGGTGAAAAACAAAAGTTTGGTTTGGTTTGGTTTGTTTGTTGTTTAACGCCGCACCCAGCAATATTCCAGCTATATGGCGGCGGTCTGTAAATAATCGAGTCTGGACCAGATAATCCAGTGATTGATATCATGAGCATCGATCCACGCAATCGGGATCGATGACATGCATCAACCAAGTCAGCGAGCCTGACCACCCGATGCCTCCAGTCGCCTTTTACGAAAAGCATAGTCGCCTTTTACGGCAAGCATGGGTTGCTGAAAAACAAAAGAACACTGGCTAGAGATCGGTAATCTGTCTTCCAGACCCTGGAGAATAAAGTTAAAAAATATAACCAAATAAAGTCTAGAATGATTGGCAAGTCGACATTGCCTAAGCTTTGACATTAAACATTGTTCTGGTCTTCATTTAGATTTGATTTTTGATTTTGTAGACATATATTTTTAATATAACTTTATTTCTTGGACTAAATGTCAGTCTACCAGGTTGGTTGGTTGGTTGTTTTACGCCGCACTCCAGCAATATTCCAGCTATATGACGGCGTTCTGTAAATAAATCGAGTCTGGACCAGACAATCCAGTGATTTATATCATGAGCATCGATCCACGCAATTTGAATCAATGACATGCTTCAACCAATTCAGCGAGCCTGACCACCCGATCCGTTAGTCGCCTCTTACGATAAGCATAGTCGCCTTTACGCCAAGCATTGGTTGCTGAAGACCTGTTCTACCCCGGATCTTCACGTTTCCAGTCTACCAAGTCGGAAGTATGACGTAACATATGGTGCTTGAACCAATGTCTGCTCTGTATATTTCATAAAACATGATTCGACTTTAATCAGAAACGGTGAGGTGAAATGGGGTTTAACGTCGCGTCCAAGATTATTGCATTTGTATAGCGACGTGCATGCACGTGTATGCGTGCGTGGGTGGCTGCTTGTACTAGTCCGGACTGATGCCGATTTATAGTGCTAGCACACTGAGATACCATGCCCCACTCAGACACAGTATACTGACTCCGAGCCGACCAGTCCTTGTTTAAGCCCCTTAATGCCGAGCGCCAGACAGGGTAACAACAAGTACCATCTTTTAACGTCTTTTGGTATGACCCGTCGGGGATCGAACCCCGGACCTTCCGCTCTCCGGGCGGACGCTCTACCATTAGACCACGGAGGCGGTCTAGTCAGAAACGACAATCATTGGAAGCAATATATTTTTTCAAAGAGATGCACATCTTTGCCAGCAGTCGGATCATGTCATGTGTCATTCTCAAGTCACTGCGGGGGCTGTTGGTCGCCCTGTATTCACATCGACCAGTTTGATACCGGCAATGTCTGTGTCAACCCTCCAGCATCAATCACATGTAATGCATTGCTGTGAAGCGCGTTCCGACGACAGTTTGCGGGATCCCAGTGAAACTGATAGTGTGTAATGGCAGTGAAATATTCGCCACACGTGCCAGGTATATGTATCACCGACGCGCCATTGCCGTGCTAACAAGCGAAGTCAGAGGAAGCCGTTTCAGTGCCGACGCGTGGTGTCT